TACGAAAGGATATTAAAAATCTACCTAATAAGCTATTATAGCGGTTAGGTTTATATAGTCGTTTTTCCTACTAGGCCAAATTGTACTCTAGTTCGGATCCTGTTCGGATGTATGTAGGAACGGGTGCTGAGCCGTTACAAGATGGTGCAAGGTGGCCCAAGGAGGGTGAGCTCCTGATAATAATCAAAACAACAGTTTTAATAAAACATTTTTTTATAAAACTATTAAAACTTTAGCGCTGAGATTCGATTAATAGAATCTCTACTCTCAAACTCAAAAACATTTAACTCGTTATACTAGTAATTTCTCTATTAGTATACATTACTCCTCTATAGATAGTTAATATCTTATAAATACTCATTTAAAGTCTATAATATAAATGGTTATATTATTATTTATAAATGAAATTATAGTAGATATATATAAGGTATGTATCTTTTAGAGGATAATTATTTTAGTATACTATAAAGTAATAAGTAAGAAAGACATTAACCTATACTATAACTAAAACTTTCGATAGTATTAAATATTTTACTACACTATATATACATTTTATATTATTCTAGTAGAGCTATATATAGAGAGAGGTGCGTAATGTTAGTGGAGTGCGTAGTAATAGCGTGATGTCAATCACTTAGTCAGCGCACCGCGACAATTACGACGTTCTAGCGTGGACGTCTATAGGCCTTAGTCTTCCCACTCTCCGTTAAGGAGATAACCTATCTTATTATTCGGAACACTGACGAATGTAGTCACCGCGAGAGAATTCCGATACCTGACTACTTTACTCCAGCGCGATGTGGGGGCGCACAGTCATAACATGCGTAAGAAACATAGTCAGACTTTCCTAGCACGTAGAGTTCCAAGTCCTAACACTTACCTATAACATTATCAGCCTATTTACTCTATTTCTATCTACATATACTAAGTTAAAGGCGTAGTTCTTATTTAAACGCTATAGAATTCTATTAGAACTTACTCTGGAATAATCAAAATTCCAGCCTATACGAATTCAACAATTTTAGAAGTTTGAAACTTAAAAATATAAGCTTTACAAATCTAGCAATCACCACCACAATGCATATCTCTAAGCTTGTTTCTGGCGTCGGCCTCGCCTGCATTGCTATTACTAGCGCTCAGCCAATTGAATCAGGGTAAGTCTACGTCTAGTCTTTTAGTAGTGTCTTCTAGTTATAAACACTTAGCTAATCAGAGGTGAAACAGCCATAAGGCCCTAGCCCGTGACGTTGTCGACCGTCGCGACGTCGTCGAACGGGATGTCGTTGATCGCGATGTTGTCGACCGCCGCGATGTTGTCGAACGGGATGTTGTCGACCGCCGCGATGTTGTCGAACGGGATGTTGTCGACCGTCGCGATGTTGTCGACCGTCGCGATGTTGTCGAACGGGATGTTGTCGACCGTCGCGACGTCGTCGAACGGGACGTCGTTGATCGCGATGTTGTCGACCGCCGCGATGTTGTCGANTTGTCGACCGCCGCGATGTTGTCGACCGTCGCGACGTCGTTGAACGGGATGTCGTCGAGAGGGACGTCGTTGATCGCGATGTTGTCGACCGCCGCAACTAACGCAGCACCGCTCACCACTATTCCTCTAGATGGAAAATCCAGAATCTTTGTCATCTTATAAGCTTTGATTACTACTCTTCAGAGCTATTTAATTTAGACATATTCATTCCACTCGTTTACATAGAACCTCGCGTTAGAAAAAAGCAATAAAAACTTCTAACGTTACTACTACTTAATTCTTCTTTACGTTAAAAATAGCCTTAGTTATAATTTCTATTCTTGTTCGTATATTACTTACGTCTTCTATAACTAATATCTCTTTCTCAAGTTATCTACGAATCGTGTAACGTTATAGAGTTTTTACTACCTACGCTAGACGGCTGTCTACGGGTAAAGTAATTAATAACTCTCTCTAAGTTATGTTCATCTCTCTATAACTACTATTTATAAAAAAAGAAATATATAAATCTTAGAAAATACTATATCTATCTACGTAGCATTTTCAATATTATCTATATTCATAAATCCTAATACTTACTTTCTTCTATAGATTTAGATACATATATAAACTCCACTTAGAAAGCCTAGAGCTAGATGTAATCTCTTTCTTTTCTTCTAATAGTTTAGAATAGAAATCTATTATTGGCTGAGTCTTGTAGGGAACTACTAGAAGCTAAAGATTATTGTATTAATTAGGCTATAAAGAGGGTCTAAGGTCTAAGGTCTACTTATACTATTCGTGCTATTCTCTACCCCTCTTCTGGCCTTACTACGGTAGATACAACCTATTCTATGATATAATTTATTATAATATAAGAATTATACATATGAAATCAAAAATTAAACCAAAAGTGTTAGTATAATATAGATTTTATAGTAAAAATGATAATTTTACTTTTTAATAATAGTATCTATTATTTCTATTCTAGGTAGAGTATGAATAGTAGTAACTAGAGTGCCTTTAGCGAGGTATTTACCTTATATCCAAGCTCGGTCTTTCTATAGATAAGTTGTCTTCTATACTACTATATCTTAACTCTACTTAATATAATTATATTCCTATATAGTTTACAATATTTACGTTTTAAAGAAGGGTTACGCTAGAGTATCTAAGATGGTTATCTAAGCGCTGCTCGGACGGGTAAGGAGAAGCCGGGTGGTTAGAGTAATGCCCAAATTCTACACTCCTTATTTGAACTTAGTTTAGGTAGTGCGCGTAGCTTAAACTTAGATTCTATCTAGGAGCTATCCTAAGCGCCTTTAGCCCGTTATACTATAGTAGCTATCCTTCTTACTATACTAAAAAAACTCCATTTAATTATATACATAAAAAAGTAGCTTAAGAAGTACATAGTTTTTGTGTTATTATTGATCTTAGTAAGATGCGCTATGTAGAGCCTTGCATTTTTGATCTACTGGGTGCACTGTAGTACTACCTAGGACATACTGGTGGAAGTCTGACTAAGGCTCTATACCTAGATAAGTAATAAAAACATAACTTTAGAACGCGCGACAGAATAAGCACTGAGTCAACAGCAAAGCACTATCAAGTCATCCTCGGACGACACATGCCTAAAGAACTGAGTCAGGCACTAAGCTATACTAACGGTGTTGACCTAACATCTCCTTGCAGCGTGACTTCCGATTAACTGGCCTCTTAGTGGGATGTAAACCCGCGTAAATAGTCAATGAACGTGAACGTCTCTTGCCCTCCAAGTTTTTGTCCTTATAGTACTTGAACCCTACATTAGTCAAGTACGAAAAAAAATACATCATCCGCAATGGGATGGTTACTTGAACAAGAAGCGCCAAAAGCAACTCCATTAGGCGGAGGGCCCTACTCTCGTCTCACGGAACCTATGAAGTTGTCTAACGCCCTTGATGGGGTTGAGTATGTTGATATTACATCTCTTCTGGGTCGAGAATATCCGAAAGCTAGTATCACCGAATGGATAAACGCTCCAAACAGTGATGAGCTTATCCGAGACTTGGCCATAACTGGTGAGTGGAAACACTAATCGAAGACGATATGCAGTACAAGCACTGACACTCCCGGGTAGTCTCGCAACGTGGAGTCGTCGTCTTTCGAGCTCAGGACGACGTAGACAATGAAATGCTGAAAAAGATTGCTCTCAGGCTTGGCGAACTGACTGGGCGACCAGAAGAGTGCGGGCTTCACATCCACCCAGTCTTCAACAGCGCGAGGGAGGGCCTGGAGGAGGACAACCAGATTAATTGTGTCAGCTCCGTCGATCGCAAGAAGCTTTACAATAGCAAGAAAGCCCAATCACACAATAATTGGCATTCGGATGTGGGCTTTGAGGCTGTCCCGGGCGATTATTCCGTCTTTATCGTGCCAGAAATTCCGGAGACTGGAGGAGGCATGTACATTGAATGCGCCAGATTTCTATGTGAAGGATACGGGCTAACGCAAGAGTTCATAGACACCATGTTTGCATCCGGATGCGAGGTGAGTGACATAACGCGATCGATCTGCTGACCTCAAACTAACGCCCATATCTCAGCTTTACGATCGTCTTTCGAAGCCCTTGCAGCAGTTCGTTGAGAGCCTCACGATCATCAATGGAAGCCCGGTATATGCCCACGGCAAATTTTATCTATGAGTCATACGGTTTTGTGGGTCTGCTGACATGTTGATAACAGTCATTGGAGGACGCAGTGCGAGCAGACAACCCCAATCTGTATGCCAAAGACCGTGGCTGTCCTCAAAACTCCGGCCTTCACTTCCGACACGAACAGCCCTTTGTGCGCACGAATCCGGTCACGGGATGGAAGTCGATTTATGCCCTGGGTCAGAACACGATATCGATCAAGGATCTGGCACCAGAAGAGAGCCAGATGCTGCTCGACTGGATCATCAGCATCCTGTATAAAAACCATGATACAACTGTCAGGATCAAATACCTACATCGGAACGATCTCGGTAAGTCCCCCATTTGAAATGAAGAAGCCACGGAACGATGCATATATGATTGATTGTAGTGCTGAATCATTTTATAGTCATCTGGGACAACCGGAGCACATTTCATTGTGTGACATGGGATTACGATCATCTTGGACATCGCAAAGGGAAGCGAGCACTAGGTATTGGCGAGAAACCGTATTTTGATCCTAATTCGAAATCGCGTACGGAAGATCTTGGCTATTAGAGACTTCGATTTTAATCTACTAGATATAGTCAGTATATATTACACTTTAGCTCATATAATACTATCTACTATTTCTTAGTATCAATTTATCAATATTAACATGATTATATAATCACGTTTATAACTACTTCTATTAAGTTCTTAATTAGTAATAGTAAGATAAAAAGATCTTTCAGCTTCTTAAGAATAGTTTTAGTATACTATAATACTAATAGAACTATATATTATTAATATTATACGTTAATGGCACTAATATATATATAATATATAGTATATAATTCTATTTAACGTCTAGACGTACTACTACTACGACAACAACAGCTACTACTACTACTACTTATTATAAGTAATAAGAAGAATTCTCTTCTTAATAAACGACGAGATGGCGGAAGGCCTATAGACATCTACGTTAGAAAGTAATAATTAATGCAGAGCGCTAATTACGTAATATAGTATCTCGCTAAGATAGACTATCTAGAGATACTAGAACCTTAAAAGGTACTAGAATATCTAGAAATGCTAAAGATATTAGAGATACTAGAGGCTTAGCTAGATACTAAGACTAAAGTCATAAGCATATAAAGATAGATAGATTTTATTATTTACTCTTATTTTAGTTAAGTTAAATTATACTTTCTTACTAGTTACTTTACTTAATAAGATTATTACTTATTAGTCTATTCAATATAGATTAGTAGTTATTAAACCTTTATTACCTTATATTTAAGTACACTACTCTACTACATCGCTAGATAAACTCTTACAGCGCTCCTTACACCATCTCACTCGCTCTAACCTAGATCGAGCTTAGAAAAGTATTAGCACTTAACTCTATGTAACATAGAGTCTTATATAATTGTAACTTAACCTCTACCTCTATCTAACTCTTAGTAACCTAATCTCTACCTTTATCTAATTTTAGTACTAAGATTAGGTAGAGATATAGTAGGGTCGTATAGGCTATATAGGTTAGGTAGAGGTTAGGGTCTTATATAATCGCTACCCTACTATACCCCTACCTAACTCTTGGCAACCCTACCCCTACCTAACCTCTACCTAAATACTAGTCTAGTATCTACGCGTAGTACTATATATTACTAGTTTTAATAGATTTTAAAATCTTACCCTTATAAACAATAGGCAGAAAGTAAGAGCTTAGTAAGCTATGATAGAACTAGGTTGATGAATTGTTTCTCTTGTTGAGAATCAGGGTTAGAATAAAATAGTAACACGTGACGAGCGGGTCGCGAGGCCTCCTCTCTTGGCGTGGCGAAAGATTCTGAATCGCAACTCATTTATACATTATTTACGCGCGATAGCTCTTGAATAAGCAGAATGCTTATGAAAAGGCAGCACTGCGTAGATAAAAATTGGATATACGAGACTTCATGGCCTGATGTTGGGACATAAACGGGGCTTCAATGGCCTGATGCTAGATATTAATGGGGCTCGGATGGCCTTAACGAGGCTGAGGGCATATTGGTCGCACAATGATACCTAGTGTAGTAATGGAAATAATTATAGCCTTCTCTTGACTACTGTGTGGTATGATCAGGCTATTAAAGATATAGTATAAAAGACCTTGCAAGCAGTCGTTATACTGCAATTCAACAAACCCGAAATCATCGCATCCACCATCATGCTGTTTAATCTGTCTTTTACTTCGTTGCTCGTCGGCCTGTTTGCCATCCAAACCGCCTTTGCAGCGGTGGTCCAACCCCTCGAAGTGCGCGAGACCAGCAACTGCCCTAAACGCCGGTTCAGCATACAGGCGTCGAGCGGCGTTAACTCCCTGACCGGCTCCATGAGCTATTCCGTCATGTTAGTCGACGAAAAAGACAAACCACATCCCGAATTCACAAGTTGTATCTTCCCTGGTACAAAGTTTCAATTTGGTGCTGTTAGTAACCTCTCTTTTCTTTTCTGCCTTGTTACTTTGCTTTGCTAACATCGCCAGGGTTGTAAATGGTTCGTACCCGGTAGTACGGCGCGCATCACCAAGGACGGATATTGGTGGGAAGTCAAACACGACGGATTTTTTGCTGGGGCACTGTATAAGGGTGATGTTCATGTTCGCGGAAATGGCTGCACGAATACGCAAAAGTGTAAATCGTCGAGAACACAGCAGTGTGAGCCTAGTCCGGATGGGAAACAGCCTAACTGCGTTCTGACTACGTATGTGGATTGTAAGCAGTGATTCTGAGGAAGATAGGAAGGCAGCTAATCTAGGGAGTTGTTTGAGATGTTTGTCAGGGTTTAGATGGAGAGATGGGGTGAAGGTCGAGGTTGGAGTGTTAGCTTAGCGGAATGTGTTTAGATGTTCTTGTGTCTCTAGATATCTTTTGAGAAACAAGAGAAGCAAGGAGCAACAGCCTGTTTCTACTACACTTTTAGTCTGTATCTCAAGCTTTGGTCTGCTCGTTAGCGTGATGTACAAGTTAAGCACCATCGCTAACGTAAAACACCAGTAGGATGTTGACCTAACACAGTATGGGTATGAATTTCTTGCACATTATCAAATTCTAAAAAAGAACCGAAATGACATAACCTGGTTTATTACTTAAACAACATACAAAGACTATTGCACGCGTGATGTTCATGACTTAGCCACAATCTTGTTTCGCAATACTTAGTGGCTCCTACTTGAATTATTCTACAAATCGGCTAACGCCTCACAGCCATCCCACGTTTACGCTCCGCCATCTCAACGTTCGTGCTCTAGTTGGCGGGCGCGCCCGCAACAAAACAAGCCGCTTGGCGTGTGGTTGAATACTACTCCAGTGTCCAATGAGTTACCCCAAGACTTCCTAGGATAAGCCGGCTACTGGCCGGAGCGTGAACGTGGGAGAAAAGCTTAATGCTTACTGGGAAAAATTTAATCTTATTGGTACGGAGTAAGGTTTGATAATTTGCTGATAGTACTACTGCTGTTGTGCACGCATATAAGCTCATAATTGTGTGCGTAAGAAAGGCTGTGCTTTGCCATGTTTAGTACTGCCGCTGTACCTGTCTTGAAGCATCGCATCGCAAGCCGCCACAGCCTGAAAATATATCTTCAGCCCTTCCAATACTTACATTTCTCTCTCGTAATTCTAAATTTCCTGCTTCGTGAACTTGAGTTCTTGTGCGGCGCTTTCCCTACACACGTTCAAGTCAAGCCGCTTGTCGATTCAGCGCGGAACTACTATCTCAGCCCAGCCGCACGGCGCCTTGCATGCCGTCAGACCACACAAGCACACACTCTCTCATAAGACATCGTCGTTGCCCCTCTCTGTATCTTTACCCGCATGTCTAACAACCTGGTTCCGCATGTCCAAACTTCAATCTTGCGCCACAAAGAAAGAAACAACGATAGAAAAGGAGGATGTGCGCATACTCAACCTTACATGCTCGTCAAACAAGCCATGCGATCGCTATCTGTCCGTACTAGCCACCTTACTTTATTCCTAATCTGTATACCGCTTTCGCTACACCAATTTAATATCTTGATTTCTTCGACATTTCTCATCGCAGAAATTGTTACTCGCTTTGACTCACTGTACTACTAAGCATCGTACTGCACGACAAAAATCGGCTCTTCGAAACGTTGCGTCACATATCTGTCCGCAACACCATGTCTAGACGCATGTCGCAACGCGCATTGAGATCGCATATTGTTCTTTTTGACTCAGAAGTATGAAGATTGTGCGGAGAGGTGTTGCCAGAGTATAATGCGGTCTGTAACAGGGATTAAGAGCTCGAAGATATACTGCGACTTTGACGACTATACGATGGTTATATTTTGGGAGTGAGGTTGTGCTAAGAGGTAGGTTGGATTAAGCGGCTTGATAGGAATGCCGAGTTTACTGGCTCGTATACTGAGCTCTTGGCGAAACGGTGGGCTATTGAGGAATACGAACCAGAGGGGCAGAAGAGGCAAGGCATTAGTATGGACGGGGGAACGACATGGCGCCATGGAAAACTCGTTGCTATAAGAAAACAAATGCAGGGAGCTGGCAGGAAAGCGAGTTGATTGGGAAGCGCAACATACCCATGGTGACAGAAAATCAAATTTTAATTTCTTAGACTATCGAACTCAGTGGTTTGACGTAGTTATGAGTGGTAATGAGACATGCAGACATGTCGTTCTTCTAGAGGTGCATTGATGTACTTACCCCGACAGAAACTTGTAATTATATCCACCTGACTGTGAGCTTCAGGATGTTGGTCAGATTCAGCTACATGCGCTGAAGTGCGAACATGTGTACAATTTGCAAGTCTAGATTGAAAGACCGCCGTCACCTCTTTCTCGTTTGAGACTTTCTTCACAATACTGATGGTCGCCATATTATATATCGACAAAATAGTGTGATGATTTATCGAAATTTATCTACAGCGCTTATCGAGAAAGTATAGTTGTGTTCATGCTTGTCGCTATGTTCACGAGCATATCCTGCAGCGCCGCGATACCGTCTGCGTGTAAGACATCCTAAGCCGTGGCCCGGACTCCGATACTAACAAAACCGCTTAGCTTCTTTACCGTGTCTGAGTCCGCGTAGCTGTAGGCTTTAGATATATACACGCTGTCGCAGAGCGTAGAATTAAGGTAGCGATGCAGGGTAGCGGTGCGTTTTGAGGTCGATGGTGATAACCTTGCCAGCTAGGCGGGCGCCGATTATGTACTTAGGTGTTGCGCCAAAGGGTCATAAAGAAGTCTAAGGGACGCAAGGTGGTCGCTGTACCGTTTGTGACGGGCGTAGAAGTGGAGACGCCCTAGCAGTTGATGCCCAAACGGCCAGGGACTAGCAGACAGGGATCATGCAGTTGCCAGTCGTGCAAGTTAGCAGCGTATTATCAATTTCAATGTTAGTGCTGGTATGGATGCCGTACAAAATGGCAACTTTAATTTCAGCAGAAATTGACTCTAAGCCACTGAGCATCTCCAACGTGTGAGTCTGCTAGAGTGGCTCTATTTAGTCTTGTAAAGTCAGGATAGCAGCCTCGTCATCATGTGCAATGAAGGGAATCGACATAGATAGCAAAGACTGTTGCACGAGCGGTACAGTGTATATAGGTGGAGCTAAGGACAGCTACTCGTTCGAATAAATCTTAGATGTTTCTTCAAATGAATGTATCTTCGTTCACCGAGGCCTCCCAGCTCTTGTAGTGGTCTATTATCGTTTCTTGCAAAGGCCGATATACGATGCCTAGCTCTGTAACACTTCTCTTGTTATTGACCCTGAATTTAATTCCTAGATTCAATGACATCCATTTCTGAGTTAGCCCAAACAACGGCCCTACAACTCTAGTGATCATTCTCGGAATCTCATGCCCAGGTATGCGGAAGGAAGCTGAGCAGTGATTACGTATAATGACAGATATTTCCTTGAAACTGGTCATGTGTTGGTGAGCGACAATGTATCGGCCATTTGTTGTTGTGATTTGTGCGGCTCTTATGTGCGCCTGAGCAACTTCGCGTACGTCGACTGTAGTGAACCAGAGGTTTGGAACCCCAAACCACAGTTTCCCTCTCATCAGCTCGTCCAGAAGGAACAAGCTTCCGGAGTCAGAGTTGGGTGAGAGTGACGGCCCAAGCACCAAACCCGGATTGATTGTAACTAACTTCCATCTCTTCTTTGCTTGAGCCTCGTACAATGTCCATGCCTCTTGTTCAGCTATTGTCTTTGAATAGTGGTAAGCATTATGAGTAGCTGAGCTGGTGGTGTTATGGTATTCCTCGGCCAGGGTATTGTTATTCATTCTCAGAACATCAGCGTAGTCACCAAAGATCGCTCCAACAGTCGATGTCATAACAACCAACTCTACACTCGTACTACGTTCGACTGCGGCTATGACATTTCGAGTACCTTGTAAAGCAGGTTCAATGACTTCTTTCTCGGCATTTTTGATCTGCTCTTCCATTAAGAAAGGTGATGCGACATGATAGACTGTTACACAGTCCTGCGCTGCGATATCAAACGATCTTGCAACATTAAGGTCTGCTTCGAACAGATTCAGCTTTCCAGGCCACTCCTTCTGCATCTTAAGTAGATGACTGATCTTCTTCTCATTTTTCAAGTCGCGCACTGTTGCATTCACAGTATCACCGAGCTCAAGGAGCTGCTTTACCAAGTGGCTTGCGATGTAGCCACTCGCTCCCGTGACCAGCGACCTTGTAGGCATCTTGTTCCAGTTTTCTGTATTCAAAGTGGGTATCGGTGCTAAGAAATAGAACGAGGATGAAATCTGAAGCGGTGTACAAAGATTATTAGTGTATGATGATGCTGGATTAACTGCTCTCTTATATAGTTCACCGAAAGATGCCGCGCGGCCTCGGATATCGCTCTGCCAAGGCGTCCGTACAACCACATGCTATACTGTAAGTGGTCATAGCTTGCAACATTCCATTGATTACAACTAGCTCCATCATTGAACTTTTGACCCCGAGAAGATGCGTACACAGTTACTCTCTAGAGCGGGTACGTAATGCTTACTTGGGCTACAACAAATCACTGCTAGCGGTCTACGGACAATACATTTGCCTAACACTATAGGATATTTCGAATAGGTTACTGCTCCAATATACCGGGCCACGCAGACGCGATAAGAATTTCAAAGGTTTTCTAATTGTACAGGACATTTAGACCTGCCATATGCAGGCTACAGCTCCGCTTCATCAATCAATTGTCTGGATTCAAGCCTCCAAACCTTACCGCAAAACACGGCAAACGCTCTGCAGAATAACTGTAAGGTTCCGCACATTCTTAAATCCCTCACATACATTTCCTAACACTTACCATAACTATACGCTGATATATCCACGGTCTAGATGATTAAATTCTAGACAGATCTCATGATGTGGTAAGGCTAGCAGAATTTTCCATCTATTGCATTACCGCTAGATGTTATGCCGCATTTCATCAACCGTTTAGCTTTACTCAGCAAACAACACACTCGGCATTCCTTCTCCACCATAGTTTAATACTATTCGGGCAAGGGCATTGGTATGACGTGCAGAGATATTCCAAAGGTCATTCCGTCATTGTTATTGATGCAGCGGATAAGCCGAGGGAGGACATCATTTGCTCGATCGAGCAAGGTACTGTCGGCCATATCGCTGATGATGTGGGGGCTGCCATTCGTGGTCCTTGAGCAGCGGTACTAAGGCCGCTATTTCGTCCGTGTAGATCTCTCGGAAGCTAGTCTCCAACTATTGAACAAAGATGAAGCTGTGGCTGACATGGCATACTTTGCTGAGAATTGCTCGTTCAAAAACCACCATGGACTGGACGCCTCCATGCTGCCTGTCAATGCGCCATGGATATCGTACGGGCACTGGATTGCCGGTATGGAGGCTGCCTTACTACGCAAAACGTATCCAAAGCCGCTTTGAGGTGCGATCGCATCCTCGATTCCTCTCTTAGCCATGCAGAACGTGTGGCAGTACTTTGAAGCCATTCGACTGCAAGCAGATCCTCTCTGCATGCAGGTTGTCACCACAGTTGTGGCTGATATTGATAATGAGATTGTCGGAGCTGACAATGATGAGAACGGAGAGACAATCATCACCAAGTCATTAGTACAGTATCGGGAATGTTCAACCTAAGTGGCGAGAATACAATATGCGATTTCGTGAACTAGAGGTCGTAACACCTCTAGGATTATGGCAGAGGCGGCCGTGAGATGAGACGCAAAAAGATAATCGGGCCTGTGAGTGGTTCTGCTTAAATCTGACGCAAAGAATTACATTAGAAAAATCGGCCGACAGGCAAAAAGGCCTGGCGGAGCAGAGTTTAAGGCCATTTTCCAAGGCTAAGTAGGAGAAGATTTTGCCTATCATATTCGCCACTACTTAGCTCTCGGCCATGAGGAAGATAGATCGCAAGGCTACTAGTGCTCGAACGACAAAGTGTTTTCTCTTGGAGAGATACGCCTTTCTAAGACTGAATCTCAGCGGATTGATCTGACCCAGGTCTAGCGATTGTGATATTGGCAAGCCTGTACTCAGTCACGTACATGCCGTTGGAGCCACCTTAAGATGATTGCAAATTAATTGATTCTCTGTAGTAGGGTTACTTCTCCGCAGCTAAGCCATGTCCACTGCCAGCAGTCCTCTCACGTTCTCTCAGCAAGTTCCACTTGACACAGGTCTATCGTTTTGCTTATAAGTTCCGTAAGCTCTTCTTCAATCGACAGTTCTGTCATTTATCTAATATATACTGTTTGACAACTTGCCCTATCATATCGTATGATAATAAGAAGCGGCTTATTTGATGCGTATAGCCTTGTTACATCACTAACACAAGATACACGAACTTCTAGCGTCATTCTAGCTCTAATTAAGCACTTCTACGATCCTGCAGGGCCCTAACGCTAAGTCTAACAAAGTTTAGTTTTACAATGGGGAGGGGCATCCCGACCGAGTAAGGTATGAGTTGGCTGACCTTAGATTGTCGCTAGGATGAAATCGCTTCCGCCTCGTTCATCGGACTTCCTTGCGAAATTTGACAAGATCCTCTCGATTCGCCCTCAATTTCTAGTGCTACGTGCTGCGTCGGGTGATTGTCGGAACAATTTCTAGGATCTCTGAATCGTGGTACAAAGACTTTGCAGATCGTGTCTTGTAGCGTGCTACTAGTGCAGCCTCTAAAGCAGGAGATTTTCATTGCCGAAAGGTGCGCTAACACAATTTGCATCATTTCTCCGAAAAGTGGCTTGCCCTTGTGTAGCGCGAACATGATTGACAGCAGCGATTAGGGGGCTGATCGTGGTCTAGCGAGAAATAGTTCCACAGTTTGACGTCTGAGTGCGAGAAAATCATGCCGCGTCCCTGAGAGTCATTGGCAGTGAGGGTTCTAGTAGAAAGCCTAGAGTTCAGCGCCTACCCCGAGCCGTGTTTACTTATCAAGCCAACTCCTGAACACTTCCTCTAAAGGAACCCAACTGCTCAGATGAAACAAATCTCCTTTATCGCTCTTACGCTCTCTTTAGACCCCCCGAAAGCAAAGTCATCCTCTGCTATATCTCAAGATGATCAACGCCTCTGGTCTCCCGCGTGACACCAATGCCCTGGTTAGTCGCGGGGGCGGTATTCACGTGCCTCCCGAAGTGATTGCCAGTTGGCCGACTCCCAATTACATCTCTCCAGAGGAAAGGACATGGGGCGCCCCAGCAGCTCTGTCCATTTTGTTGGTGGTAACGCTTCTCGTCTATGTCGCCCGCATGTGGGCACGACTGACCATGACCAAAAACGCTGGTGCTGATGATGCTGTTGTAAGCATATCGATGATACCCTTGATAGGACTATCGATTGCCACAATTCTCGGTATGAGCATTTATATCAGCCATCTTGTCACAACTAACATATTTAAGGCGTGAAGATTTATGGCTTCCAATGGCATATGTGGGATCAAACACCGACAACAAAGAACACAACAACATACGTAAGATCCGGGCTCACTTTTCTATTCTTCAATGAAGCTCATTGAAAATATCTAGGTCACCATGGCAATCGAACTCACTTACTTGCTTTCCACGACGCTGATCAAAATTTCAATCTTGCTCTTCTACCGCCGGCTGACTGGCTCCTCAACTACCAGATTTATATACCTAGTATGGGTATGCATAGCGGCTTGCATTCTGTATTTCTTCACTTTTATTATTCTTATTTTCTTCACCTGCTCTGTAGCTGTTGGACGAAAGGATTGTGCCGAAGAAGGACCATTCATAGTCTCTGTCACGGCTGTTTCAACCGTGCAAGACCTTGTTATCTGCCTGCTTCCTGCTATCCTTATCTATAAGCTTCAAATGCCCAAGCGCCAGAAGCTCGCAGTCTGTGGCATTTTTGGCTTGGGTCTTGTGACCACGATCTGTGGTATCATGAGATTATATTATGCAATTTATCTTTACTATTGTAAGTATCGCAATAGAGCATTATAGAATCATCCGACTTATCATAATCTAGTCACATACGATGCGACATGGTACGCCTATTATGGCTGGATTTGGACCGTACTCGAAGCCGACCTAGGCTTGATCTGTGCGTCAGCTCCAACACTTCGAGTCTTTTTCCGCCACTCTTTAGGCTCGACGTCTTCACATACCAGTGATCCGCGATCTGGGGCCAATAACCCATCTTCTGGTGTTCTGTCGAATAAAGCAACCCACTCGAGGCCGATAACGTGGAATGGTGGGAGCAAAGATGTGGAATCTGAAGGAGAGAACATTTACTTAGACAGTATAAAGGTCGAGCGGGGCTTGAGCAGCAGGATCGACGCAAGGGACGATGCAAGCCAGAAGAGTGATTCCAGCACCCGAAATCTTACAACAATAATCCATGGGCCTATGTCGAAGTAATAAGGTCAACACCCTTTCATGATATACTATAGAATACCAGAATTTCAGTAACATTCCCTTAAAAAAGTGTGCGCTCAATGGCAAGGCCGAAAAAAACGCTCCTAGCATGATAGTGGAATATTGATAGAGCTTTGATTGCCTAACCACTCTTTGGAGACTCAGTACAGACGTTGGCAGCGATTTTAATACATAGTTTACTTTATGCCTCGCCAAATGGAATAGTTCGGGACAAAAGTTATCTAATTCCACACTTTTTCTACTCTAATCGACGTAATTGAATCTATCCATGGAAACATTAGGGTCTTGTCCATCTATCTATTTGCCATCCAAAAATCAAACGCTCTTCCCTTTTTTTTAAAATCAAAATCAAAGATCAACCGGCGAAATTCCAGCACTGAGACTGGAAAATGGGAGCATTAACGTTGAACAGCGTCTTGCTGAAGATAGTTCCAACGTAGGCAACAACATCCATGTTGAAGGTGCTCGCGAACCAGGCGCCGTTAGGGCAGGTAGCCGTGTCTGGTTTAGTGAAGGTGACGCCTGAACTACTGGCATACGCAAAATCGAGGTCAGCAGAGAAGGCGTTGATGATCTGAGGCTTGACTTCAAATCCGGTCGACAGGTCAATGGCGCCTTTGAAAACGCGAATACCAAGGGCGAGGTTCAAGTCGAGATACGGGTTGAGCTGTAGTGACACCTCGGCGTTGACATTGGAAGAGACGGTGGTCTCGGGTTTCCAACCACTACTGGAGGACTTATCGGAGTCAAGGAGATCGAGGTGGACCTGCCCACTGACAATCTCGGTGTGGAGACCGAGGGTGGCATCGACAGTACCTGATGCTGCAAACTCGACACCAAGACCGAATTGTGCGATAGGGCCGACATCGAGAATTCCAGGAATGCTAAAAGCTGAGACAGACGCAGAAAGCGGCTGGTAGTTGTAAAGGTCGGAAGAGAAGGAAGCAGCGACAGTCGTAGATACGTTGAGATTCACGGAACCGGAGTAGTCGACGTCAAGATACATCTTGCTGGGCTTGAACTTGAGAAAGTTGAAACGGAAGCCGCCCTTGACACGGATATTGCTGTCGAACCTCGCTGTATCGACGACAATCTTGAGATTTTCCGTGTCGATGATGGTACCATGAATCTCGCCGCCGATTGACGCCTCGAGATCTCGCTTGGCAGGAGCCGTGATAGTATCAAATTCGACAACGGCATCTTCACTTTGCTCATCTAGAGCAGAGCGTTTGCCAGAAGCAGTAGCAGTGAGAGAAGCCTCATCAAAAACAAGGTCAGAAACGGTGTAGAAACCACGCTCATCGGCAGTGTTGCAGTCGCCATCCGGAGAGTAAGTGATGATGATGAAGTCGGATTTAGGCCATGCGCCAGAGGCGGCTTTGACAGCAGCAGTATCGCTAAAGGTCATGGACACAGCGGCGTCAGCGCACTTGACGGAGGCGATTCCGGCGACTTCTTCCAACACCACGGCAGGCTGCTTCATAGCAACGTCAACCAAGGCCGACATGCCCTCAGCACCATATCCAAGGACAATTTCCTTGGCCGGCACCATATTTTCCTGTCTGGCCTGGAGGCTGGTGACCAGACCGGACTTGAGAGCCTGGGGGCGCGGGATGGGCTTTAATATGACTGGAGGTCCAGTCTTACCACCTGTTTGTCGGGACTCGAGATTTTTGAGGTGACCGGGCTTGACTCCAGGCCTGTGAATAGGTTTTAGAATTGTAGGCAGCGTTTGACCTGGTGCCTGTCTCATATCGGCACTGTTGAAAAGAGACGGCTTCAGTCCATCGAGTCGCTGGACAGGGCGAGCAACGGCATCGTTGTCATTACTGGGCAATACTGCAGCGCTGGTGAACCCAGTGAACGCCGCGATTAAGCAATGCAAAGAACTAGAAGTCTTCATGGCTGCTGTAAGATGATAGTACTTGAACGAGAGGCAAGCAGAACGGCGCTGCAACGATAATCAACAGAAGCGAATGACTGTGATTATGGAAACAAAAAGAAGGTGTTAAGGAAAAGACTGGATGCTGTGGGGTGAGGAGAAGAAAAATGAGATATGGAGAGAGTGAGAGCTTTATAACATGCATTGTGATGTCTTTCCGAAGTGTTTGAATCGTGCATTGAGCTGGATACCAAGCGTTGCTATTGTGATGCCAACTATCTAGTGGCATCTGATATGGTTTGAGGGAGCTTATTGATCCTTGCATCATGTAACTCTTCGCATCGAGGTGTGAATGTGAATGGCTACCAATAAAGTAAACCCCTGTTGGCCGTAGTTATGCCTGGGGTTGGATATGCGCCATGCAATGACAGCTACTAACAGGGTTCATTACACGGGGTTGAACGTCCTTGAACTAGGAAGCTCTGCCGAACTACCCGATGAGCAGGGTTTCTTTTTCGATTTGAAGTATGGCAAAATACTCAATATGTAGATATCCGCTTACTTTGTGCTCACTTGCACCTAGAGTGAAGACGAAGAATTTCCTGTAGAGGTCAGTCGTTGACTACGGTACTAGTAGCGACACTATGACCTGGTTTTCAACCTCCAATGATCTCCGCACAGGGTCGTGTACTAAAGCTTGAACGAAGGAATCTGTGGCTAATAATTCAAAACCCTAAAGCCTTGGCGTCTGAAGGAAGCCACTGTTCATCGGCGCAATATAGTACTGGCCGGCGAAATGCGAGGGCCGCCTTAATGCGCACCTGGAACACCAACATTGACACTGCAAATATAGGTGTACAGCCACCTACAATAGCTATGATTAAGGGCTTTGTGGAGACAAGTTTCATAGACTGTATATAGATTGAAGTTTTATGTCCAGTGTATCTAAGGCGGTTTACGGGATAGAAGTTCGTAAGGCACCGACACCAAATGGACTTTTCTTGCCCTCCCACACTAGTTCTGACTACTAGTCGCCGTCTAGGAAATCCGCGATAACCTTGCTTTCTGCAATATCCTAGAGTTTCTCTTCGATTTTCCAAGACTTGAATACATGACAGGCCGGGATGTCAGTATTCTGAAAAAAATAGACCCTCCAGCACGTGCGCCTGGGCCTGGTTGAATTTGTTGTGGACGGATGTCTCAACATCATGTCGAAACACCCACTTTGGGAACTTGAGCCGAATGTGTTTGGAATCCTTTCGGATATTTTCCCAATTGGTTGCACCCATAAGCTGGGAATTCACGAATACCATCTTCTGGATGCAGCTGGCGCGCTAATAGCGCAGCAAGTTGTAGACACGTGCACCCAGCGGTCCACTTTTGGAAACGTTACTTATCGGTACACGCATTACACGCATATCTTAGGTAAGTCGCAAGTTTAGCAGCGTCTTCGACCGCCAAGGTCGCACCGCTAACTGAGGATATGACAGTGTTATGCGCTACATCTTCGACCCGCACCACTCTACCACTCTTTGATGTTCACTCAGGGCGCAAATTGCGCTAGATTAAGGGCTAGTGCGTTATTGAGCCTTCGGGTGTCGTACTGACAAGACCCTAGATAGCGGGATGCCAGTCTGAACGTTGCAATTGTCGGCGGCTTCGCAGGCTTTGCGCTCCTCGTAGGACTTCAAAAGCCCGACAGAGTGAATCACCGTTCACAAAGCAAGAGACAGTCCGTACGGTGCTGCAGGCTTATGATACGACGCGCCAGTTCCGTAGCCAGAAATTTGTCGTGACAAGTTCGGAAGTGGGTTGCCTGTTGTCTGGCAACGAGCCAGGGGTTACGATGGAAGCTACGCCGATGTTTGAAGCGCTGAAGGACAAGATGCATTGGATGTGGGATGCCGGCATAGAACAACAAGTCAAAGATGCAAGACTGCTGTTGGATGAAGCGTTGTTTGCCATAAGCGTCAAGCAGCCACTCGACACACGAACTTTAAAGCAGCCGGAAGAGAGTAATATAGGGTAAATAGTGAAGTTCTAGGCGGGCTGTATGATGTTTCTGAGTGCTCGATACTCGTTTCCAGACTCGCTGCTGCCATTAGTACATTTCATCAGTCGATGCTGTTGTAAGAGATTCACAGCGGAGAGCCTACCCTCTACGTAGAGCCAGCCATCAGCCGTTCGAAGTAATCCATATCGATACCTTCCAAGGATCAATCGCCACTTCCTGTGAGACCAGGCAACAAAGCATCAAAGAAGCCGCCCTCTGAAAATTTTGGATTCCACACATTCTCATGAACACTTGTGAGGCCTGATTTCTCACTCACCATTACAGAGGGACTCATTATTCCAGCAGAATAGTGTGGCGTCGCTAGCATTAGGCTTTCGCGCTCGTCGCTAGTTTGCGTATCGAGTGTAGTTCCTTAATCGTCGAGTTCCCGCTGTGAGCTGCCGGCGGAGGCGTATAAAGTGTTGAGATCTACGGCAGAGTGTGAAATTGGCGTATGCGACTGCATGTCGCTATGTTCAGTCGAAAGATCCGGATAGCTTGTTGCCCGAGCGGCTATGCCTTCGAGTACGAATTTAATTAAACCAAAGTAAGGAATGTGCATCTGCGAATGATCTTGTTCTGCCTTTTCCACGAGAGGTGCGTTGTGCGCAACTTGCTGCACTACAACATTGTGTGCCGGGGCATCGTAGCCATCAGCGGCTTCCGCTTCGATAGCGAGCAGCCGCTGCAGGAGTTCTGCGCTTTGTCGACTGAGCGAATCTTCGTTAAGCCGACTGACCTCCTGTAAATTCTCCTGGGCCTGCTCTATCATGGCCCGGTCGCCTAGGTACAGGTGCGTGATGATGTCGACCTGCGAAGGGTGGCGATAGCTGTCGAGGTGGGCCAGAAGCAGCATCACTGCAGCCATGACGGCCAGGTAATCGACCGTGCGGCAGTTGTACGCGACTTGGTTCGATCTGCGTAACACAGCGAAACGAGAAAGGATCTCCCGCGAAGAATTGACACAGGCGAATTTGGAGTATGTGAACCGCCGGTCAGTAGAAGATAGCAACATGTAAGGTACGTGAGGCTGGTTGAGAAGATTGAAGTGGAAAATCTGCACATACGTACAGCCGCTGCACGTCCCAGCAGATTTTCTGCTTGGTTTGCATTGGGTTTCCAAGATCCGGGACCAGCCACCATTCGCTGGGGAGGGTTTGTGCAGCACGCTGCAGTTCTTTATCTAGACTTTGGGTTACACTGAATTCGACGCTTGTCGGATCGGATTCGTTGCGCTGCAATATGCGTGAAGCAATGACGCACTGCACTCTTTCAAGGCCGCCCATGGCGGTATCAGTGGCTAGTAGTGCTATGCTAGCCATGCTGACATCCGTAGAGCCCTGAGGTAGACCAAGTAGCAGGCACATGTAACGATCATAATGGACGATGCGGAACCACATGTACTGCGGATCACATCGGGTTGCGTGGTCTAGGACTCGATATTGTTTGGGAGTAGCCGGCCCATGCACATGCAGGCCGAGGAGCTGTGCGAGGAGCATTGCTCGGCGGCAAGCCATCCAACTAAGGCGCAGACTGCCACAATTTCCATGATAGATACTCTCCATGACAACGCACTCTAAACCTTCTACACTGGCCAGCATCCGGTCCTGAGAGGTAACGAGGCGAATGGCAAGCTCTGCAAGACGCTCTGCCATTACCCTGGGAGGCTCATGAAGGCCAGCTAACTCATGGTGTATATTGGGGTGCAGGTCTTGAAGAAGTGTGACTATGTTCAGTATGTGTCTGGCTAGGAGCACTGGGTGAGAATCTACGCTAGCTGGTGCCGGCAATGAGCCGGACGATGTGGGGTCATTGGGATGGTTGGGATGGTTGGGATCCAGCCAGGTGTAGGGCATACTAGTAAGCGTAGAGCCATTGAGCATAGCCGAGTGTCGGCTGCTTGCTCATTATATGATGTCGCATTCTTCTGGCGAAGGCAGTGCAGCATGGAGGGTTTTGGATATTTCTGCCATGGATGGAGTGCGGCTAGACGGGTGGCTATATGAAGAGCATATATGTGTCGGTGCTGGCGCAGGAGGTGGAGCTGTGATGCCTGGCCTTGGGTTCGCATCGATGGCGGTGGTGATGGCGGGCAAGAAGTGAGGCGCAGTCTCCTCAGGCTGATCCTGGGCGAGGCAGGGAGTGCTACGCTTCCTACAGCCAAGACAGATGGTTGAATCGTCTGCGCATGGCACACACTTCTCCTTCCGCCGCTTGCAAGCCCAGCAGCTGTGAGTGCCTTTGCGAAGCTTCTGCCGCTTGGGATGACCAGGTCCGTCCACATCGTCGGTGGAAACAGAGGCCATTGTGGTGGGAGCGACAGTGGTGAGGCTGGACAGTGTTACGATGTGCTATGTCGTCTGGCGATGCAACTTTGTGTACGTACCCTGTAGCAGTACAGTAACTATACTATGAACAAAGAAAGGTAAGCGCTTGCTTCGACCGCCGAAGTCATTCGTCCGCCGGGGTGGAATTGCGCCGAGCGACTGGTTTGTAGCTTGACTGCATAGTATGTAGTACTGTGCGTGCCGATGCAGGGCGTGGGAAATTAGCTGCATGATGCACTTCAGACTACGTACGTACCCGCAACGCCAAGTCTTGCCGCCTGTACGTAGACTACTGTAGTAGTAGTAGTAGTAGTAGTAGTAGTAGTAGTAGTAGTAGTAGTAGTAGTAGTAGTAGTAGTAGTAGTAGTAGTAGTAGTAGTAGTAGTAGTCATGTGACAGTCTACCATCTGCGTCGATGCTGCATGGCAATAATAGATACGAGCACAACATGGCTTACTAAAGTGTCGCAGCGCCTGCCTCCCGTCTCCTGCACGCCCAGTTTGGCGCGCTTTTCAGCCCGCAACAATCAATTGCGCCATCACTCTGCCTTCCGCCGCCCGCCTACTTGTCAGTGTCGGCTGAAGCAAACAAAGTCTATGGCCTAGCTCCGCCGACAGTCACTCTGTATAATGTCTGAAAGCTCCGGAGAGAGTCGCAATTCCACCGGATGCCGGATGTTCTGTATAATGTTTGAAAGAAATCATGAAGATACAAGACTACATTCCTCACGCTTCCCCCCGCTCTTGCTCCATTCGAAGCTATCCCAATCTATCTCAATCCTCCCCAACCTCACTCTGTAGCCACCATGGCCGCAGACTCGGCATCCAGCGCTGACGCCCGATATGCCGAGTCGAGAGGTAGCAGCGAGAAGAAGACGACCGATGGCATGCTCGACGCAAAGCATGTGGCGGCGGCCAAGGCAACCAATGGCGACGGCGAGGCTGCCGTCTACTACACTGGATGGCGCCTTACCGCCGTCATGGCCACCATCAACCTGACCACCCTCATTGCTTCCTTGGATCTGGTAGGTATCGTGCATGCATCTTGAAGACATGAAATGTGCTGATACACGACTCCAGGGCACTGTAGCCACAGCTATTCCGGCAATCACGAGGGACTTCAATGGTTTGGAATATATTGGCTGGTACAGCGGCGCATGCTTCCTCCTTGTCGGCAGTAGCAGTGCTTTATCAGGTAAGCTGTGCAAATACCTATCTGCACGATACGTGTTTATGGCGGCACTTGGCATCTACCTCGTGGGCAGTATCGTGGCCGCGGCAGCGCCCAACGGCATCGCATTGGTCGTGGGAAGAGCTCTGCAAGGTCTTGGTTGCTCAGGTAAGTGGGCTACTTGATCAAGGCTTCCATGGGCTTGCTGGCTGACCATGTGCGTCTTCAGGCTCTCTCAGCGGATCCGTCCTTATCATCAACTTCACGGCTACTCCGAGTAGTCGTCCTAGGTTGATTGGCATATGGATTAGTGTTTGCAAGAATCAGTCCTAAATCTCCGGTTTCTGCTACTTTTAAGAGCAATGCGCTAATGTGAAACAGTCATGTCAGCTACAATCCTAGGTCCGGTTCTGGGAGGTGTCTTCACTTCAGACGTTAGCTGGTGCTAGTGCTTCTGTATCAATCTGCCTGTCGGAGGTGTCGCAATCTTGCTGCAAATCCTCTTCTTACATATTCCAAAGCATATCAAGTTGGCTCCTACAACGTAGAAAGAGATCATCCTTTACACCGACATTCCCAGTTTCAGCTTCTTGCTAACCTCACTCATCCGCTTCACATTGGCACTAGAATAGGGAGGTCTAACCAAGCCATGGTCAGATGGCTTAGTTATTGCCACGCTCATCCTCTTTTTTGTGCTCACTATCGGCTTTGTAAGTGTTGAGTGGCTTCAGGGAGACTACGCGGGTGTGCCCTTGCGTCTCTTGAAGCCGCGCATGACCTAGGCTAACTGCATCTACGGCTGGCTGAACCCAGGAGCGAACTTCCTAGTTCTCTTCTACCTTCCAATCTACTTTCAGGATGTCAAGGGCACATCGGCCATCACCAGCGGTGGTATGATGGGCAAGACCCGCATGATCCACCCTTTCACCATCACCAGTGGCCTCCTCACAACTCTCGGCGCGGCTCTACTGTGGTCCACGGATGTCAACGCCTCCAACGCATGGTACATCGGAGCGCAGGTGCTATTTGGTCTCGGCATTGGGCTCGGCAACCAGGTTCCAGTCACCGTGCTGCAGGCATCCGCTTCAGCGGAAGACGTCGTGGCAACAACTGGCATCATTTCCAGTGAGTACGCTGGCAATTCAACCGCGTTTGTGGCGATATGCTAACACATATTGCAGCGTTCTAAACAGCAACTGGTGCGTACTTTGTTGTAGCGGCGTAGTCGATCTTTGCGGATTTGATGGTGCAGACTTTGATTGGGAATGCCAAATACATTGCCATTAGCAGGGTCCTGAGCTCCGGAGCAGGAGAGCTACAGACCCTCTACAACGGTTCGCAGTTGGACCAGGTGCGCAATGCGTACATGGTCGGAATAAAGGACGTGTTCGTCTTCTGCATCGATGTGTCGGCCGCCACCATCTTTGCCGCGCTGCTAGTGCCTTTTGTAAGGATGCCTGAGACCGAGACCCCGAAGCTGGAGGCACAGGAGAAGTCAGCGGAGACATAGTGGGAATTTGCACCAAGTCCAGCAGCACTCCCTGGGCATACGAGGACGGGAGAGAGAAGAGAGATTGAAACAGCCGCCAACAAGGAGGGGTTGTCCATACTCGGAGTAATGTGTGGGAACGGTATGGGAAAGGAGGTGCTTAGTTAGATGTTACATAGCAATCAAGTAGCCCCGCAGTGTAGATGTAGAGGTATTTATGAAAGGTAAAAGAATACTTAGGGTGTTTGACTTTGGAAAAGTGAGAGGATGGTAGGTGCTGATCCAAGCCGATGAAGATTTTGTGTGGGTTTCAACTTCGATGGCTGCCGCAATGATATCCATCTGCGCAGTGACAGCTTCCGCGTGCTGGTCGAGATCAAAGAACTTGGGGAGAGCCACTCTAGTGTCGTCGTATTTGCGTCGAGGAATCAGCCACCGCGGTGATTTAGGGAATAACAGGAATGTTACCACCAGCAGCACGCTGAGAGGGATCTGGCAGGCGATTGGAACTCTCCACTGCCAGTCGTTGGTTGGACTCTGTCTTGCTGAACCAGCGCAGACGCCGGTAGCTATCCCATTGCCCGCCGTCAGAGCGACGTTGTAGGTGCCCATCAAGAGCCAGCGATGGTGTGGCGGCGCGCTCTCGGTGATTTATATAATACCGGCAACGAAGAGCTGACCAGTACCAGCCGCATTTATGCACCTGTACACCATGTAGTTGAGGTAGCTCTGAGACGTGCCGAGCATCGCCACCAGTACAACACCTATCATCACCATACCGCGCCGCCCGACGTACGTGCCTGTGACGTTAGAAAGCACAGCACCAAGGGTTCTGTTTAATGATAGGAAAAGACAATACACTTAAACTTGTCAAGATAACATTTGCCCGCAACAAGAAGGGAGGAGTAGATGCGGTTGCGGGTTAACTGGCACTGTATTGTTCTAGGTTTTGAATACATTCAGTTGACAGTAACTGAATCTAGAATCGTCATATCATGGGATAGATATCCCATGTAACCATACTTTTTTTCAAAGAAAATGTGTCGTGGTGGACTAGCGCGCAACTGGTGTTCAACGAACCATGAGCGGCGGCCTAGCCCAAGTTGTGAAGAGTTTTTGATTCATCCAGTCCCTGGACTCCGGCAAGACCTCAATGTCAAACTCAAACACGACCAAGGCTAAGGCTAAGACGAGTCGCATTTAAATAAATGCCAGACTACAGGTACGAGGTTAGCCAAGGTTACCGTGTTTTCTTTTTGTGTTCGGCAAACCTACTTTCTGCCAATGCCGTTTCTCGGTCCGAAAAGGAACGGTTGTAGGACGTCCCGTTTGTCATTTGCCCATGCTGGCTGGTCGGAGTCTATGAATCTCTCCGGAGCGAATTCGTCGGGCCAGGCGAAGTTATGAGGCGATCTGAATGCAGCATATTGACTGATGCCGACCAAGGTATTGCCCGGGACGAAGTGTCCAGCGATAAATCCGCCTTCGGGTGTAACCAGGCGAGGATGATTCGTTGGGGAGGGGGGTTATAGACGCATTGTTTCATCGATTACTGCCGCCAGATAGCGCAAGCCGGCAGCTTTTGAAATGTTAATTTCACTCCTGTGGTTGAAAGCTGACCAAACCTCTGTCTTTAGTTTCTGATATACCTCGGGATTTTGGCGGAGGAAATAGGTAGCCCCTGCAAGAGCTATAGATGTCGTTTCGCTGCCAGCAACGATAAGGGGGGTGGCGTTATCAAACACCTCGTCCATCGTGATCTTGCCCTGTTTCTGAGCCACTAAGAGATTCTCCATCAAGTCTGTATACTGTAGCTTGGCTTCTATTCTCCGGTGAAGCTTTGCCCTTGTCATCTCCAGAAGTGCATGGCCTTCGTCGACGACTTTTTGCGGCACAAGTTTGATCAGAAGCCGAGTAATCTGTGGTGCTAGGCAATTGAAAGACCTGTTCCAGGAGATTACCCTCATGGTACTGAAAATTAACTTGACCCAGGGATGATATTCGGAGCGCGAAAGATAATCGAAGGATTCCGCGTATACTAGATGACCAATCACGTCGAATGCAAAATACTACACATCATGTTCAGACTTTGTGATCATTGTTTATATAGCATGACATACATTGTGGCATGCAGCCGCGTCGATTGGTTTGTCATAGACCTGGCGCAGTCGGTCTACCAGAAGATTGGCGTAGCCAGAAATGACGGATTCCTGCTGTCGTAGTGCTTTTTCCGAAAAGCCGTGAGACAATAGTCGTCTTAGCTTCGAGTGGTCATCCTTGAGAACGGAAAAGAGGCTTGGGCCGGCGTCGGCAGTAAAGATTAGAGATGAATCCTTGATGTATTCCGGAGTTCCATTGCGATGACCATATATGTCTTTCCATGCTTTCGGATCAAGAAAAATGAGTTCGTTTGGTGCGATTCGAATGGTCGGGCCGTAATTTAGATGCATCTGGTGTAAAGCATATTGGAGATCGCCGCGGAGACTATGATAGGAATGCCATAGAACGCCAGCTCTGGCCAACCAAGGGCCCGGGAACGCTTTTAAGGGGTGTAGGTATAAGTTGTAGAAGGCTCGAAGAATGCAGTACCACTTCGACTCTTAGTCAGTGTCGCGTAGCGTGATGGAGATCCAATGGCGAATTTGGATACTTACTACAAAGCTAGCAACAACAGCCAATATAGCCGCTGAAGTTGGAGCGAGTTGTAGCATCCCGTAAGAGAAGTTTTTTGATGCACTGTTTTTACAGTTCTCATATCAGGCCACTGTGCGGGATGAGCTTGCATATACAGTCATCCCGTAGCCCAATACTAGTCGCAATGGAGGATGGAAGTGAATTTGGCCAAGTATATAATGCTACCCAGGTTTTACCACAGATATAACTCAACCGGGCAGCTACGCACCCTGATTCAAAAACACACAAATGCAACGCGAATCAGACTGTTCATTTTCTCTTTTTATTTGTAGCGTAAGAATTCTCCAATATCATGCTTTACGTACTGAAATGTATCTCGCTCTAGTAGGGCTACCTTGTTATTCTTGCCTTGCATTGATAAGGGGAACTGTTCGGAACTCCAACGCTAAGCCTATTTTAGCGAAAAAGAGGCCTCTTTCGCCACCTAGTATTAGTTCCGGCCAGTGATTCCTGACATGAGCTGTGTGGAGACAGAGACGCGCTAGTTGTATGCTGGTTCGTGTGAGTTTCACATGTGTCAAAGTTGAACGTTGTTTTGGATGGCGTGACGTCATGGTAAAGAAAAATGACGGCACCTTTCACCTGCAAGTGCATGAGCATAGGATGGCATCATTATGCTTGCGAGTTCTCTTATATGATCTTGGTTTCTTACTTTCGACTTTGACTATCATTCACCTAGTACAGACATGGCTGACACTAGAAACATGGCTGAAATCATGAGGCATTCTGAACGTCTCACAGATAAAGATGATGGGGTGGTGCGCTCCATTAGCGATGTACCTATCACCGAACAACGAAAACCGTTCATGGACTCGAAAGGCTCTAAGCTTCAGCATCCAGGTATGTGTTCGCACATGGAACAATCCGCAGCTACATCTCTGATACAACCAGGCACGGCCCGTGCGAATCTCGCCCTATCGGTAGAATCCCCCCAAGGCACCAAGGGTTGGAAAGAGCAGCACTCCCACCAGACCGTTCTACAACAACATTGCGACTTCTTTGACCGCGATCACGATGGCATTCTTTGGCCACAGGATACGTTTGTCGGCTTCTACCGTCTCGGTTTTGGTGTCATCCTATCCATCGTCGCCGTTTTCGTCATCCACGCTAATTTCTCCTACCCGACGTGCTCTGGATGGTTACCTGATCCATTCTTTCGTAAGTGGTTCCATTTATAATTGCATAAGATTTATGCTAACTTCATGTACCACAATCTTAGGTTTATTCCTTGAGAATGTACACAAAGACAAGCATGGTAGTGACACTGGGACATACGATACTGAAGGACGCTTTTTGCCACAAAAGTTTGAAGACATATTTGCCAAATATGCCGATGGAAGGGATTATTTGACAATATGGGATGTCAGCAACGTGCTCAAGGGGCAACAGTGCATTGCGGATCCAATTGGTTGGGGTGGTGCATTCTTTGAATGTAGGTCAATATAAGTGTTATTGTTTTCAGAATGTGAAGCTAATAAACACAGGGATTGCTACGTACATAATGCTCTGGCCCGAGGACGGCAGAATGATGAAAGAGGATATCCGTCGCATATACGACGGGAGTATATTCTATACGCTTGCTGAGAGACGAGAGAAGAGTTCGTGAGATTGATGTCGTGTGGTCTCCTCGGGGTTCTCTCACTCGTGGGTTATATTCGATACGAGTCGTCACGGTTGAATTTGGAACGGCTTCACGTAAACGTTCCAATTCTTACGATGTTTTAGTAGAGTCTAGAATAACTAGAGTTAAATTTCTTGAATTTCGAGTTAACTTGGTCACGCCTCAGAACTGCAATTGGAAATGGTGATAATGTGGCGATTGAGAGAGCTATCCTTGGTTACATTCAATTCAGCAAATCGACTCCCCAGCGCTAGCTACGTGGACAAAGCTTACGGGAGGATGATATCACCAGCCAATTAGAGCTGCTGTAGACTGCACTATCTCGTTAAAGCCTGCTATTTTCAGTTACTGCGATTACGCGACCTCACCTGAAACCATGCATAGCCCTGTCGTCTACCCCGCAAGCGTGACATGCGTACCAATCGTATAACAAACTGCATCAAGTGTGCTTCTGTGTAAATGGGATAAATCTACTATATGAACCCGGTGGTCGCCATGAGTGACCTTATTGCCTAAATTAAATGGAAAAAGGTTGGTTTCTATGAGAGCGCAATACTACGCGACTTTGGTCCACATATCTCTCCTTGTTCTATCTACTCGTCAGCCATCTTCTTGATTACTACGTCATGTCGATCAGCCGATTCAACGCATCTGTAATATCTGGTACGAACGAAAATACGCTGGCTCTCTTTAACTTCAATGTTGATCTGTCTTTGGTCAAGCAGGAGGCTCCAAGTGAGTTCAAAGACCTAGGTCGCTCCTTAACTCGTCAACGTCGGGAAATTGCGGAAGATGGTTCTGTCCATAGGACTGCCCAGCGTCTTGGTGCCGTCTTCGAGGATATCGCGCCACATACTCCTCACTTAATACAAGCATATGGATCCAGAGTATCAGAAATATATAGGGATATCTCGAACGAAGGGCTCTTATCTAGTCGAGGCGTTTTTGCTGAGTGCGCCGGCATGGATGGAACATCTGTCTGGGCCGCAGCAACATCTGGTAAAACAGCTATTGCTGTTCACCTTCTGGCCTGTATGCTCGCCCGAGCCTGATCTAGTTCCCAAGCTACTTCCATCTGGTGGAGATCGTTGAGGCTCGGCGGCAAGAATTGCGAACACAGATCAACGATGGAATTTACAATGACTCTGCTCAACTTGGCCTGGCGTTATCTGCAGACCTGTCTCGAAACGATCTTGCTGAATTGGACGCATCTACTAGGGCCTGGCTCCAAGTCGCAGATGATGAGCAGATCAGCCAGCGAAAACAGCTTATGCTCATCATCAACAATGTGAACCTTCCAGTGAATCAAGGGGCAACATCCTTCGGAACACATGCACGTGTCATTGAGGCCTGGAAAACAGCGACAGTAACCATCGAGAAAGTTATTCGAGGGCAACCGCACAATGTCACGAAAGGGTCTGTTTTACTTGGCCTAGCTGCTTGGCACATTTATCCCAATATTTTGGTTTTGGGAGATGTCCCCACCCCCGTCAACTTCAATGATCCCGTCGTGGAAGAGTCTGGTCGACTCACCATTGGGCTGTCGAATCCAGATCCCGGCAAAGACGAGGGTGTTTACTGGTCTCTTTCGTTATCGCACCTTCGCTTCTACGGAGGTCCGGTTAGGGTTACGAGTATCACAACACGAGACGCTTCTAGGCTAAACATCGATGAGTTCCATCTTCTCGTTCTAGGCAGTATACTTGCTGATTGGGGGGGCCTCTACACACCATATATTCTCAAAGCAGCTGAGTTTTTTGTCTGTCTGGATGAGATAACATCTCGTTCCAATGAAACCCCTGATTTTCAGCCCTGGAAATGGCACTGGATCCACTTGTTTGCCGTAGCATCAAGGAAGCTCCTCACTTTAGAGGGCACTGAAAGAGACTTGGCAGTGAACACCGTCGCACTTGGCCAAAGGCGTGGTAGAAGCTTGTTGCGGGAGAGCGCATCTAGTATACCTGCCCTATTTGGATTGTGTGATTCTTGGATTCTCTATCTCCTCAAGGTGCAGGATCGGCTTGACTCCACAATCATCCAGAGCGAAGCAACAGAGGTTGAGATGATGCGATACATTGCGCGACAGCTGGATCTTCAACATGCAGAATGCATCATCAGAGCTAGAGGTGGACATAAACATTTCACGGCGATTCCGCACAAGGACACGAATTGCGAATACCACATCACTTCGATCGAGACCAAACCGTCTTCCTCGTGGGCTGGAATGTGTGAATGTCACGAGACGGGTCACCATTGTCACGTAGAAAGATGCCCCTGTATTCTTTATGGTCAATATTGCTCTAATGCCTGTCATAAAGAAGGTATGGGCCTACAAAACACTCCTTGTCCAGGCTTTCGAAGAGATGATTTGAGAATGAACAAGATTTCGGAGGAATGCTACGAGTGCAGAAACATGAATGATGACGAGGCTGTTCGATACAGAAAGGGCCCTCTATCCATCACTGTGGATCCCTTGCTTGTACCATCACTAAGCGATCTCGGGGTCAAGTTCAAATGCGCCAAAGACAAAACACATGCTGGAAACAATCCACCATTTGCGATTCATGATGCCAGGCAATGTCTTTGCAGTTGCTTTTACGAGGCTACAAGCGTTGGGCCTCCATCCTTTGTGCTAATTGCAGGATCGGAAACTGACGTAGGCTTGTTCCTGAGATTCGATATTGGGGTTCGTGCCAGAAAGAGGAGGTTTTATGAAGCACAGAAAAGGGCACAAACGGAAAGATTCCAGACCATTGATCAGGTGATCAGCTCTTTGAGGACAGACCAGATATCTCCAAAAACATAGTACGCTATCTTGCTACAATTCAAGAAGGAGACATAATTGGCACGCCTACATTTCAGAAGGGTCTTGAGATTCGCCGCTTCACTAATCGGTTTCTTTTCGACTCTCTCCACGCCCTTTCGCTTGCAACCAAAACGTTTGCTAATCTACCAGGCGCAACGATCAATCTCAAAATCATCAGTACACCATTGCACCAGTCTCTGTGGCTTCCACCTCAAGGTGTACGATTTCTTAGCCGCGGGCAAAAGTTTGCATGCATAGCAATGTTCGAATCAGGCTTGTACAACATTGATCCAATTGTGATGAAAGATGTGATTGCCATCTTGTCTCGCAACAGCATTTTTGCCTCCGCATTGCTTCATAACGACCCAGGTTCTCTTGACCACGTTAATGACGTGCGTCGAGTAGTTGGAAATGTAGGTAAAACAGGAATGGTCTTGATGGTCGCCCCGCAAGCACCACGAACGAAGGGAGTCAACTTGAACGAATTCCGCCTTGTTTGCCATAATCCGTTCGATGGCAAATCAGAAGACAGCTTTAGATCCACTTCGCTTCACTTGACTTTCACTGAATTCGAGCTCCCCATCGACGTTGGAGAAAGAGGAGCCATTGATAAGGATCTTTGTTTCGTGGAGACGCTTATACAAGTTTATGATCGAAATCAGTGGATTGCTGACATCGATGTCCTACCTGTATTCCAGAATGACAATGATGCTGTACATCGCAATACAGTAAAGTGTACGGGATGCTCGCCAAAAATACCGTCGATACTTGTGTCTATCGATAATTGGGAAGAATTACTAGATGTTCCAAAAGATCTTGGCAAACTCAGGGTGGCAGTTGTCAGGGCACATGATAATTGGCTAGCAAGACTTGCCGCTGCTTGCATCTGCCAACAGAAAGGTTTCCGTATCGTCATCAATCCTTCAAAGGATGTTTGTTGGCAATGCTGCTGCAAAAAGAAGTGGAACTGGACACAGGAAACTCTCCGCAAATCGAATATAGTGCTGCGTGATTCCATTGACATGGATGCAACTGTAGATGAACAGGCTGACGAAGCAGACACTACTGTGGAAAGCTCGAGCAGCTCTGATTGTGGAAGTTCGTCTGAAGATGATAATCACGAACCCGAACCAAGTTTCAGCACCTCCTTCACAAATAGACCTGGAGATAGTGCCCTAAAACCAGTATCCAGGCCCGTACCTTTCGGGCAGATTAAACAAGATCTGAATGAACTCTACGACGATGACGACGGGTATGAATCTGACGAAACTGTCATCGGAGCCTCGGACTCCGACGAAGAACATGGTACACTAAACTCAAACATTCCACAAGTCTTTATTTGTTAGGCGGGTATTTGATTCGAGTAGTTTTCCACTCGTTTTCAAACGATACATGTATTCGACTCTTAGATTTAAGGATCTCTATCGTGTCGAATAATGCCGTATCTCCATAGAAATTACTCAACGTGCGTTAATTGAAACCAGGAAACATCAATTGACTTATTGCGCCAAGACGTGACGCATCATCATGACCATTTTGATAGTCTATGTCTGTACCTGTCAGACCACTAGGCTGATGATAATACACCGAAAGATGAATCAGGGAAATGATGTACAAATTATTGTATTCTCCTTGAATACATACTATCAAATCACTCTAGTCATTAACCGTGTCAAAACAAACTTATAAATGAGTTAGGAGATGGATCGATCAATGAAATGCAATCATAGCTACAAGCGCTCTATCTATCTTCAGATATCACCTTACTCCTTAGTCAGATTATGTTGCTCCAGGCTCTGATCCCGGCTTAGGGACCTTACAGATTACTAGGTCCTTCAACAACGTTGCTGCTGAGGCTGGTCTTAGTTGATACTAACCAAAACTAGTGCTCAGAAGGAAAAGATTGCTTATGGCGATATAATCCCTTTGGCTCTATCCCATCTGCTGGTGACGCAGCCTCATCAAAATACTTGACAACGGACATATAGCCAGCTGCAAAAATCCTATGAGGCTCAGCTGATGCCAAGCGCTTATAGTACCAAAAAGGCAAATACTATGTGTTACGATCATTCGATTTACAAAATTTCAGCTACTTGACTAAGCTAGGAATTAGTCTAGCCTGTTTCGATGTATTCTCATCACCTTTCTCAGCCTCAGCTGAACCCTCTAAATTCTATCCTCAGTGCTGTCTTTAGCCCATATTCTATAGCCCCAGAATCCCACTGTAATCTCATATATATAAATAATGCCTTATTTACAGTAACCACAAACATTCGCACAAACATTCTCAAAGACATTAAACACGCTTTCACAGCTTTCGACACCATGAGATTCAACATTTTGCCAATGATCGCTATCGCGGCAACTTTACCAAGTGTTTCTTTATCTGCCCCGACGACTGATTCTATTGGCATCTTTCCCCGCGACAACACCGCTGCTATAATTGGTACCTGGGATGACCAGAAATGTGGCATCTCGAAAGTAGATGACAGCGTCGCTATCCCTGATGACCGCCCCACCGGTAATTGCAAGGAGTTGCGTGGGAACAGTATGCAGGTCTTCTGGGTCAAGAAGGGGTGCGTAGGTACGTATATTGACCCGCTCCCAAAGCGCCACAAATGGACAATTTAATGAGTACCTTCATAGTTTTGCTTTTCAAGAACAGAGGCTGTAAAACGGACCCAACACCCGCAACCTCGCTGGCGAATGGCTGGAATCAATGTTTCGACAATAGTCGATATGTGAGCTGGACAACATATTGTGGGTAGAGTGGTGGACAAGGTACTATTGGTAGGGTGTGGTAATGTGATTTGGGTGACGGGATCTGTAGATCGCATAATTATGGCATAATCTAGACAGGGTATTTAAGATTTTGTAGACAATGCTAGCTGTGCGCGTGAGATAAACCTCGCTAAGGACGTGTTTGGTTGCGCGTTATGCGCCTGCATATTTAATGCCCGTTTGGGTGTAGAGCTCAATAGCGAAGCCTAGCTAGTATCGTGGCTGCACACATAGACCTTCTGTAGGTCACGAAGGGGCGGTTTGTCTGGATTTCAACATGATTTCGGATCTACTACTATTGGTCTAAACTTATGGAGCGCGTGCGAGTTCGGATCCGAACGTCACTCCGAAACCTCGGCTCCGACTTATCGGTCAAACAGGCTGGGCATTAGCGGGATATGAATAACACATGCGCATGTTCATAAGGGTTCAGCGTAGGGTTTAATACATCACTCTCTAACACCAGTACTCGTACAAAATGGTCTCTGATTATCTGACTCTTCTTTTTCTCCTTCTGCGTCACTTGCCCTCGTTCGCACTTACAGCCTCGACCCGCAAGATTAAGGCTGTAGTCCACCGTTACACCTACAAGTCCTTGCCATCAACGCAAACTAAGAATGTGGTCGTAGTCGGCGGTTCCTTCACAGGATATTTTACAGCAAAACACCTAATCGAGACTCTTCCCAGTGGATATCGCGTTGTACTCATCGAGAAGAATTCACATTTCAATTATGTGTTTGCCTTTCCCAGATTTAGCGTGATCCAGGGGTACGAGAAATTTGCATTCATTCCATTTCAAGGATTAGAAAAAGGAGCACCAAAAGGCATATTTGAGTTTGTGCAAGGAAAGGTTGATAAGGTGAATGAGCGCGTCATCAGACTGGAGGGTGGAAAGGAACTGGAATATGAATACCTAGTGATTGCCACTGGCACGTCATCAGCAATTCCCAGCAAGGTAGCAGCAACGGAAAGTCTTGATGCGCAACGAGAATTGAGAGGCTTGCAGAGTAAAATCGAGAAGGCGGCACGAATTGCGGTTGTTGGTGGAGGCGCAGTAGGTGTCGAGCTTGCAAGCGATATCAAGGACTTTCATCCCGAGAAAAGTGTTGTGCTGTTACATTCAAGAAATAGGCTGCTCCCAAGCTTTGGAGAACGGTTACATCAGTACGTAACGAAAAGGTTTGGTGAAATGGGCGTTGAGGTCTGGCTCAATGAACGGCCACAGATCTTGGAGGGTAGTCACACCCTCAAGCTCAAACGAGGCGGAGAAGAGACCTTTGATCTCATCGTAGGTTATCCCTTGGGTGTCGAAATTCCCTCGGTCAGTCAACTCACGAAGCGCAGATCCCATGTACTGGTCAGCGGCCAAACAGCTCAGTCATATCCAGCCTCTCGTTGGAGTCAATATCAAAGGATTCTTCCCACATTCTTGTAAGACCAACACTGCAGATCGCTGATGAGCGTTTTCCGAATGTCTTCGCTGCGGGCGACGTTGCAGCTTCTGGTGGACCAAAGATGGCACGAGCGGGTTATATGCAGACCTTCGTTGTTGTTGACAACATCTTATCCCTAATCAATGGGAAGGATAACATGAAGGTCTACAAGCCGATGCGTTGGCTAGAAGGCTCGATCAAATTGACTTTAGGAAAGGTAAGCATTATCGATAGTCCGTATCATTGAGAGTGAGCACTGAATATTACTAGGAACACCTTGTGATGTATACGAATGAGTCTGCTGGAAGGGACACGCTCGTGGCATCAAATTCTGGGAAGATTGACATAGATGTCAAAAAGCAGTGGCGCCAGTTTGGGGAGGATATAGCTCAGCTATAAGAAACCGTAGCGTAACAATATTCAAATAGACACTCAGAAGTCGATACAGTTGGTCTTAGAAAGAATTGGCCACACAATACTACACCATAGCGACAGCCCCAATAAGCGGTGTAGCTATATATTTGCCTACAATGACAATATACTCTAACTCCTTTCGCTCAATCTGTATCGACTATGGCCTTAATTTATTGTATCCATCTGGCTTATAGCGTATCGGACTGTTTTTCTCAAAACAGAATAGCAAGTCTCACCTCGGCTAGCTAGAATTAATGTGTACTTAGCGTAAATATTTCAAAGAGAAACACGTACTAAAACCTCGAAGTTTTGGCCCCAAGTTTCATTAAGAGAAGTCCCACCTTCGAAAACTACATGGACTATTCATGTATTTGCATAGCCAAGTCCCACTAGCGGAGCCTGCACAGACTACACTACTCATATGACTGCATAGCTTAGCGTTCAGCCTCGGATTGTTACCAGATGTTTGTCCGCGGGCTCCGTATCTCAAATCAGGAGACACAGGTAGGTAAATATTAGATGTAGAACAGTGTAGATAAAGTGAGTGTGAGTATATTGTCTGCCCCTTATCCTGTGTTAAAAACTTCACCCAATAATATATTTCTAATCGTTCTTGAACTAGGCTTCATATATCACTAAAGTACGTTAGCAGCCATAATGGCAACCTACAAAGCTCTGGTATTGGAGCAGTTCGGCACGTCCCTGGTCCTGAAAGATGTTCAAACCCCACCTGTTACGCTCGGCTCAGCGCTCGTCGCACCACTCTATGCGATGATACCTCCGCTACTTCCGGTGCTGTTATCTGGTGCTTTCAAGGAGCAAGTAAGTTTATCAAGAAAGAAATTTTGTATTGCTCCGACTTTCGATTCCACCCTGCATTAACATGCTGTATAGCTGTTGTTTCGAACTTCCTTACTCAATACCAAATCACCTGTCAATTTCATTGCTATTTGTTCTAGCACCGCTCCGCTGCAGATTACATCTAATGTTTCTAGTATCCAACCTTTCCCTCCCTACACTCCGGGCTATTCTTGCGTTGCAAGTATCCTTTCTCTTCCCCCCGATGCCATCACCCTTCAGATCGGCGACCTTGTTTGGGTCGATGCCACGATCCGAAGCCGCGACAATCCACACACCGAAATCATTCGCGCCTCCCTCTGTGGCGCTGACCCGGGCTCGCTGACCCTCATGAAGAGCGTCTCGAACGAGGGGGTTTTTATTGAGAAATTGCCTGTTCCGCTAGAAGGGATTTTTTAAGTTAGAAGAGAAATTGGTGAAGGGGAAAGAGGAAGGTGGATTGGGATACAAGATTAGTGACTTTGCGCTTTTGGGATCTTACCTGTTAGCAGTGGGAGGTTTGGCAAGCTCGAATATCGGGGTGGGTGATACTGTTATTGTGGGGCCGGCGACAGGCAAGTTCTCAGGGGCCGGGGTGTTAATTGCATTTGCAATGGGTTGTAAGGTTGTGGCTACAGCTCGTAAAGCTGAAAAGCTTAAGATATTATAAAAGTACTATGCTGCGAAAGAGATGTTATCAACGGTTGTTCTAACGGGCGACACGGACATGGATGTGAAGGCACTAAGAGATGCGACAGGTGAAAAAGGAGCGCACGCGTTTGTGGACTACAGGCCTTCCTCTTTAAAGGCAGAACTGCTGTTTTTCATGGCAGGCATCAAGTCGCTCCGGCGTGGTGGAGAGTTTATTTTGCTGGGAGGCGCATTTGCTGATCTTAAAACCTCGTATCAAGAGATCATGCCGCGCGAAGTGAAAATCCGGGGTAAATTCATGTATCAGCATGAGCATATAGAACGCTTCTTGAGAATGGTTGAAACAGGGAATTTGAAGATCGATCCAGAAGCGGGTTTGAAGGATGGGTTCAAGTATTGTAGTCTGTATCAGGTGGAAGAGGCGTTGAATACGAATTCAGGATGGGCGTTTGGGGACCAAAGTTTGTTTACCCATAATAAGTAGTGAAAAAGCGCGATGATCTCTCAACCTTACCAGTCACAATTATTAAATAGCTGTTATTACGATATTCATCACTATTAAAACGTAAAAGTATCTCTACAGGCGTCTATATATTCACTTTTCCCCAGTCACTTAATTCAAAAGGACCACATTGATTTCAGTGTTGGCAGCGGTGCAGTATAAGGGTAGGGTAGTCCACCATGCAGCTAGAGTATATATAATTAATTCATAGATTAATTAAGTCTAAGCAATTCTTGATTCACAGAAGCATTCTCTTCCGTGGATATAGATCATGGTGACAAATAAAAGGTGGCTCGCGTCCAATATAGTAAGACTAATGGTCCAATACTATCCACGACCGTTCACTAAAATAGCCGCATACTTAGCTTGAAAAAAAGAATATAAGCGTATATTGTATTCACGTTCACTATACTCCGGTTGGGGACGGCCCGGACCTAGGGCATGACGCTATCAGCCCCGCGTTGACGCAAGATGTTACCTCAATTGCGCTATCAAGGCCGCATCACACACCTGTTGACGTGATATACCAATCTCATTGCGACACTAAATTTTTTATTATATCGAGTCTCTTCGCTGTAAGGCTTTCAGAATGTACCCTATATTGGATATCGATCATTAACATGGCTACTGCTCAAGTATTAAGAACTGGTCCGGTTGGCCAACCCGATATCGATTATGCTCCCGATCTCGACAAGTATCTTGCACGTGTTGCCCGCCGAAAAGCTACTGAAGAGCTGTCGAATCAGCTACCAGATGGATTTCCCCACGAACTGAACTCTGACCTCGTATGGAATGGAAGCGACATCACTGAAAAGTACAATTTCGTCTACGAACTCAATGGGGAAGAGCTTCAGGAGATTGATGATGCGCTAGAATACTTCAAATGTAAGCTATTTTGATGCGTATAATTGAGGTGTACTGAAACGACAACAGCTCTTGGCAAACCACTCGGCTTCATCAACCAAGAGACATTTCCTCTTCCAAAGCTGCACGCTGAGCTGCGCAACATTTCCGATGAGGTCCATAACCGACGTGGCTTCAAGGTCCTTCGAGGCCTGCCATTTGATAAGCATGACCGTGAGGAGAATATTATCATATACGCTGGAGTCTCGTCGCACGTAGCTCCAATTAGAGGGCGCCAGGACTTTCAGTATCAGGGAAAACCAGCGGATGTCGTCTTAGCTCACATCAAAGATCTAAGCTCGATCGTGGATGCTGACAAAATTGGAGCACCTGCTTATACGACCGATAAGCAGGTATTTCATACTGATTCGGGTGATGTTATTGCCTTGGCATGTTTGGAGACTGCTGCGGAGGGTGGCGAAAGCAAATTGTCCAGCTCATGGACAGTGTACAACGAGCTTGCCAGAACGAGACCAGATCTTATCAGGACCCTGGCTGAGCCTTGGGCCAGCGAGAAGTACGTTGAACTTCTAACTACATAAAACTTGAAAAACCTCCTGACTTTTGTGATAGTTTTGGCGGTAGGGGGGACAAGTATGCACTGCGACCATTGCTTCACTATCAGCCAAAGACCGAGTCTGCTCCTGAGAGACTGATCATCCAGTACGCACGAAGGACGTTCACGGGCTATTGGGGTTTGCCAAGATCCTCTGACGTGCCACCCATCACTGAAGCTCAGGCCGAGGCTCTTGATGCCCTCCATTTTCTGGCTGATAAGCATTCTGTTTCTCTTGGGTTTCGAAAGGGCGATGTACAATATGCCAACAATTTGAGCATTTTCCATGCCCGAGATGGATTCAAGAACACTCCGGAGCAGCAGTGAGTATCAACTCACATGATCTTGCAAACTCCCGTGCTAAAGCAATTTAGGCGTCATCTTATCCGCCTTTGGCTGCGTGATCCTGACAATGCATGGCCTACGCCCGAAGCGTTGAAGCCAAGATGGTCCATATACGAAGGCGTAACGCCTGAAAACTCTGTTTTTCCGCTGGAGCCCACAATCCGTACTGCAAGTGGAGGGAAAAGCAAGCCGCTGGAGTGAAGTGTATTGGCCGTTTCGAGATCCTGTACACCGTGGCTGCAAACTTACTTGGCTCAGATAGTTAGTGCTATCTAGACGTATAAATTCCCACATAAGAATGCTAAAGCCAATTACAGCATCTACCTATATTGTTAAAATCACTACCTAGCCAGCAAACTCAAATAACTTAAGTAACGCCAACAACAATTTTAGTCGGGATAGCGCTTTTTGCCACCTTGTTATCGTTAGTAACGCAAAACACGTTTGCAGACATAGTATATCGTAGATAGCAATATTGCGAGTAGAGCCGAGCAGTTAGAAGAAGGACCACCCGGGCTTGGATTCCTTTTTGGGCTCTCGGCAAGATACACCGGGATCATAATCACCTAATCCATATGTGAGTACGATCCTATATTCTATTTAGAACGTTCCACATGAACGTTACATCACCCCCGCTTCCAAGCTCGCCTGGTCATTGTCTGTCAGTTATTCTAAGTTTCCCACAACTTCTATCGCCTCCAACGTCATGACTTATTCCTAGCTATGTAGTATACAGCACTTCATTCTTTATCAAGCTATAGAAATTCGAATCTTCAGTAAGAACATACGAGGCTGCGCGACGAACTGCCCAGTGAAGCGAAGACCCAGCACCTTGGCCCTTCAAGGTACCCCTGCGATGTCGCAAATACATTATCTTTCGCGTGCTCGGCACGCGACACAACTTGATAGGTTTAACAAGTATCTGAAGGCAATGCGCTAGAATTTAACAATCCTGTTGCAAATGACGTGCGATGGTGACATCCACACTCCTATTTGCAACCAACCCCAACTGCGGAAGGTCGGCTCTATCCTTGAAGTTCCATATATACCTGCTATGTCCGTCTTGCGTCGCATGCTCACACGTCTCTAAGGCCACCCAATGATATAGCGTGACGCACTGGGTCATCAAGAAACCTAGTTATCCTTCGCAATGTCTTCGCTCTTCAGAAATCGTTTCAAAATTGGTGGAAACCCAGATCGATCGGCTTCTGCGGTTCAGTCGGTAACAGCGAGTGGCAATATTCAAGTAATAGATGGGGATTTGAAATATGTCGGGGAGCAAGGTGGTAACAATGCTCCTATTGCCTACCAAGAAGCGAGCGGAGCTCCTGTCGAGACACATTCCCCTTTGGGATACAATGTTGGACCTATCACGATAGTATTCTTGAATCTCTCGAAGATGATCGGTACAGGTATTTGGTTCCTCAATCTTAAGATTTCGATTTATATTGATCAATCGTAGGAATATTCTCGACGCGTATGTAAAAAGTACTTTGACCAAAGTTAAGAAAGCTAATAGTAGATTGTAGCCGCATCGATTTTGAAAGGTACGGGCTCGGTTGGGCTTAGTCTGATCTTCTGGACAATTGGATTCTTCACATCAATATCTTCGCTATCGGTGTATTTGGAATATGCAGCGTATTTTCCGTCTCGATCAGGTTCTGAGGTGGCCTATCTAGAACAAGCGTTCCCACGACCCAAGTGGTTGTTTCCGACCACATTTGCGATCCAATCAGTCATCTTATCTTTTAGCTCTGGCAACGCAGTGGTTATGGCCAACTATCTCTACAAGATTGGAGACTATCAAGCAAAGCCGTGGGAAACCAAGGGGCTTGCGGTCGCCTGCTACACGGCTGCTGTGTTGGTAGTACTGTTCCATACCAGAGCATCTTACTGGATTAGCAATGCAATTGGGGCAATCAAACTGATAACACTAGTGTTCATCGCTATCACGGGGCTGGTTGTGCTGGGTGGACACACCAGGGTCAAAAACCCTTCAGCCGGATTTCGCGATGCTTTTGACGGTAGTCCGTCGGGATATGGTGTCACCAACGCCATGTACAAGATCATCTTTGCGTGTAAGTAATTATAAGAAACTGAACAGAGATACTTACTGACATATGATACAGATGCTGGATATGAAAATGCATTCAATGTGGTCAACGAGGTGAAGAACCCGGTAAAGAACATCAGGAACAATGGATTTGCCGCAGTAGTACTTGTTGCCATCTTGTACATCTTGGCAAACGTGGCTTATTTTGCCGCCATTCCCAAGGAAGAAATTTTAGCAGGCAAAACAATCGCCGCTGGTATTCTATTCACTAAGGTGTTTGGAGACCATGGTGCTGTCCGTGGCCTCAATTTCCTCATAGCACTGAGCTCGTTCGGCAATCTGATCGCTGTCCTTCTAGGGTCCTCACGATTGATTAGAGAATGTGGTCGACAAGGCGTGCTTCCTTGGCCACAGTTCTGGGCATCCACCAAACCATTCGGTACCCCAATAGGACCATACTTCACAAAATGGGCGCTCACCATTCTCATCATCCTTGCAGTGCCAGCGGGCGATGCTTTTTCATTCATCACGGACCTTCAGGTGTATCCCTCAGCTTGTTTCAGTCTTCTCATGGCCGTTGGGCTCTATGTGCTACGGTTTCGCCGTAATCGCCTTGGACTTCCACCACCCTCCTTCCGTGTTTGGAACATCGTACTCATTTTCAACATTTTAATTCAGCTATACCTAATCATCATGCCATGGTATCCACCAACTGGCGGAGCGACAGGTGGCGATGTCAGCTTCTGGTACGGTACCTACATCGTGGTTGGGATTGGCATACTACTCATTTGCGGGTTGTATTACTATATCTGGATCATTTGGCTGCCTAAGCTTCGAGGCTACAAGGTGCGCCAAGAGGTTCTGGATCTTGGAGATGGAGCGCAAACACATGTGCTTGTGAAGATACCGTACGACCAGATCAGCGAATGGGATGCGCAGCATGACGCGTATGGTAGGATAATAAGTCAGAGCGATCTTACCAAAACCAGCTCATAAGAAAGAAAGAGTGGTATAAATCAATCCTGAAGGAGCGATTTTGGGCCTTATAAATATCTATGTAATACACTCGAAGTTTAGCTTATATTCTTTTTAAGATAAGTCTATACAACACCTTCCATTAACTTCGGTTATCTTGCTCAATAGTGAATAAACGTCTCAATTTTCCATTTCTATGTATAACCGTGTATTGCCTACTTATCCAAAAAAAAAGTGTTTGTTAGGATTGATACCACTATTGTAGTGCTGCTTGCACACCAACACACCAAGCTCATTCGAGAAGCAAAGAGCATCTACCCAATCATTCACCTAGATGTTCTACAATGTGGCACCCATTCAAGGCATACATCTACCAATACATACCTTATGCTACTCATACGCTTAACCTGAATCAGTAACTTTAATACAAGAAGCTCGAATTCTGAGCTTGAGAAAGCTTATGTTGACCTTGGTCGTAATGCGCGAACTGGGATAAGGTACATATTCAATCGTTCTAACAACGTAACGATCAACCAACTTCTTCTTCTTCTACCTTCCCTAAGATTGTGTTTCAGAGATGACATAATTGAGGGATGAGATTGCATGTCTAATACTTGTTGCAGAGTGTATGTACCACTTTCAAAACGTTCTCATAACCTGGTAGCTGTCTCCTTCTCGAATGCTCTTTCCTAATTCTAGGTTGTTCATTGTTGCAAGTTGAGATTGTTGCAGTCGAACGTGTAAGTATTTGTTTTTGGACCAGGCGCAAATGTAACGTTCAATGATGCACACTGAAGATTGTGAAAAACTCGAGATATTATTGAAAAGCTGATTAATGCGTCTTCAGACTCTTAGAGCATTCGCCTTATCTCCTCAGCGTATAAAGGATACAACAAGCTCAGCATTCATGTGCGTATCGCTATAGTTTATCAAGTTGACTGATTGCAATATCCGTAAGTCCCACTTCCATACCACTTGCGGCAGCAGTTCTGATCCCAATCGGCCGGAGTAACAGAGTTCGGGACACGGCAGTAGAAGTTGCCACGGTTCCAGAAGTTAACCGTATTAATCATAGTTCCTGTGCACCGTCAGAAATGATACTCGATTACATTTCTTTGAGAAACTGCTGTTTGTTTCACTGTGTTGACTCACCTGCATTATCACGGCAGCAACGAGTGGTTCGGTCGGCTATGGATTGATCTCTCCCTGAACCGGTTGGTGCCTGTCCCCGTTATTATATTGTCGTGGTATCTGAAAGCTTCAACATACCATGCAAACGCATCCAAGGCCTGGTACGGTTGCCTGAGCGCTAACAACGGAAGCACTTGCGGCAAGTAATACGGAAAGCGTAGGTAGATGCATTGTAGCAGTATAGTGGTGTAGTAAACACAATGATGAGTCTATCTAGGATACTTGAAGATAATAGGTAATGTATAGTTGAAAGACATCACAGCATACACAACCTTATATACCTCAAGGCTTCCAAGATGATATCTGTACTACAGCTATCTTGGTAAATCCAACCAAATATAATTCGCTTCCTTGCTAGGCACTTCACTACAACGTCTAGATTCTGAGGCGGACCGAATACCATTCCAACCGGCTGATGCCCAGGTACGAGATCTTAGCGTGACTCTTGATTGCTATACGTTCCGGTTGTGACAGGCCCCAATTTAGGCGGCTGGACGTTTTTTGAACGAAGGTTAGAGAAATGGACCTTGTAATGCGAGACGATATTTGGACACAAATGCCAATCATGTAAGAAAGCCAGCGACTTCGCTGTCTTGTGCCCTACCTTGCGCCATATTTGACAGCGTGTGTTGATCGCATCCGACATCTAACGCGCCTTCACCTTACTTTGTCGCAATTATCAACTTGACCTGTTAGTACTCTACTGGTCGTTTTTCGATCACAAGGAGGCCCCATGGCCAGAGTGGTCATGACTTCGTATTCTACTAACAAGCACCGAGTCTAAGACACTCAGACAGGTAGCGCTTACACATTATATTGACTTATTTACAAATCTCGTATATTTAGTTATGCCAATGGCGGGAATCTCCAGACCGGCCGACTAGGCCTTGAATAGACGGCCCGCTCAGACATCCGCGAAATACCATCCACTTACCCATGTATACCCGCACGTGAAGCAATATGTAGATCAGAGATTCGTTCTGTCTTGAATGAAGCGCTTTGTACACGACAGCGGTTATGTGATAATTTATGTATTTCAACTTGAGGTAAGCTCGATTTACTGCACAACATTAATTCCTTCGTAAAGTAATCATGGACCCTTCAGATACGAAGTAAGCGCCAAGGCACCACTGAACAGACCTCTATTTTCCAGCTAGACCTAACAGGGTCGATTTGGCTGGTCCGTTTTCATTTTGCTGTTTTGGGCCGTTTTGTGTTTACGTTTTCAGGTCTTCATAGGTTAGAACTCCGAATATAATTAGTACTATTTAGTGTTGCGGCTAGGAGTAACTAAATAGCCACTTGCGTAGCTAAATACTCCGTTGTCTTGCTAGTCCTAGCAGCCCATCCTACAACGCGACGACTACTTGACCGCCACGTAACGACAATCTAGTCACAAAATGCAGCTTAACCTCTACTTCTTCTATGTGAATGTAAATAGAAGCTAGTCAGCTCCCTCTATCGAAGCTGTAAATCTAGAAAGGCGAGTAAACGGAGACGGGAAATAGAGAACCAAATGACCCTAAATTAGATCGTATTTCTTCATGCACCAAAACCCACTAGAGACTAACCCTCATATGGAACCAAAGTCGTAATCACTGGGAGAGCTTGATATTAGATATGCACGGTTTCTTACAAGGATCAATGTGAGAAGGCGGTGAAATTTAATCGCGCTGTCTACTTTTGCGAGTAGCGATATTAGTTGCTTTACGCCCACATAACACGTTCTTCTGTCTACAGCTACTCTTCTCCTGGCATCTTATCATTATATTATCCCTCTGCCATACTACAACTCAAGATCTCATCGTTTCTCGCAAGGCAAAGCTATTAGTGTGTAGACTCAAGAGGCTATGTCACTAAATCCTCTTTGGTGTCTCACTACTAGTCGCGCAAGCTAAAAGCAGGGAGGTTTCACCAGGATAGCAAGGGCATATGTAAACTTGAAGCTGAGAGATTTATATGGCATTCAAGATGTCTTCAATTTCGGGTAAAAGTTCATTTTCTCGCTGTGTGTTGAGTTACTCATAACCCTGTGCGCTCGATTGTCTACATCGTACAGACCCAGGCTGAACCTCTAGTTGATCATGTCAGGCTTGTTGTCTTGACCTGCTTCTCACCACCCGTTTCTTGTCCAGGAGACAAGTCCCTTGTTACACTTCCATGGCCGTGTTCCGCAGCTATCGTTTCTGTTGTCGGTTTTCCACTTAATTCGCCCTTGGTTTGCATAGGCATTGTTGGTTCAGTACCCTCGGATCGCCTGTATACAGGAATGAATGCATCGTAATATCGAGGCATAACCAAGCCGAGCAGAATGACTATAATAGTCAGGATAGACAATATAAACCCAGAAATCATCATGGGATCAAAGAGAAGAGTGTGAAACTCCGGGAAGGCGAAAGAGAGTATGATGGCGAGAACAGGGCCGCTCAGGTAACGGAGCAGGACAGGCATAAATGCAGGGATCTTCCAGTTCTTCCCCTGCCCAACAATCACATTCAAGTCACGGCGTAGTTGATTGCCCTAGAAGCCTAGTCAGTCTCTCAAACAAGAAGAGCCACAAATCCATGTAGTACTTACTGAATAAAATGCGAGATACCAAAACTTCCTAAAAACGGCATTGCTGTTCCAGAATGAAGGGGCATCTACGTCAGGTTTTCGTGCTATTACGACAGCTACGATAGCCATAAGACAGTAGAAACCAATGCCGGTACCTGCTCCAATACCTGGACTATTTATTCCATGGGCTAGGCTAATTCCAAGTACCTGAGCACCAAGAAAGCCCACATTGTAGACCACGAAAGCAGGAAGCCCAGTTTGATGGACGATGTCTTTCCACCGGTATACAGTAGTAGCACTGGAAACTTCACTCCACACAACGAATATGAGGGCAACGTTGTTTACCCACCGATCAATGCCATCGAGCAGATAGTATCCAAACTCAGTACAGTATGGTAGGCACCTGTGTTTTGAGAGGGTAAGTTGGTAAGCATTCATAAGATCTGGCTGATGTGGGACAAGGGAATATACTTACATGAGAAAGCAAAGAATGGTAAGTGCGGTGACGACAGCAGGTCGTGACGCCTTGACCATACCAGAGTCGCAGATAAGTGTGACCACCACATCCAACATAACAAAAGCCGAACTGAATCCAAGAACCACAAGTGTAAAGAATAAGAGTACCGCCCAGAAATTAGCTCCGGGCATCTGGAGTACAGCTTCAGGTAAGGTGAGAAATCCGACAACAAATGCGCCGAGTCTCTCACCATCCTGGGGCCATCTGCGGAGGAAGCCAACGACGCCAAAGATGGCGAATGCGGCAAAGTTCTCGAACAGAACATTACTACCGCAGATAAGACATGCGTCCATGACAGCGTTGGAGTGTTTGGTGTTGTAGCTGGCGTACGAAGTAAAGTATCCAAACCCGATTCCCGTCGAAAAGAATACTTGGCCAACGGCTGTTTGCCAGACAACGCCCGAAGCAAGCTGATCGCTCCTCCATGTCCTCCACACAAGGTCAACGCCTTCTCTTGCATTCTCGAGTGACAATGCTCTTCCAACAAAGATGACGGTAGTAACAATTGGCAATCCCATGGTGAAGTAGACGACTCGCCCTGTCATCCCAACGCCACGGAAGATAGAAATCCAGATGAGAAACCAAACGAAGACACTCCATCCAACTGTTTCGCCGACGAGCGCTCCGTTGGGGTAAGCCGTGAACCGGGTTACTGAATTTCCATCGGCACTCTGGCTTCCTTCGTTAATCTCCCCGCGTTGAAGTACGTCTTGGTAGTAAAATTCTTCGATCCGATTTTCCCATGGCAAGGGGCTAGTGAAGCTGTGCCGGAAGTACTGCATGATCCATGCTAAGTTGACAGTGAAATATTGCACAACGAGGAAGCTGACAATGACCGGTCCCATACCTACACCCTTTAGCCGGCGATGTACATTATTGACTGGAGGTGTAAACTACGTCAGCCTACATCCTGCTCAAAAACCTCGCGCTATAGTCTTACATGCGATGACGGTTCCTCCGCGGTACGCTTGTCCAATCGAGACTTCCAAGATGAGTGCAGGAATGGCGATGAGAAATACGGCCAAAAGATATGGGATGAACCACTGGAGTCCATAGTTGTTATACAGAACACTAGGATATCTGAGCAGGTTTCCTTGTCCTGCACATCCACCCATTGCAGCGAGCAGGAAGGCTGCCCGTGACGGCCATTGGTCACGGCCGTCCTCGCTCTTCGCAGCAGGAGGCGCGATGTAGTCGCCGATCTTCCGCAGGGTTTGCATAGCCATGTTGCAGAGTGGCCTGCTGTATACTGAGATGGATGGATAAGTGGTTACCCCTCATGAAACGATATATCACTAGAATTTTATCGCACTGGTTGTAGTGTTCGTATTTTCGAACTTCTCAACAATGGTGGATTTCCATCAGTCTCACTGCAGCGGAGTGGGTCAGTTTTGTATCTTGCCCAGGGCGTGGACCCCACTACGTCCGCCAAGGAGAGTGATGCTAGAGCTCCTGATAGGTATCCGGTGGATCACTCGGTTCAGTTCGTTTGGCCCAAGGCGTGCGAGATGCCAAGAATCCCATGTGTAGGTTCAAACTGTTGGATAGACCTATCGTATTCTGCCATAGGAACGCCGTTTGCAACGCCACAGACAATTTTTACTAGACAAAACAAGCTCGTTCTGCATGATGGGTCCATGTGACGGTAACCATCATGCGATTCCTTAGATGAACATCTTTCTGTGGTAGTTGCGTGGAGGCTATCGTGGGTCGCCAAGCTTCCGCTGGGAGAAGTGGATCATTGTCTGTCGGCTATGTTCCTGGCGTACGTCACATTGGATGGTTGGAGTGTTTCCAACAAATCATGGTGCACTTTGTTGCCGTCTTCCGAGATGCCAATGCTTAGCTGTAATTGCCATTGACACATTGCCATCATTATTGTTCTTCGCTAATCTCTCATCCGCTATACTTTACACATGAGAAAACAGGTACTGGCCAAATGCGACCCAAGCAATGGAAAGGCTCTGTTGTTACATGGGAATTGTGGCTCACGTACGCAGGCCGGCTAATCGCTGGCATATCGTGTCGATGGGCGTATACGTCAAACCTCACCAACCTCTCTTTCTGTGGAAAAAGGCCAAACAGCCATGTGATTGTAAGCCAGTCACATTATCTTCTGGGGTCACTCATCAACTTCATCGACCATTATTTCCTTCTTTGCTTGAGCTCGTAGTATATAGAAGCTGCTTTTGTCCTATTAAATCCTCGACCAGGAAGCCTAACTTCATCCCGAAATCCATGAGCCAGCCTATTCAGAACTAAAAATAATTCCCAATGATCATACAATGTTTGCAGAGATTTCTCACTAAGTCCCACATGATAAGCTGGGTCTAATGCATGCGCTTCAGATCGGTCTTAACCCTAGTCTGCATATGTGTGTGCTCGGGCTGCGGACTTCTGATGACTTCGATTTCCCAATATGAACCAGGTTAAACTTTTAGTTTCGCAGCCATCGATTAACGGAGATGCAAATTCGAAGGTAAATAGAAAAATCGAAGAAACACACTATTATCAAGGGATGTTGAGCATTAGTAGATTGGTGACTCATCATCGATGAGGTTTACGAGACTTGGAATTGTTCCAAAATGACAAAGAATAGAAAACCTTTGCATCGGAACTATATACAATATACTTCGAATGAATATTGTCGTAAGATCACTCTGGAGAAACTATGTCATTGTCCAATAGCGGCAGATACATACAGCCCTTTTCATTCGATGGTCCCGCATCAACATCTACATTTTTTATCCTCAGCTTCATTCTTACGTTTTGTATGTAGAGCTATTCTCTAGCGTACAGCTACACTGCATAGGTGGTAATGCTTGAGGTATGTGCGATACGCGATGGGTGTTTGAATTTCGCGACATGAGTACATACCGAGCAAAGCAGGATTGCTAATTGCCAACGAACAAAGATACAATTTCGTAGTGTATAAGGCATCTATAAATCAAAGGTTGAAGCTAATAGGATGGGATAAAAACGGCAAAGCTAAGCGTGAAGGGCCTTTTGATGATCCCTTGGGTCAATTCCTTTTGGTCCAGTCATGGTTTTCCCTAACGCATGAAAATGTTTCCTTCCCAGATTCCATAGCCTCGCGGTACATCCTGTCCTACCATCTCCCCTACCTGGACATCGACACCGTATCCAAGCGACGAGACCGCACGATCAAAAACATCTTTTGGTAACCACTCTGTAACGTTAGAAATAGGTCCTATGGCACCAGATACGCAAATCATAAACATCCATCCAGCATTCTTTTCAGCATCAGTGAACGGATGATCCTTTGGCTGAGCCTCCTTGCCTTTCCAGCAGTAGAGCGATGAGTATGTTTTGATGTAAGCGGGAAGAAGTTTCCTGAGACGTCCCAACAGCATTTCGGATATTTTCTTCATGTCATCGCCTGCAATTGCAGGGAGTCCGACGTTTACTGCAATCAGGTAGGTTGAGAGTGTAGCAGGCATGGTACCCAAGGGGGACAGCAAATCCGGGGGTAAGTTCTGAAAGGTCGGTCCGCCTCCTGTGGGAATCTCTTCATAGACAGCGAACTTGGCATCAACAATGTCGAACACCATTGGCTCTTTACCCTCTTGCTCTAAACCTTCACTGTATCCTACTGGGCATTCATCCTCGCCCAGCTTCCTTGTGGTTTCCAAATTCAAAGCGCGGCTTACATCATCGTATGCCTTGCTCTTCAAGACGTCCAAGTTGTCAACAAGACATGCGTACACAAACATTGGCTTTGTGTCTCCCTCTGGGTTGTGTCCATACCCATTTCCCTCATCGGATCTAGCAAACCGCAAGCAAGAGGTGACTTTGCCGTTGGAATGTTGGCCCGCGGACATGTTGATCATATCTCTGAAATGCAGTTTTGTCCACCGCCAGAAGTATGGGCTAGAATCTCCGCTCCCGTGAAGTAAACGTGGGTGCACGAGTAGCATACCGGGTTTCTGGTCTATGGATCCCATTTTGTGAATGCAGTTCAGAAAAAGAGTTGCTAGCCTTGGAGGAAGTTTTGGTTTGTGAATAAGAGACTCAAATGAGAATGTTGAGGTTTATGGTGTCGATGAACAGTTGCAATGACCGTATTCCAAATCTTGTATGTTGTCGAACTCTTCAAAAAGAAAGTAATATCAACCCGCGTTTCTTGACGATCCCTGCTAAGATATACACAAAGGTATTCTGATCTCCCTCGTTCCCTAACCACTAGGTTTTCAATAACCGGAAAACACTTTGGGGATCCGGACGTGCAGCTGCAGCGCCTACATATGTATGCATACCCCGCTGTAGTACGGCGCGTTACGTCCGTGGCGCATTGGTAAGAAGCGGAAAAAGCAAAGTAACTCCTAGATACCATGGCCGACCTCCTCCCCTTTAACGTGCCCACTTGCCTATGATAGCACCAGAGCTTACAGTGCCAAAATGACGGGTCCTTGGTCACTGCCTTTGACCATGAAATATGTGAATACCATGCTGGTACGGTCGGAAATGTTCATCTCAAACAAGGAGTCGTGCATATGCGCTCTTATGGCTTCATAGCCCAGCTCTCGACTAGGCCGTTGATTTCCGCTACCATATGTACACGCGCGTGAGAGCCGAAGATCTGCAGGCGCATGGTGGCGGTAGCCACGTATATCAGACTACACTTGCTTTCGTCCTACAGGAATAGTTGAAGCATTGTATGGCGACACGCCGATCGCCAATACTTCTGCCAGGCGCATCAGGGCTGTGCAAACATTAACAACATGTAGCAAGGAATTAAGTGATGAACCTAGTCCGCTGGCTTTGGAGATAGTGGGGCCTACCGAGGCATAGTGAAGACAGGGCAGGGTAGTGCCACAATCCAGATCTTTTAATGCAGGCACTGATTCAGATCGACGAAAACTGGTTGCGCGCTACACAATGGGTGCGTAGGAAAGCGTGACGTTTAGGTACTCTCGTTGGGTTTTTCCTGGTTGTTGTGCAGAGGGCAATCTAGTCAAAATCCGAAGTCTGGTTCTGGGCCTCCCATTGTAGATGCGTCACCATGGCCTTCTCTGCCTCCAACTCGGCCTCAAGGGTACCTATCCGGTACGTGAACTCGGTGATTTTCGCATCCTTTGCCTTAACAGCAAGACGAGTCACGTCTCGTGCTCTCTTAAAACCTTCTGTACGCTTTACATGTCTTATTAACAAGGTTTTAAGCTCCTCTTCGGCATGAACAGGTAAGACGATGTTGGATTCTTGCAACAGACTAAAGACGTCGCCGACTAGGTCTTGATCCATTGGATTCTTGAAGCGACTTGTCTTTGGCGTTTCATCAATGGAAGTATAGGGTGTTGAGTAGGGCGTTGCAACTCTACGATTGCTTTCTTGACTGGCGGCAGAAGAGGCGAAGGGGCTGGCCGCTGCTGAAGGTCTTAAAATAAACAAATCTCCCTGAGCCTTCCGTCCCGTGTGGGGTGTTTGCAGTCCATAAACTGCCGTGTCGTTGGTTTGGTCTTCGTCCCAGGGGAGACCAGATCTTTTGGAGGCGGGAGTGCTGAAGATTGTTGTCTTGGCAGCCTTACGAGGCGTTTCCAGATGAGACATGGCTTCACCCGGATCATGGCCGTCTTGGGCCTTTGAAGGACGGTACTTGTCTAGATTTCCGCTGACGGAGCGTTTGCGCTTGTGTTCTGAAGTGAGAGTGGCAGCTGTATTTGCGACAGCTTCGTCCTCTCGTGTACGGGCATCGTCGTCCCATAGGAAGAACTTGCATTGTTCTTGTGGAGGTTTGTTGCAGGTGCGAACTGGATTGAGCTGATAAGAATTGTGCGCACGGTGTTTGGTAGTGAAGAGCATATCATACACCATCTCCCATGATTCGGGCCTGGTTTTGAGGTTTGTAGATGCACTGAGGGCAGTCGCGGACTGCAGTCACCTGATGGCACGTGAGCGGACAGCCCTGAGTGGGTTGAGTATTGGCCATCATACAGTGCCAGACGCCGTGGACGAAGAGTCCTTTGCGCGCACCTCGAGAGCTAGACATGACGGATTGGGACCAGTCTCGATGGTAATATTGATGATGTCGTCGTCGTCGTCACGGTAGGCGGAGTGAGAAGTGGAGAAGAATGGATGCAGGGGTCTAGCGCGAATCTTGCCGCGCTGTTCCGGTCCACCTTACTCGATATGGGCAATTCGTGTAGACTCGACGGCCCATCTGGACTGGCGTCCGATGTTCGCATTTGTGACTTCCTTTGTCCATTATCGCTTTTGTTGCTCCAGCCAGCCTTTTCGCCATCAGCCTGGTCCAGAATATGCTGTGCAACGTTGCGCCACCCTGTCTACGGCTGAGTCCCTGATGTGAATCCACCATGTCTCCTTTTCCCACTCACTAATCTCCACCATGAGTGGCTTCCATCCCTCGCACCTTCAGTCGCCACAACTGTGCCATCTTCGGTGCTGCTCATGCTCATGCTCATGCTCATGTCAAGGTGAACACATCCTGCTCCCGTGTCAATCAAGCGCCTTCTTCAATTTGACACTCTGCTGCAATCATGCTCATCCGATCGGCAAGAAGGCTGCCGCCCTCATTCGTACTCATGCTCGTCTTCCTGGCCTTCTTGGGCTGGGAACTCAGTCAAGGAATGAGACATGAGGAGCATCCGTTGCCGGCATCGCCTCCTCCTCCTGCGCCCGCTCTTGTCGAACCTGAGCAGAGGCCCCACGTCGAGGAGAAGAAACCGCCTCGATTGGCCCTCGTAACCTTCGTCACCGAACAGAGATCATACCTCTATCTCTCGCTAAGGAACAAAGATCGTAAGCTTGGTCAAGCTGCTACCCAAAATCGACAAGCTGACATACGTCCTGCTCAGACTACTCCCGCCGTCACGGTTATGACCTCGTTATCGACTACGAACAGCACAGCGAAACTGGAAACCCTGTCTATTGGAAGTTCGACATGATCGAAAGGCTGGTCAAGTCCGCAAAGCATGACTGGATATGGTGGCTCGACTTCGACACGCTCATCACCAACACCAATACCAATGTTGCTAACATAATCGACGAAGAGCTGCAGAATGCCGAGCATGCCGACAATGTTGACTACATCTTCACCAACGACTGCAACGGCCTCAATCTGGGATCCTTCCTGGTACGCGCACACGACCGATCCCTCGAATTCATCCACCGTGCACTCGATCTCCGCCACACCGACGAGGGCAAAGACTACAGCGAGCAGGACGCCCTGGTGCGTGTCATGAAGGAAGAACCATACTCGGAGAGGTTCATCTTCGCGCCCCAATCGAAATTGAACGCCTTTCCCGAAGAGATCAAATGCTATGAAGATGAGCATGGTCAGTGGGAGCCTGGCAAATTCATTCTGCATTTCGCGGGCGCGTGGGCACATGTAGAAGGCGACGACCCTACGGGTCAACTTATGGACAAATACAAGCATGACGTCATGTGGGGGAAATGGGAAGATATCTATTGATGACGGTGATGATTACGATGAAAAACGCACCGTGGGATTATTGTGGGGTTTTGCGTGTCCTTGGAGTATTCGTTTGAGATGTCTGGCCTTCTCGCATTGGAGTACAGGATTGCAGCAAAATTGGTTATACACTAAACTCACAAGATGGCGTGCGTTTTATGGTCCGGCGAACTACGCACAAGAACACTTGGTTTTATTTTAGAACGTCGCAATCCATATATTATTGTCAGATCCGTTTTTCGGAATTGCTGACGGCCTAGCGCGCTTACAAACAATGCAGTACAATGCATGGCGACTGTCCTCTTTTGTCCAGATATGCAGCAAGTGTCGGCTGAAGTAAGCGATTGCCCCACGTTCGACTCTGTGAAGCTATTGACTCGAGTAGACCTTGTATTCTCTGCGTTAGTTTGGCCTTCTAGAGTAGGTTACTTTTTTCGGCGAGCGAGGTCCAGTTTGCGCTTTTGGTGGTTGCAACACCAGCACTTTGGGAATGATCATTAGGTCACTTTTAATCTAAATTTATAAAGCAGCCACACATGCAACTGTATCGTTCGGTGCCTCCTGCATTCGAGTCTCGCACTTATCATCCACCATGAGTCTTCCAACCATTACCCAAGAGACTACCACGGCGCTGAAACAACACATTGACAATGCTACACAACCGACTGCAGACAAGTTACCACTGCCGTCTGCCCTAGTTCATGTAGTCGACGCCCAGAACAATGTCCTCTTCTTCCATGGCTCGAGTCCATCCAAACCTCCTACGTCGGAATCAATAGCTATCATTCAATCCCTTACAAAAATCATTGGTGCAATAGCATACATGCAGCTTGTCGAGCAAGGTCTGGCCACCGTTGATGACTCCACTACAATCAGCACCTTCCTTCCAGAACTCACATCGAAGCAAGTTTTGACTGGCTACACCGTGGATAGCAATATAGGGAAGAAGCAATGGCAACTTGAAGACCAAAAGAGCAGTATTACAGCTCGAATGCTCTTAAACCATACTTATGGCGGCGGCCACACTTACTTCAACCAACTACTCATGGACTACGTCCGTGATCTCGGCGAGGGAGTATGGGAAAAGACAAACGAAGCCAACGACCCTTACGGCATTCTCCTTGCAAGCCCTCTCCTCTGGCACCCAGGCACGCACACAAACTACGGACAGGGCCTCGACTGGATCGCCGTGCTCATCGAGCGCATCACCAAGAAGACCCTGGGTAACTACCTGCAAGAAAACATTTTCAATCCCCTCGGGCTCCGGGAAATCGGGTTTGAGCCTGCGTTTGGAGGCGCCGTTACCGCACTGCCTGAGAATGCAGGTAAATTCTGGCCGAGAAATATGAGGACGGAAAACGGTTTTGTCACGCTGGATGCGGCGGAGCCAGAGGTCGTTAGAAGATCGGATGCGTACCCTGAGGGACGGCATCACGTTGGGTGTTTGGGAACGGGGCTGGTGGCTAGTGCAAGGGACTACGTGCATCTTGTTGCTGCGTTGCTGCCGCAGAATCAAGGTGTCGATCCGATAACAGGACATCGTATTCTTTCTGCCGAGTCGGTGGCGGAAATAACAAAGCCGCAGCTTGCAGAGCATCTACGTAATGACTCTCGTAGTCTTCCTGTTTCAGATGCTCTTCCCATCATACTTCCGGTGGACTTGTCGTCTCCTCATCTGGATCCCGAAGGTAGCTATGGGCTGGGTTGTGGTGTTCAGGGTGCACAGAGAGTGCTGAAAGATGGGAAGAGGGGTAGAAGTAAGGGTACGGTCTATTGGTATGGTGCACCAAATTGCGATATGTGGATCGATGGGGAGAATGGTATCGTAGTGACTATTTGGGGGAGTTATTATCCATGGAACGAAGGCGCATGGGTAGACTTCGTAGCGGGGGTAGAGGGATTGGTTTATGAGGGTCTGACAGAGAAAGGGATGACGGAAGAGAGCCTGAGAGAGAAACAAACGTCTTCTCCATCGCCTTGAAATTGGAAGGCTTCCTTTATTTAATTTCCTGTCTACAACAGTTGCCTTTTTATCGATTTTGTCCTTCTTTGCTTTTATTTGTGAATATATTGCTATTGAGCTTCAATATAGATGATACAGCCCTAAGTAGATCATGGCCGCATTCTCAAGTCTCGTTTATGGCTTTGTCTAAAGTCAAATAACCTTTTGTTTCTCTTCCTCCTCATCTCAAAATGAACTACATAATTACCCTCTTTTCCTCTTTTACCTCCACACCTACCTGCGAACAAAGGCAAAGACTATACCTCTTCGGGTTTTCATTCTCACCATATCACGTTCTACTAAAAGTAAGTTTACCTTGAAACAACTGTCTTCTGGTATATATTCAGCGCTATAACTACTTTCGACCATTTGTTCACGATTTAGCTAATATCCAACAAACATCAACCACATCCAGATATGCAGAAAGCTTCCAACGATACGCCGTGCAGATACGTACTCAGATCCCACCCTGCTAACTTACATGCAATTGACTGAAAAGCATTTGATATCCTGATGCAGTTCCAATCAGTAATTCATCGCATTCATATCACCGACAAGCACGTCTCCAAAGCAACAAGAGCGCAATCTTCCGGCTCCCGATGACCAGATTCATAGTATTCATTTAGGTTTACTATTCCACTACGTCACGACTGATATCAACGAGAGATTTGTCATGGCCTTCTTTGTGACGCCCAGGACCTGTGAGTTACACTTGACCGAGGTAAACTACAGGACCTACTGGGATTCTGTTATGAGGGCAAGATTCATAGAGCAGCACCACTTCTGCTTGACCAAAGGCATTTATCCACAGCCTCGGCTTACTACGACTTCTTCTTGTGTTGCCAACTCTTGATGCATCACTTGCCCAGACTCTTGCCATCTTGGGGAGGCTCAACCTATGTTAAAGCCTTAATTACGCAATATAATAAGCTTATTCAATGTACCTATCAATAAACTATCCGTCATACCCATTGCGCGTCCAATGGTTTTCTCCGCAAGACGCTATATACCCGAGCCTACCTACAAGAACTACCAGCCTCGGTACCCTTCTGATCCTTGCTTCAGCTTGTGTAACGGTACGCCACCTACTATTGTACATGCCCTAGGCTGGCATCGATGTGATTGGCATGGATGGGGGATGTCAGAGATGATACAAGGGGGTTCCACGATGCATCTTGAGTATGCATCATCGCGACCTGAGCCCGATACCTTGGGTCTAGCTCTCTTCCTTTCTCTCTTCCCAATAAAACGCATACGAGCTAACAATATCTCTTGCTTGGCGTGCGTTTGAGCTGTTGGAGGTTGTTGTGACGCACACCGCTGCGCCTGTAACATTTATTGATTGGATGTTTTGCTTTTTGCGGCACACGGCAGCAGTTGTGTGTAAGTATAGCCTAAAGAGCAACGGCTGGCTGGTATGGTCTTGGCTGATGGATTTTTTCTCCACATACATCATAACTGATTTGGCCAGACTGTTGGTCAATCTCTCTTTGTTATGACCGAATCCCCGGGAAGGAGGGGCTGAACCCGTATAACGCCACCAATACTATTTGCTTTGGGGAATTTCCCATCCCGCGATCAGGCAACCTGCTCATAATGTATGCGAACCCCAAGTAACGGCTTTTCCCCATGATTTCATAATGGATAAATGGATGAGTTGGTACTTTTGCCACGCAGACGTTCTATGGCTCGTTTACAAGACAATGTGGAGATGTGGTGGAAGCCAAAGTGATCATCAAGACGGGTCGCGCCTTGGGGGCCGTAATTGCGTGGCCCAACGCCATTTCCGCTGCCAGATCGTTTGAGGCCCATTACTTTTTGTTATGTACTAGAGGGCCTATAGCAGACCGATCCATGCGTGTATACATGTATATATGCCATGATAACATCGTATGGAGTGGATCACATCTGCTGTGGTGCTGAGCTGAAGTTGCTCAGGAGCTGAGCCGGTAGGTGTGATGGTCGTCGCAACACGGTGTGGCGCTTTGCTAATGGCGAACACCGGCTCATTCCTGCCCGAACCGGGCGTTCATGCAAACTTTGGTGGATGATTCTAGCGCAACATGTCTCCAATGCACGGGGTATGGAAGCTGGGCATGTCTGAGTATGTACAAGGAGAGGGAGAAGATGACCCGTCTCAAGACCGCGTGCCGTGAGCTGCCGATAATTTGGCAAAAGAGCTGAACGCATAGGCACTTTGCAAAAGTCACTGTGTTGATATGAAGATATTATGGAACAGGCTATGCCTGTGTTAGGGGCGGGACGCCCTGAGTCGGACCGATGATGATGAGAAGCTCTAGAAGGATGCCACGAGGCGAATGGCGCATTTCGGACGTGCTTCCTTATTTCGAAGGACCGACGAGTTTTGTACGGATTGAGTCGGATCCTGGTTGCTGAAGGTTCTGTCTCTTTTTTAGGCAATTGGCAAGGGCATGAGAGTCGTCTAGCGCTTTTGGCAACGAGGCTGATAGACGGGTTGGCGGGTCAGTTGAACTGGGGTGGTACTGAACCAAACTGTTGGTATCATGGTGACATCTCTCGGTGATGGTGGTCAAGTGCTGGTTAGATCTTTTGAATAGCGTGTTGGTAGGTTAAACCAGCTGCTGCAACTAAGTAGCAGTGGCAGAGCATTGGGACTTTGCTTGTCCATGGGGCTGTCTAGATGTTGTACCGAAATCTTATTACTACCCCACGTTCATGTCACTGTTGTCATTGAGAGGGAGAAAGACAGGGAGATCCTTGGGTGGTTCTGTCAAACAAGAGCCTGGCCAGGGCAGTCCCCGCGAGATTGACAATCCGGGTGCTGATGGAGGTAGCTTCCTGGGTGTTCGCAGGCAGATCTGAAACTTATTGATCGCGGCCAACGCTGAAACGTGTGTGTATTGGGCAACATGGAAAGCTTGGGATGTTAAGAATGCTGGGGATGTTGTCGATGCAAGACGCGTGGCCGCATTGTAGGCGAAGAGCGAAGAGAGGGTGGGGAAAAGAGGCGAGCGAGATGAGGCACGTGCATGTTGTGCACGCCCAAAGCTGGGGAGTCCGGGCGTGCACCTTCCTGGTCATCATCATCACCATCATCATCATCACCACCACCACGTCACCGCATACATACATAGCAGACACAGACTTCATAACCACATATGCTTGAATCAAGACACAAAACGATGCCTATGGCCAGACCGAAACGAAAACTGCATTCTTGCGCGTCGGCACGCGTTTGTTGGGCTTCTCCACTGCCCACCAGACGCAGCGCTAACGCGGCAAAAGGGGCTTGAAAACGCCGGGTGTTGCAGGAACAGCGGCGATGCTGACTGCGTTGCCCGCTTCCCACCACGACATGACAGGTTGGTCCTCCGTGCCGGGGATCGATGGTTGGGACGCTAATCATCAGTCGATCCGGAGAATTGTGTCGTCTATGTGCTGTCGATGATACTGCGAACTGCAGCCTGCAGGTCTGTTCCTGCATGCTACATTCTTAGGTACACAGCAAGCTGAGAAGTGGCTCTGGTCCCACCGAGAGCGCAGTGGAGCATTCAGGCAAAGACTCGGATAGCCCGCCATTGGACGTCAATAATGAGTCTACCCGGGATTGGACACTCCTTCACCGGCCACTCAACGCCCTTCTCCGACACTGTCAATGGCCGCCCAGACAGGTGGTGTGCCCACAGCAACGACCGAGTTGGTCTCGTGACGCGGCACACCACGCGCGCAATACAACGGGTGCTACGTCGTAAAATACACTTTTTCTTCCTGTTGCCGATCGTCACAGTCAGCTTCACCAGGATCTTCACGCGGCATCGTGTCAATTTCGCAGACTATTGGCCTGCTCAGTGACAGTCGCCAGTGACAGTTCCTACCGCAGCCTCGACCAGCATGGGGGCTCAGATAGCTTGTCAAGACGTGGGGTGTGTTGAAGAGAGGAGTCCTTGTGCGTCGTCTTTTGACAGGAACCGTGCCGCACTGATCTCTGGTAGGCGCCCGCGGCTGGCCGTTTGGACGCCGCCACGCTTCGGGCTGCTCAGCCATTTTGGAGAGCGGGCGAATCACGCTGCATGCGCAGTCCAAAGACGTGATGGCTCGCCGTGCTGCCTCTGTCGCGTTCGAGCCAACACCAGCGCGCATATCAGCCGGGTGCCTGGGCCCGGCAGTGACATCCTTGTCCCCAGTCCCGCCTCTGGTGCGAATCCCGGCTGCCCTTGCACACCTCCTGCTTGCCTTGGCTACAAATTCACTAGGGTCCGGCCGCGCTAGAGTGCTAGAACGAATAAACTCTGCAAGGGGAAAGTGGCCTGTTCACGTCAGGATCGCCGCCCTCACTGGACCTATACTCAGGCGGCCCAACCAGGAGCCACTCCCAAGCCCAGGGCGTCGTCCTGCATCGTGCAGTTTTACTTATGCCGCAGCGGCTTTCCCCTACATCTACCATAACGTCCCGTCTTTCGGTTTTTTGTCATTCGCTTTGGCCTCGTGCGCCTCTTGATCGACCCCAGAACCTTATTCACTCTTTAGACTGCTGGCGTCAAGGTGATCCGCGACGTATTTACTCCACATTTTTGTTTCGTTTCTTGCCTTGTGACGTTTATTGGATTCGAGTCCTGCAACTGCTGTCACAAGTCTCGCTACCTCCTTCACTGCCTCGCCCTACCACTGCATAAACTGTAGCAGACCCAAGCAAATCCAAGAGTCGAATTCCGGCACCTCCATTGCCGTCGGGCACTCACGTATCCTGCCCACTTTATATCCCCCCAGGCACGAGTTGGAATACCGCCAGGTAGAACTTGCGTCACACATGTACACAACACTTTGGACGCATTTGTCGTAGGAAGAGTCTGAGGAACCTGAAATGGTCAACAACGCTACAGCAATCGAGGCACTTCGAGGCGACTGCCCGCCGCCCTTCTTCGACCAGTCAAAATTTGGATTTGGCGGTTGTAGGTCATCCCAACACAGTCTTTTGAGTGTATTCTGACGGGCTCAGTTGTCGATGGAAGATTTTGTGCGCCTTATGGGGCTACTGGTGTTTGCTGTCTACCATGCCCACTTACAGACTTTCTATATCCAGAGAGTACGTCCTCAAGGGCTATGACCTAGTGCTCACTCACCTTACTAACGACTCCAGGCTTCAACACTACCTACCAAGTAGCTGAAGCGCTCAATGTAGTGGGGCTTTTCTGTCTGGTATTCTTGTTAATCTCATACATCTTCCTACCAGCCGAAAAGACACGCCGGCATTATCTCAGCTACTGTCTCATCATCGCCGCGATATTCATGGCAGTATGTATATCTTGCGTGGTTCAAGTCTTCCACTAATCGCCACCAGCTTGGCTTTGTAATACCCTTTGGAGCTCAACCGGAACAGTGCTACGACGAAATTACTCCCAATGATATGTACTCCAGTCTGACGTGCGCTTTCTCGGGAGCGTTTCTCATCTCCGGTGGTCTCTCAATGGCGGTTTGGATCTTTATTCGTGCTCTCTCCATGCACCTCCAAATCTGTTGGGATGTTACTCCTGGAAAAAGGTTCTTCTACTGTGCGCAAGGCTTGGGCTGGTCCGTTGCTGCTGCCTTCTTCACCATCACCATCACCATCACTGGTGTCTCGTTCAGGTTTGGCGATGTCTGCCACGTCAATGCTGAGCATTCGATGAAAGATTTCTGGGGCCCTCTGCTAGCCATTGCTGGAGCGGCGACAGTCATCCAGATTGCAACGTAAGTTGCTCGTGACAAGTATCTCCACAGTATTACTAACGCATGTCTAGATTTGTGTATTGCATCAAAGTCTACCTTCAGAACATGTTCAGCGATGACAAGACCGAGACACAAAGTAGCGCAGGCCTTCCCTCGTACACGACCAGCATCCGGAACCGGTCTGCACGAGCAGTCTACCGACGTGTACGCAAAGTGCTCTACCTCCAATGGCGTGGCATTACGATCGTCGTCTTTATCCTTGTAGACGTCATCTTCTTCTCGATTGTGTTCATCTGGCTCAACTCGATCACTCAGCACGCTGCCGACAACATTGCGGACCTCGCCCCGTTCCTCCTGTGCTTGATGAAAAATGCCGACGAGCCGTCACCATGCTTCCCTCTTGGTCAAGACCTTGCCATTGACCAGTCCACTGTGACTGCGGTCTTGATGATGCTCTCGATTGCTGGTATACAAGCATTCCTGTTACTTGTTCGATGGAGCATGGTGACTGGATGGCGTGACTTGATCTTGGGCAAATTTAGCAAAAACCGCGAGTTTGTATCTTTGGATGCCAGGAACCCGACCGAAGATATGCGTCATTTCGAACTCAAAAACTTTAACCATCAATCACCTCCAAACGCACATATTACGCCGGAGATTGCTAGTTATGTCATGAGCAATCCCCGGTCCGACACGCCCGATCACTTTCAAAAAGACATTCAGCGCGAATACAAGAGCCCAACACTCAGTTTCTCTATCCCAAGGACTCAATCTCGAGCTACCCACGTGGACTGGGACCCTAGGTCATCCATGGCAAGGGGAGGGCTTGGGCTACATCCACCCGACTATGATTCTAAAATCTGATCATGAATGCGTAAAAATCATTATTTTCCTCTTTCCAAAACGATTTTCGTACTAGAATTCCACATACAGGGTCCTCCATGGCGCACTCGTTTCTACCGTCAGATTTAGCCGCGCACCATTCTACCGCACGCGACCGCAACACCGACTTGCAATATCACGGCGGGGACGTTGATACCTTTCACGTGCATCTGCATCTGCATCTGATTGTCGAACCAACACCATGCGCTCTGCGAGATACATGGATTACAGTCACAAGCTGGCTTGACTACAATGCTGTGTTACTACATACCACTACTGGTTGCACAACATTATGCGCCATTCATCCTGGCCCTTGGCCCTCGCACCAGCCGCCATTCAGTAGACGGCGTCCAATACTCAACTAAAACGTTTCCTTACCTGTCCATGGCCGCATAAAATTCGCATACCCCAACACACACAGTGTACACGATAGACAATGGCTTGGATTCGCTTCCACCAATTACCTTCACGGATGGCTGTGTGTGCATTACGCAGCACAGGCCTTCCTTGACTTTTCGCACTTGGTCTTTCATGCTGCCGCGTAAAGTGGCCAAGCAACTTTTTTACCGCTATACAGCGCACTCGGCCTAGGCCTTGTTTCAGAGATCTTTCCTATGTTTCAAGACCGTCATTGCATATAGCCAAAACTTAGTTGCAGAGTTGCATAACTCTATTTATTTTTCTTCGCGAGCGCCCAAGCCCGCCAAAGCTATAGTAATAAATCGACTATTACCCGTTCACAAGGCCAAACTTTCCATGGACAAACTAAAAATACTCGTGAAACTGAGGAGGCGAGTCGGGACGGAAGTCGGAAGACGGAAGACGCCCTCTCTGTCATGACTGACAAAGAACCATCAACTTGCGCACAAGGCGTGTAAAGGTCCAAACGCCGTCTCAAGTAGGTTCGTTGGAAGATGTGGGGCCGACCACACACCCGGCAATATGGCTAAATGAGCCACGTTTGAAATGCCGATCTACTCTGTAGACAGGACATCGCGTACGCTTGAGAACATCGCGTAAGAACATGGCCGATGTAAGAAGAGAAAGGGGCCAAGGAAAAAACGTGGCAATTGAGAGCTAAGCCCTAGCGCTCCCATGGCCATCAGGGGACCCTCCGTCGCATCCGTCAGTGACTCTCATCCGGTCAAAATTGTCGGCTCTACTCCGTCCAATACGGAAACAAGTAGACGATGACATCTGTCGATCGTCTTCATACTTCGACAAATCAACCTTTTGCCGTGCTGACGCCTCATTCTCCGCCATGCTATTATTGACTATCTATACTGAATCGGGGCCAGCCATTCGGCCGCTTCCGCATCTTGTAGGTGTACTATCACGAAATAGTAACAGGTACCCACAGACACGGTAGTAAGTAGTCGCTATCAATGTCATGCAAGCCTTTGCACTGCAGTCACGCAGTATCTGCGCGCTCCATCTGGCCAGGCATGCAGTAATTCCACTTTATTTTACCTTTCTTCTTCTGCTTTCTTTTGCTTGCCTTACGTGAGAGGAGGCAAAATTCCAGCACTTCTCCTTTCCCTTGGCACATCCTCCTCAACAAGAGTGTGGAGCAATGCTCCGGTTCCCACAACATGGTTCACCGGAAAGACGCGTGACTGGATGCAAAGAGACGCGGAGGAATCCCATGAAAAGAGTAGGTAATTCCTTTGACAACCGTTTTGTGGGGGCGCAAATCCACAGCCTAACGGCTCCCTGCCTGTGGTTGTACTGAAGACCGGTAACTGTCTTGGCGCGGAGCACTAGCCGGACCTGCACGCATTCTCGGCACGAACTCGCAAGAACGGGTTTCTGGCCCGCGGACCAGATAAGCGGCTTACGCCGAGTGTGCGTGCGGCTGTGGAGGAACGGATTCGAGGGTGCTGAAAGAGACTCGTCTTGTCATCAGCAAGGCTCAGTGCAAGGCTCGTTCATCGTCCTCGCGTGTGCAAGCGAGATGAAGACGGGAGCATCCTGGGGGAAAGAGGAGCCGCTACGCAAAGGAACTCTCTATGCTTTGCCTAATTCTAGCGCAAGCATCTTCTATGGAGCTTACGTGAGGATAAGACAAGAAAGAAGCAAACCCATGTTCTTCTTGCTCGCCAGGCCAGCATTCGAAGTCTTGGTGGAGTGGCATGATCCCGACTGCCGGTCCATAGAAGACAGGGCTTCGTCGTGCCACCACGCAGAGCAGACAAAGGAACTTTAGAAACACGTCTCAGACCCCGCTGCCCCCTGCATATGCATGCTGGGTATGTCGAGAGTTTGGGACTCTGTGACTGCACGTTAGGCCACTTCGCCTGCATCTCTTGGGTATGTTTGTTGGATACTTTATCAGTGCAAGGTGGTCATGCATGCGTCTGGTTTAAGCGACGTAGTGATGATGTCAAAAGGGGGTGGAAGAGAAGCTATGCATGCGGCGCGTCTACTGTGTATAGCGGGGTGGAAAGACAGTAGTGGATGAAGCCGAAGCCAAGATGCTCATGATTCAAAACACGTGATGAACACCCAAGCATAGGAGATCTTGCACAAGCTTTTCAGATCCCTATGTACATCATAATTAATTAGACCTTTACGCTGGCCTATGCTAGTAGGCTTAATGCGTGCTGGTTGTCCGCAGTGCTGTGTAACACTTGCCTGTGTGGGCAGTTCATCCCATCCATCTCTCCTTGCATAGTAGAGGAATAATGTTCTTCTCTGTTGAATCTTTGTAACAAAACAAACCACCGGAACACACATATGGCGAGGTCCGTAATCTCACGATACCAAGTAAACAGCGAAAACTAGACATACATCGTCTCGTTTCCATCATCCATATGTCTTCGTAGCACAGCACAGCACAGCACAGCACAGCACAATACAACACCAATCGAATCTTCGAGTGTAGGTTGTACTTACTCATCGTCATCTTCAATTTTAAGACATGCTGACAAAAAGCATCAGCATGTCTCCGCATCAAGTCGTAATTCCGCTACTTATGGCGTTATGGGCCTTCGGACTTAAGCAAACGTCACCGCTAGTTAGACCCAAAGGCTGGCCACCCCACCATTGCGCGTATCGGGCCGTTCTCTCCCCTCACTCCAATTGTCATTGTCATTACTGCGAACCTCCAATCTGATACGATACAAGAGCTTCGTTCCAAGCTCCCACGTTTGCATTATTCACAAGAGTTGGAACAAAAGGCAAAGCAAACTTATAACCCTACTCTTTGCTTGAGGACCTCGGATATACGCTAGCATGGTTGCGATGGGAGGCGGACCGAACATCACCGTCCGTGGCAGCGCGTCAAAAGAAAAAGAACTGGTGCTCTGTACATTACCATGGCCGGAAGACCAAGCTTCGGCCGGCATCAAAGAGTTGAAAGAAGCGTTTGGTGATGTGGAGGTCAAGTATTATCATACCAAGTATGCGAATGGAAAGATGGAACCAGTGGATGTGTCTGAAGGTATGTTAAGAAAAAACACAACAGCAATGTGCCGGACATTTTCTGCGGGAGCAAGCGATCCCCGACCATGCCTTTTCTTTTTGAGACCGTTTTGGGTCCGGGGAAATGGTTTGGTATCGGAGGATTCGACAGAGTCCCCGCATGACCCCATACTTACCTTTTCTTCAACCCATTCAAAGCCATCCTTGTCCTTGGCATTCACCGCCCCAAACTAACCTATTCTCTCAGAAGCTCTCCAGCGCGCAAGCTACCTAGTAACCCTCTTCTGGCTCCCACCCGACGCCTCGTCTATTCCCTCCGCCAAGTTCATCCAATTCGTCTCAGCAGGCACAAACCACGTTGCCAATCACCCTATCTACACGGACTCGAAGATCCCGCTATGCTCGGCTAACGGCGTTCACGGCCCGCAAATTGCAGAGTGGGTTATCATGATGGACCTCGTGCACAGCCATAACTACACAAAGCTGTATGATAACCAGAAGAAGAAGGTCTGGGATCAGAGGGTGGGCATGGATGTTAGTGATCGTGTGGGTAAGAGAGTTGGAATCTTGGGTTATGGGAGCATTGGTCGACAAGGTATGCCCAGCATTCATTCCTTTTTCGCGTGAATTTCTTTATGTATACTGACCATTTATTTCTTCCTGTCATACAGTCGCCCGCGTAGCGAAAGCAATGGGCATGGATGTAATAGCGTACACGGCATCTCCACGCAATACCCCAGAGTCCAAGCACGATAACGGGTACATTGTGCCTGGCACTGGCGACCCGGATGGCAGTATCCCCAGTGCATGGTTCAGCGGGACAGAGAAAGAACACATTCACGAGTTTTTGAAGCAGGAGATTGATCTGCTAGTCATAGCTGTGCCATTGACGTAAGTATAAACTAAAATATTTAGAGTATGGGGTAAAGTAGAAAGCTAATGACCAAAATAGCAAAGACACAACACATCTCTTTTCAACGCCGGAATTCGAACTCTTGCACAAATCTAACCCCAAGGGGACCTACGTCGTCAACATTGCGCGTGGCCAAATCATCGATCAAAAGGCTCTTATTACCGCTCTGGAAACCGAGCAAATCAAGGGCGCTGCACTAGATGTGACGGATCCTGAGCCGTTGCCCGAGGACGACCCACTCTGGGATGCTCCCAATGTACTCATTACGCCGCACTGTAGCGGATCATCGGATGTGTACGTCGACCGTGCGTTGCAGTTGCTGATTGAGAACATCAAGCATGAGAGAAGTGGTGGTCATTTGATCAACGAGGTCAACCGGAAGAGGGGATATTGAGTTGAAAGAGATTTGAGACTCCAGGCTGTCAAGATGTGTGTAGTAGAACAACCAACCTTAGACTATGGACAGATCGATAATGGGGTATGTATGCAATAGACTCCAAGTAAAAAAAAACGACATTTTTTCCCGTGTCTAATTATACGTCATCCTCATCTTTTTTTGATTTCACGCAAGCTTGAAATGGAGGAAGAAAACCCATGCGCCTTTCTCCACACCGTATGCTATCACCGTCTGCTGAACAGACTCGAGATCATTCCACCCGCCAGATTCCGCGCAAGACCGGATCCGTACATGGCGTTTGAAGCGAAACCCGAAGCCTGACTAAACTTGTCGCACCGCGAGAAAGCAAGGGTATTCGTAATCGTAAGAACGAGCGCGATAACTGCATCGTAACCATTAGCTTTGTCTCTCCTTCTCTCCACCAAACTTCATAAGAAAAAAAAAGCACCCATATAACTCACCCACAAGCGTCAACCAAATAAACTCGAGGCTAACCAGCGCAACAATCGCCAGCACAACCCACAGCACCGGCTGCGCATACAGCGCCAGCCAAAAGAAGCGCTTGTCCGTCGCATTAATCTGGCGCGAACTCGTATCCTGATCCAGACTCTCAAACACCCATCGCCCATCGCCCGTGCTGGCATCGACTTCATTCCACCAGCGCAGCCCGACAAGGCGGCGGCCCGCAATGTTCTTAAGGTAGTAGAAATCCATAGCGAGGAGCAGGATGGTGATGATGAAGATGAGGACAAAGTTGGAGGTTAGGAGGCGGAGGCCTAGGAGGTAGACTACGAGGGAGGCTTTGTTTGGAAGAGTCAGTTGTATGTGCGGGTTTGGGGGTGGTTTCGTATGGATACGTATACATGTACGTACATGTGCGGAAGAAGAGGAAGGTAAGCAGGGTGATGGGATGGCTGCTGAGTCTCCAGCTCAGGGAGCCGGGCGCTGGCTCTTGTTGTGCGGTTTCCATTTTTTTTCCTCTCTCTCTCTTTTTTCTCGTCTTTGCGCGCGCGGGGAGACGACAATTGGTGGTAGGGTGGGGATCCTTCAAGATGGGTGAAGATGAGCTTCACGTGGCTTTCCCTGGGCGGGCGACGCGTCGGCCATTCGGCGTTTGAGCTAGTAGTAGTGGCTGCCGGCGCGGCGGGCGCTCTCCAATAGTTCCCCGCACGTCATAGGGTCTGGGGATCATCCGAGCTATGTAAACGGCCATTGGGATTGCTTTGCTTTTATTTGAGCTTCGGAAGTATCATTTCAAGTTATATTGTCTGCTGTATAGACGATCAAGAGTCACAATGGCAGCGCCAATCATTCGAAGGGCCTGCATGTATGGTATGTCCCCTCCATTGCCCTCCTATATAACATCCGTGCGATATCTCTATCCTAACATGTCGCAACATAGTACCTGCATCGTCTAAGAAGATGCTGGAAAAGTCTTTCGCTATGCATGCCGACAATGTAACATACGACCTCGAAGACAGCGTTGCGCCTCACATGAAGCCCGCCGCTCGCTCCAACCTTCGCGACATCCTTAGCAAACAGCGACCTGCTGGTATAAAAGAAATGTGTGTGAGGATAAACAGCGTCGACACTGGTCTCGCCCTGGACGACTTGACAGAGGTGCTCAAGGGTGAGTATCTGGATGCCATTATGCTTCCCAAGTGTGAAAGCGCCGCAGACCTGCACTTCGTGACGGATGTGATAAGGCATCTAAGTCCAGCACGGCATCCAAGCACAGGACAAAAGGGACAAAGGGATCCAGTGCGCATAATAGCATTGATAGAGAGCGCAAAGGCTGTGCAGAACCTGAGCTCGATATGCGCAGCGTCACCCTACCTCTCGGGTCTTGTCTTTGCAGCAGAGGACTTTGCAAAGGACATGAGTCTCACACGAACTCCGTCTCTCACAGAGTTCCTGTATGCGCGCAGTGCGATTGCGACAGCAGCACGTGCAGCCGAACTTCCGAGCACGATTGATCTGGTATGCACGAGCTACAAGGGTGAAGAAGGACTGAAGACACTTGAGGAGGAGTGTCTGAATGGAAAGGGCATGGGCTTCAATGGCAAGCAATGCATACATCCAAGTCAGGTTGCTGTATGCCACAAGGCATTTAGCCCAGGAGAAAAAGAGCTCGAGTGGGCTGCGAGGATAGTCATCGCAGATGAGAAAGCCAGTCAAGCGGGGCGAGGAGCATGGACACTGGATGGTAAGATGATCGATGCGCCTGTCGTTAAGAAGGCGCATGCGGTGCTGAGACATGCTGAGGTGTGTGAAATGGATGTTGATGCAGTAAAAAACCGTTGGAAAGACCAAGAACCTGAGTAATGCACTAGTATCTTGGAATCTGTAATCATACATGCTCGTCCTGACCAGCCCAATCTCCCATGCTTGAGCTTTACACAGTAATCATGACACTTGCGTTCTTGTACCAACTCAACAGCGGATTGTCGCCATTCTTCGTGGTCGTCTCCGCAATGTCTGCTCTGCCGGCCATAAAATCCTCGTGTAGATAGGTGCGCGCGAACCGCCCTGTAATGGCTGTATACATTGGTTCCATGACTTCAAAGTCGGTAGGGAAGAGAATGTCAAAGTAGCCTTGGTGAACCTGATTGCTGTTAGTATAGAAAACACAGCAAACTCCGGTGGGTGAATCGACTTACAAGAGGCGTAGAGACAAGAATCATTTCTCTCTTATACCTAGTCTGCACAACAGGAGCATTGATACCTTCCACCGCATCGCCTAGCTTGTGGAAATCACTGCTGACCAACTTATGATTTGGGAATTTTTCATACAACATGTAGAAGAATTGCATCAGCCTCGTGGGTATGTACTCTGGCACACTCATGTTTGATCGGAACGGAATCAAACTCCTCAAGTTGTGCATGAGCCGTGAGCCTTGGAGCGGGTGCCGATACGAGGAGCATGCAGCATGCCTTCTTTCGAGGAACTGGCTTACAAGAGGGTCAAGGGTGCGTGAATAATACTCGAAGAGTTCACCTCGGGCATCTATGACGACGTGCGACTGATAGGGCAGGCCAGTCTCGAAGTCGTACTTTAGGGCATCGTGTGCAAAGTTGTCAAAGACCTCGAGCGCAAGGAAGTAGCAGGGCGAGGAGACGTAGGTGTTCCAGTCAAAGATGCTGCGGTTGACAATCTCCACCTTGTCCGCATGGCCTCTTGCGTATGCCGAGTGACCCAGCCCTTTCTGTTGCAAGTCGGCAAGTTGACTGGAGATTTCGATAATTTTGTACTTTGTCCGTTCATACACTTCGGGATGCACATCTCTGATAAAATCAAGTATGTTCAGCATCATAGTGCCGTTTCCCGCGCCCATCTCATATATGTTCAAGTCGTGATATGGATAGAAGTTGTACTTGTAGTCTTCGACGAGATAGCGTGCAATTGCTTCTCCATAGTAGGGAGAGAACAACTCGGTAGGAGTATGCCATAGTTGTCGCAGGTCGTTTGGCTCTCTATAATCCAGCTCATCCTCGAAGGCAGTGTAGCGATGTCGTAATTGCTGGAAGAATTCGTGCTCGGAGCCCATGGAGTTGAAGTCGAACGGGTCGCCTGGCGAGAAGATGACGACTTGTTTGGAGAAGTAGCCGTAGTTTGGGTTGTACAGGCTGTCTGGAGACGGGTCAGTATGTTTAATCCTCCAGTACAGAGACTGCCTACCCTCTATAAAGTCTCGTAGCAGCATCTTGACTCGCCGCGGTCTTTCCCTCCTAGTCCGCAACATATCTGAGGTGACCATTGGGTATCTCTCGAACTCTTCGCTTCTCTCATGCGGAAATGCATTTTTCCTTGGTGTCCATCTGCTTTCCCTTCGCGTCTCGCCCTCACCCAACCGAGTGGCTTTTGTCCGTCTTTGGTGGTGTGGAATGCAGGCAGCAGCGAGCGCTGGTCGACCTCCGCGGGCCAGGCATTGCGACGCCCGGTGCGAGAATAATTGGCGAAAGAGGCGATTGACGAGCGGCGAGTCCATTGGCACCAGAACAATCGTCGCAACTCGTATGCGACGGCGTCGGAGGCGCTGGCAGTCTTCGCGCGGACCCACGTGGGTGAGCTTTGCGGGCAGTGATGCCAAGACGGGCATGCCACAGCTCCGCTTCTGGCCCTCTTTCGCTAGTACTTGACCATCTGCATCTTTCCATGCACCAACCATGTCCGATCGCTCCAGATATTACATAGTAGGGGCTTTTCTGTTAGGAATAGCCGCCACAGCTGCATACAACAAAAGATTGGCTGGAGAAAAAAATGATGCTGCAAATAGTCACTCACTCCTTGCCCAACAGCAAAATTTGCTCTTACAACTAGCAAAAGTAAATGACTTAGAAGAGTTGAAGAAGGGCCTCTTAGGGATTGAGCGTTCATTAGAAAATGGTAAAGGATCTATCAAGGAGGGCATCGAAGGATGCATTGGCAACACCCCCCTCATCAAGATTAAGTCGCTTTCTGAATACACAGGCTGCGATATACTAGCAAAAGCGGAGGTATGCAAATCAATAGTTTTCACAAAATGCCTTACTGATGTGTAGTTTTCAGTTTCTCAATGGGGCAGGTAACAGTCCCAAAGACCGAGTGGCACTTAGTATAATTGAAATGGTAAGCTGGTAGTGCTGGGTATTGAAAACATCGCATGTTTTTGCTCAACATCACACAGGCTGAGCAAAAGGGGCTTCTTATTCCACACTCGGGTGATACCATATATGAAGGGACAGTGGGAAGCACGGGTATTTCATTAGCAGCAATATGCAGAGCACGAGGCTATAAAGCACACATGTCAGTTCGTTGGCTGCCATTCAAGAATACTGGCTAACAACTCGAAGTTGCATGCCAAACGACATGGCAATCGAAAAATCAGATTTGCTCCTGAAGCTCGGTGCTGAGGTAGAAAGAGTGAGACCGGCGCCTATTGTGGACCAGAAGCAATTCGTCAATCTTGCACGATCACGAGCTGAAGAACACACTGCCAGCACTGAAAAGCCGGGACGGGGCCTGTTTGCCGACCAATTCGAAACAGAAGCGAATTGGCGTGCACATTTTACTGGTACAGGTCCTGAAATCTACGAACAAACCGGTCGCCGTCTGGATGCCTTTGTTAGTGGCGCTGGTACAGGAGGAACGATTTCTGGCGTCGCCATGTTTCTAAGATCCAAGCTGCCTAATCTCAAGGTAGTTCTTGCCGACCCTCCAGGTAGTGGTCTATTCAACCGTGTCAAGTATGGCGTCATGTTTGATCCCAAGGAGCGAGAAGGAACACGGCGACGCCATCAGGTGGATACGATAGTTGAAGGCATAGGCATCAACCGAGTAACCCACAACTTTGACGTTGGGCGAGAATTGATTGATGATGCAATCAGAGTGACGGACGAACAGGCCATCTCTATGGCGCGGTGGTTAGTCGAGCATGATGGAATCTTTGTGGGAAGCTCTAGTGCTGTAAACTGTAAGTTTTGAAGCGCTCAAGCATAGGCAGTGCTGATTTGTTAAAGGTGTCGCTGCTGCGAAGCTCGCAAAGAGTCTCGGACCTGGTCATCGTATCGTCACAATACTATGCGATAGGTAAGACAATCCCCCACAAAATTGGCATGATGCTAACATTTATTCAGTGGCGCAAGGCACTTGAGCAAGTTTTGGAAGAGTACCGAGCCCATCGGTGGTGTGGACAGCGATGTGTCCCTAGAAGCCATCATCAATGCCTGAGACAGTGTCTTCTCGTTACTTTCTGATTGGAGTCCTTCCCCAAGGTTCTTCTCTGTGATGCCCACTAATGCCATTCAAAAAAAGCTCATCACCACCCGCATGCTGAAGATGAGAATGTACGACTAGATCGCGCCATCAACCAGGACGTTGCAGCGTACGTACCGAGGACGAGCACACACATCCCCTCTGCCATCGCCGTTTTTGTGGAATATGCGACATTGCGTAGAAACAACACTCCATTACGAACCTCGAGTGCGATGAGTACGTGATGAAGAAAGACAAAGATGCTTCTTTTCACAACGCATTTTGATTTGGCCAGAAAAGGAATCAGCATCTTAAGCCTGTGTGTGTCCTAACAAAGAGCAAGATTTTCACAATACCCATTCTCTTCTGACCCACGCTTTGTCTGTTTGAACCGGCTTTGTATACTACAGAAGGCATCCTCGTTTTCTCGCTGTCCATCGTTGGCGGATAGCTCTATACCACGCATCACACACACGTGTTTCTGTTGCACCAAAAAAAAACACATTTCGTACCATCCAGCAAGATAAAATCGGAATTTTTTTTAAAAAAAAATATGGGGAAACCAGAAAAAAAGACAGTTCCACCAAGCAAAACCACCGGGTTCAACAAAACAGATGGCATCAGCAAACTCTACCGCCAAAACCCGACCCAGACGCTCGCCCAACGCCGCCTCCAGACTCGCCTCGAGCGCCGCGTCAAACTCGGCAACCCACGCCTCGCCAACAAAATCTCGCAAATGCGCCTCAGCATCGCCCCCATAGTGCACGCGACAAGCTACGACGCAGCGCCCTCCTTCCCCCGCACCCTCCTCCACCTCTTCCTCCTCACCGAACCCCAACTCGACACCCTCGCAACCTTCTACTCGCAAATCCCGCCCTTGACCCACCTAACCTCCGCCTACCCCTCCACCATGAACTGGAGCCACCCTTTCCTCGACACAAGCGACGAATTACCCGACGACTGCAAGTTGAGCAAGTTGGAGCGGGTCAAGGTCAAGATGAGGATGTTTGCACGGTTTGTAGGCATGAGGGGCGCCGAGACGCCGCGGTGGGAGTATGAGCGGCAGATTGAGATTTTGGGGAATAAAGTGAGGTGGGAGGTTAGGAGGGAGGAGGAGGAGAGGAGGAGGGGGAAGGTTTTTGGGGAGCCGAGGGGGTTGAAATGAAGAGGTGGAGGGGGGGGGGGGNTTTTTTGGACTGTTTGAGCGTTGGCATAACGTGGAGTTGGGTTTTGAAGCATGATGCTCTTTGATGTTTGGTAGTTTGTTGCAAAAAAAAAGGGGGTTTTTTTTCCTCTCCCAGTATTGGTTATTGTCCTTTTATATCATAGGTCTAGGAAGGAAAGATGAAAACTCCAAACAACGTAAACACCAGCATGACAAGAAGACGAACTTCTACTCTAAGTAACTCCTACTATAATCATGCAATAATAACCAAACGACTGTTCAGGCCAAAAGTGTCATCTCGTACTTGAACATCACCATTCATGATCCCCACTAGCAAGGCGGATCACACGCTTCATCTTCTCAGCACCTGGCATATCCAAACCCATCATACCACTCTCAGTAACGGCCTTGTGTAGTCTGATACCTGCATCACGAAGCCGGCGCTGCTTGGTATCTAAATCATGCTCTTGTGTGACGATAAGCCCTGCACTCTTGAGCGAAGGGTCATAAAACGGCGAATCCGGTCTTGTTGAGTTGAGTGAAAAAGGACTCGGAGGTGGAACACAAACTGTTCCCGACACTGGTATCTCTCCCGTATGGAGGTAGCTTCTCACGCGTTCGAAAATACAATTGTCAGGTCCAGACAGCGTGCAGTGACCCGCATGGTCACTTACAAGTAGACTGCTACCAGGAAATAGGTTGCTCATGTACCGACCGCTATTCAGCGGAGTAACAGGGTCTGCCGTGTTAGATATAAACAAGATGGGGTTAGAGGTATTATTGGCACCAAAGGGGCCCTCGAATCTATGGTTCGCGCGGATATTCCATGCTGCACAGCGCATTCGGAGCATAGACCAGTAAGCTCCAAAGGTGGGCGATACGGATTCTACAAGTTGCCAATAGGCGGCGAATTCGTCTTTTGTGAGATAGCCTTGTTCAACGCCGTCGCTGCAGAGAATGGAGATTGTGGATACAATGGAAGAACTTGGGTCATTGGAATCAGAAACATGACCCGCAGGACAAGAGTATACGTGGGTGTAGCGGTAGGTCTGGGCTAGCTGGTTGAGTTCACTGCCACTTCCTGCCTCAATGGCTGCAAGGATCCGGGAAATGTATGGAAACATGATGCGAGGCTGGTACACGGAGCTGAATAGCAGCATCTTGATATCGGACCATGTTAGAAATTCAGGCCCGTCGAGCGAAACGATTGGCAGTGGGTCGTGATATAGGGAGTCTACAATTCGCAGGACGCGCTCTTGAATATCGGTGACATTGGAGTTTACCGTCGCTAATGGGCAGTGTTTGGGACCAGAGTTGAAGCAAAATGTGTAAAAGGATGATAACGCTTTCTCCGAGTCTACAAGACTGCCATTGCCCTGCGAGTGATTGTACTCAAGTGAACTGACGACTCCGTCAAGGACCAAACGCCCAACACGGTCAGGAAACATGGAGGCAAATGTGTATCCGAGGTAGGTTCCATACGAGAAGCCCCAGTATTGCAGCTTGATCTGTCCTGGAACATACGTAGTGTTATGATGTACATGTCGCTTGCCGGAATCTCTAGCGGAAACTTGAGCGGCCTCGTTTGCAACGTATTCGGCGTGCCTCTCAGCAATCTCGAGCATGTCTCGGGCAACAAATGCTGTGGACATGTATCGCTTGATGTCCGGACCACTCTGGCCTTGGTCGGCAAGTTTGCAAGATGCACCAAAAGCATGCGTCATGGACCAAAGTCTCCCCAGGGCTGCATCTGAACTTCCAAGAAGGCCTTCATCGGCTTCCCTTAAATTCCAGGACCATGCTGAAGGGCGATCCGGCATACATCGTGCAGCAGGTTCCGTCCGACCAATGCCGCGAGGGTCGAATCCAATGATATCAAAGTATTTTGCGTCACTAGAAGCAATGTTGGGAGGCTCGTCCGAGTCGACAAGAAGTTGTAGTGCTTTTCCTGCAGTGAGGGCAAACGCGGCGCCTGCTCCACCTGGTCCGCCGGGATTTGTCAGGATAGGACCACCATAACGTGGATCACTAACTGGCACTACAGCAGGTACCTTTGTGATGGCGATACTAACGGAGTGATTGGGGTAAGCGCCATTAAAGTAGTCCAATGGCAGCTTTAGTTTGGCGCATTCAAACCCGTTGAAGCATTTGTGAAATTGTAGATGTTCACTCGCCGATATCTGGGCTTTGATTAACTGATGTATTTTGTTTTGTGGAATCAAGACGAGATGGAAGTCGACTACCCAATGCAGTAAAACAAAATCAATGAGAAAGAGTGGGATGCACTAGTTTGCAACAAGCAGCTCGCCTAGGGCAAAACATTTCTGGAGCATAGTAGCGGTCTGGTGCAGGACTTGGCGGAGGGATATTGTGTCGATATGAGAAGGTGCAGACGCACGTGTAGGGTGCGGTGTGACGATGGGCAAATGGACACTTCCATACCTCGTCCCATTCAAAAGCAGGCTTTTCCTGCAGAGGCAAGAGGACATGCCGTGTCTTGGATGCAGGAAATATAGTGTTGAGGGCTGCGAAGCAGACGAGAGTGACGAAAGCCGCCGATAGGACACGCGAGGCAGTTTGGGGCCGTCGAGGGTAGACAGGGGCGGCGGCTTGGTCCGACGCTATTCGATTTTTCATATTGTGGATGCTTTTGTTGTAGGGCCAGCAGCTATGGCCGAAACAGTAGGGTAATCCAGACGTAATTGACTATGCTGCGTAATCGGCGATGGGGTAAATAGTAGGGGAAGAGGGAAGGATGCGGGGTCGGCGAGGCCGTCAGACAGCAGTGAGTGAGGCGTGTGCCTCGCTAGGGGAGTAGGTACACTTTGGGGCTTGTTGGTCAGTGAGTAGAACATGGCCTTGCCAGGCAGCAGCAGCAAAGCAGCAAAGCAAAAGTAACCACCAAGCCAAGGGGGGCCCGCATGTGCGTGAGGGCTGCCCAGTCCATCTCCCCCCCCCCCCCTCCATGGCCGTGCAGATAGTTGCATATTCACCAGACGCGTCTCTGCTGCAGCTTGAGTGGAAATGGTGAGCGACTAGGTATGCAGCATGCAACGACCGTCACAATGCGTGCTTTTAGCCGGCCTCGAGCCTCTGGGCATTGCGTCGTTGTGCACAAGAGCGGATTATGCATGCCCATGTGTGAGTGTGTGTAGTGAAGATTGCAGAGTGTGCGCAAGACGCCATGGCGATCGGAGCACCGTCTGTTCCCGAGGTTTTCTTCTGCTGTCTAGGTACCGCAGAGCCTCATTGCCGTTGCATACCGACACCTACTCGTACCATACACACTCCCTCTGAGCCTCGCCCAGCCATCCAGACGACCCAGTTGGGCATGCACGCAGAGTGGCTACGGCCGTGTAAAACCAGTTAACGAAAGTTTGTAAATAGACCAAAGTCATCCGCATATGACAAGGACAGAGCAGCAGCACCTCCTGACTCAATGGGTATCTCATCTCTCAGTACCAACCACCCCTCATTGCCATCCCCAAACATTACATATCACGCTCATGCAAACGGCCGCGCCCGGAAACCCCCCCTCGTCGTCTAGACACAGGTCTAGACCCAAGGGCCAACTTCGGCCTAAGCTACCAAGGTAATCGCATCCCTCATAGTACCTACTCCAAGCACAAAATCGCGGGGGCAAAGAGGCCGTCAGGCTCTCTACCATTGCTGCTGGCCTTGGCCGCCTTCTTGTCCGCCATAGCCTCCTCCCTGGCCACCACCGCCGTAGCCACCGCGAGATTGGTAGCCGCCGCCGCCGCCTTGTGAAGGGCCCCAGTTGCCGCCACCGCCGCCGCCGTACCCTTCTTGTATAGTCAGATTGTTAGTCCCCAAGGAGTAGATGTTGAGAGCTTACCACGGCCGCCGCCTCCACCATAGCCTAGTAGTATGGTTAGTAAGATTTCAAGCCATCTGACTGTGGAACCCGTACCTTGTCCTCCACCGTAACCTCCGCGGTATCCGCCTCCGCCTCCATAGCCGCCGCCTCGGGGAGCACCGCCGCCACCACCACCACCAGGGCGGTCGGAGGCCTTGTCGACACGGATCCTACGTCCGTCGAACCTGGAGAGGTCAGCGCATTTCTTTTGCTGGCCGGGGCATGTATCCAAAGTCTCTCAGACGAGGACATGAAATGCGTGGACTGCATACTCCTCGTTGTTCATGGCTTGCATGGCAGCATCGGCCTCAGTCTCCTGGGCATAGCGGACAAAGCCAAAGCCTCGGCTGCGACCAGTATCGCGGTCCTTGACGACAACCTGTAGTAGACTAAGTATGACATGTGTGCATGGTGGTGGGCAGTGATGGGCAGTGGTGGGCAGTGGTGGGCCGTCAGTGACTTACAGCTTCTTCGACTGGGCCGAACTCCTCAAACTTTGAGCGCAAAGTCTGGTCGTCGGTATGCCAGGCAAGGCCTCTGCTATAGGTCAGCCACGTGGGGACTGGAGAGGGACTGCACACTTACCCAATAAAGAGCTTGGCCATGTTGGGGGGCGATGTCTTGATCGAACACTGAACGGTCTCAATAGTGGCTCTCGCAGGTCAAAAGCAATGCGCGGGATACAGAAAAGCTCAAGACATGGATTGACAGAAGTGGTGCATGACAAAAGGAGAGGCCGAGCAAGACTCGGAATCCATGGCGGCTTCTTGAGCAGGAGGCAGTAGTAGTAGGTAGCAATGTGACGGGACGAACATTTGGTATAGTAGTAGCACGGGGCTGGATAGAGTTGGTGTATGTATGTATGTATGTAATATGGTTGAGAGTAAGAGTAAGAGTAAGAGAGAGGGAAAGAGGAGGATGGCGCAAGGCAGAGGAGCACAAATGGCGAGCAACGTGTGGGTTTGGCGGGGCAGGGCAGTGTGATATGAGTACCCCTCCAGTGTGTGGCAGGTGAAAGAGCGCTAACTGTATCCAAGTCGACAGGACGGGCGCACGGACTGCGAGCAGCAGAGCAGAGCCTGTGGGTGTGGGTGGGATGAAGAGAGGCAGAGCCAATGCCCATGCCCATGCAGCGTACGGCTCTTGCAGCCACGGTGTTTCGCAGCCGGGAGATGCCCTGCAGGCTGCAGCTGACAATGACGGCAGCAAGAGACTGGCTCTGCCTCACGCCGGTTGACAGGCAGGTTCGCCCTAGTGTGTCCCGTGTCTGTCTGTTCATGCTGGGGACATGCAGGCCGTGTCTAGCTCGAGCCTAAGCATTGCCCAATTGCAGGGCTGTCGGCGAGCCAGAGCGAGGGCAGAGCAGAGCAATTTTCTGATAGGTGCCATGTCTGCCCCCGGCCCATGGGTTTTCCCTCTTGCTCTGCCTTGCCTTGGTCGCACACACTGCCGGCATGGCCTCGACACACGGCCATTGGGCCCACGGCCCACGGCGACAGTGCCAGCGCCAGTGCCAGGCCAGGTGCATGCATGCAATGCCTGTGTCTGCCCCGCGAACATGTTGGCTACTACTCAGCGCAGCAGTGATCTTCGCGCGTGGCTTTGGTCCACGTCGCGCACTGTCGTCCCAAACCCTCAACCAAGGCCGGGCATTGGACCACAGGGTGGTGGTTCAAAGAAGCTTATCAAGTCGCCATCACTAGTCAGATGCTGTGGGGATCGGGCCTAAGCCCTCTCGGCCTTTGATAGCTCGCCACCATTGCACCAGCAGATGATCTACTTTAGCGTACACTACCGTGCCCTACCTACAATACCCACTGTGCCGCGACTCTTGTTTTCTTTTCTTGTTCTTTGAGGCTACAAAACACCTCATCTATTACACATGTATACACACATGTAATTAAACTACCTATGCATATATATATATACATAGATATACGCATCATACAAACTCGACATGGCCGCATTCTCGTCGCGCAGTCTGCAGCCCGACGTCTTGGCATCAAACCGTCGGCTGGCGGCATTGCAATATATAACATGTACTCACGGCACGGATGCTGCCCTCTCGGACCTGCCCCAGCATGCCCCATCGCCCAGCACACTCTACCAAACAACCCAACCAAGACTAAAATTCTCCTTCTCAATCCGGATCCCGTCTGTTTGTAAATGACTCACGCCTGCACGCCGGTTGGACTCGGCTCTTGCTGCTGTTAAAGCAGCGTACACATCTCTACACTTCTAGCAGGGTTTGCCCCAGAACTATCCCACAGCCGTCATATCAAGCAACCATAGCATGTCTCGTTATCAGCGCCGGAACTGGGTCGTGGTTAACAATGTCGCTTCTAGCAAATAAATGTTGCAAACATGCCGGCCTGCTCTTTCTCTGTCTAATCACTCGTGCTTTCCCTCTCATGAGACAGACACTAGCCAATCTTCCACGTCCACCGTACCTGCCTTAAGCTCTAGGCATGTATCATCACCCTCCCTCCAACGGCAGGCACGTCTCAAGTCGGGCGGGTGATTTCTCATCGCCCCCTCTTCCATGTCCAACATGGAACGACCTCCGCCAGACCACCTGACGACACTCGAATACAATGACACACTGAATACCACCATATCCACTCATTATTAGAAGCCCCGAAACACCACACGTACACCCAACGGCCCACAATGGACATCCTGAAGTGGTTGGAGGAGACCGAGCAGCACCCAGTCCCTCAAGATGCTTGCAAGCCCAAGTCCAAGCCCAAGCGTTTGCCAAGGCGAGCAAAGTCCGGCAGCTCTTTACTCGAGCCTCTCCCTTTGCAAGATTCCCCTGTCCAGCAAAGGGCCAGAAAACAAACTGCCCGTGATGTTCTTGTTGCTTCATCCAGTGCCTCTTCAACGAGCAGTCTCTATGCTCGCAAACCCAGGCGGAAGACACGTCCCGAACGCTACGAGCCAAACAAGCCCGAACATGCAGGACGTAACAACTCCTCGAAAAAAGCACGACACAAGTCGAGACGGAGGAAGGTTGAAAAGTCTAGCCAAGTAGTGCGAAACTTCAAAGCCAAGAATGTATCAGGGGATCGGCTTACTGTATGATCTCCATGCAGCAGCAACCTAGAATCACACCTCACACAGCAATGTACTGATGGCTGCTATAGTTGAAGCCTCCAGAGCTGGGCTTGTTCAACAAAGGTCGGACGTCAATTGCAGTCCGAGGCCGTGGCTGTAGGTATTCCAGAGCCACCGTAGATACCCTCGTCTACTTGGAGACAGAATGAAACACCCAACCCAACTGACATTGTAACAGTGCCCGATCTTGTCTTTTCCGAAATGAAGTTTTTGCAGAAGCACGAAGAACCAAAGCCCCCGCCCCAGCCGGATGTTCCCAGGAAGAAGCGCAAGATAGATCACACGCACACCAAAGACGGAGAGATTTCCACCTTCTTCACCACAGATCGCCATACGCTGGCGCAAAAGGTTCAAGACAAGCCTGCTAGCCATAGTAGCGTACGTGAGAAGAAGCGGCGTCATCATTGTTATAGCCCAACGACTGATGTGGCGATATCCACCGTCAAGCCTGCTGATCGAATGTTTCTTCCACATTCTGATATCCAATATCCTCGACACGAGAGCACTCGTTGTGTGTCGTGGTCTGCATCCATTCGAGCACTGAGCACCATGTCAGCACACCATCAAGCCGATGATGACGCGCCTCACGAATGGCATGACTCGGATCGCTACGGGCATTGCAAGTCCAAGATGAAGAGACCAGAAAGAACTTTCAAACAGCCAGAGCTTCCTTCAGTCGCCAAGCAGACTACAGACGACACGGCAGGATATTTCCGAGTATCCTCCCTCGCTCCATCTCACAGTAGAATGTCTAGGTCGCAGTCCTGTCCTCAACAGGCATCGTCTCCAAAACGAGTGAACCTTGTAGACCGCTCTGCGAAGCTTCAACCCACTGGTACAGCTTACTCATCGTCATCAATGCCACCTGCCGTGCCCGCCTATCCGAGTACGGACGCGGGTCTAGTGTTGGCGGCAAATCGCTCAAACAGTCCACGGTTTGGAAAGTCGTCAATTCTAAGAGAAATACGTCCCGTCAGCCAGCATCAGGTTTTAGATGATGGCTACAACAACTGCGGTGAAGACCAGGAAACGTCCTCAGATCTGGAAAAGGTTCTCCAAGTCTGTAAAGATACCCTCTACAACCAACGTCGGGCAGCTCCGTCACCAAGAAATGGCGCCAACAGATCAGAGCACTTGCTCCCGATGCAATCGGCAGATCAACCGCGCCGGACAAGTTGGCATATGCCGACGCAGCGTATTCCCACTGTACGGTTTGCTCAGCTACCTGTCCAATATCATGTACAACCGACATTTTCTGGTCCTAGTATCTATGAGCAACAGGAACAACACCAATATCAACCATTGAGGGTTTCAGGCAATGAGGCCCTCGGCGACGATCCATGGGCTTTCGAGCAAGAGTACATGGACGATGACATGGCAATATGTTACAACGATGTTGGTTGGAATGATACAATAGAGGCAAGTATCTTGAATGAGTTGGGAGACAGCAACGAAATGTATGTGGCTGAGGGGGCCTTTGGGGTAGACCACATTGGTGAGGATTCTTGGCCTAGCAACAACCATGATGTGGCCCCTGGGTTCTGGCGGCCAAATAAGTTGTATTGAAGCCGAGAGGGCTGCCTCGCGTCAATGCCATATTGCTTATGAATGCCATGTGCCTCACCGGACGGCAATGAATCGAGTATGCGTAGATATCAAAAGCATGTACACGCGCATGGACGACTGTCCCGAGGGCCTCTCAGATGATTTGGTACATGTCTAGATGGTTGCTTCGTGTTGGCAAGAGTTACACAGTAGGCTAGCGGGCAAAGTGGGCGGTGTGTCTGTGCACTCGGTACTACTTTAGCACTGGCAGCTGGGGAAGCTCGGGCATGCGCTCCACAGCGTCGTCGTTTTTCCATCCTCGGGCCTGGGCTATCGCACGGAAAGGACATCGGCTATGCTTTGACCGCCGTCTGAAATCAGATTGCCTATATGCCCGCCCCTCGCGCTGTGTTGCAGCTCCGTCCTGGCCGTACACTAAGCTCTCGGCCAATATTTTCTTTTCACCTGTCGTTGGCCGTCTCATGCAGACAGCCAGCGGTGACGTTCGTCACAGTGGCGCCGCCATCCCAACACAGCTCCCCGCCTGCCGGCAGCCCCACTAGACCCCTCAACGACAAAATCAACTCGAGGGCTCGTCAACTAGCAGGCCATCTAAACACCCCTTCCTCTTCCACAGCTCTCCACACAGCTGCCACGAAGACGTCGCCCACCATGTCTTACACCACCCGCAAGATTGCCGCAGCCAACACGCTCGAGCACCGCATCTTCATCGAGAAGGACGGCCAGCTCGTCTCGCCATGGCACGACATCCCCCTCTACGCCAACGAGCAGCAGACCATCCTCAACATGGTCGTTGAGGTGCCCCGCTGGACCAATGCCAAGATGGAGGTATGCAGCCTGCAATTGACCCTCTCAGTCGTCTTGAGAATTGCAGCACGCTGACCCTGTGTCCAGATCTCCAAGGAGGAGCCCCTCAACCCCATCAAGCAGGACATCAAGAAGGGCAAGCTCCGCTACGTGAGGAACTGCTTCCCCCACAAGGGCTACCTCTGGAACTACGGTGCCTTCCCCCAGGTACGATGATGCGATTCCGATATCGGCCTGCACACACACACGAATACTGATGTTGCATAGACCTGGGAGGACCCCAATGTCGTCCACCAGGAGACCAAGGCCAAGGGCGACAACGACCCGCTCGACGTGTGCGAGATTGGTGAGCTCGTCGCCAAGCCCGGCGAGGTTATCCAGGTCAAGGTCCTCGGTGTCATGGCTCTGCTCGATGAGGGCGAGACCGACTGGAAGATCATGGTCATCAACGTAAACGACCCATTGGCCCCCAAGCTCAACGACGTCGAGGATGTCGAGCGCCACCTGCCCGGTCTCCTCCGTGCCACAAATGAGTGGTTCCGCATCTACAAGATCCCAGATGGCAAGCCCGAGAACCAGTTTGCCTTCTCTGGCGAGTGCAAGAACAAGAAGTACGCCATGGACATTGTCCGCGAGTGTGCTGAGGCTTGGGAGAAGCTCATCACTGGAAAGACCCCCAAGGATGAGATCAGCCTGTATGTGTGCATCAATCCTCTCCCTGACTGTGACTAATTGACTGGTAGCACCAACACCACCGTTTCAAACTCGCCAGACCGCGCTGACGCCAGCTCGCTCAACATTCCCACTGGCGAGAACAAGGCACCTGCTCCCATCGACCCCAGCATCGACAAGTGGTTCTACATCTCTGGTGCCCCATCCAACTAAGTCCAACGGTTGCCCGCCATGGCCATGGAGTGAATTTCGGGCAAGCGGCAATGTGCGATACTGCATCGACAATGTCTGATGGCTAGCCTGGATGTCTTTTATGGCAAATACTGCGGTAAATGGCAGATACAAGTGCATCATGTACCCATACAGAGCAGTAGAGAAAAATTAGTAGAAATCATGAAATCGTTTCGCGAAAGCCTCAACGAAAAAGCCACCATGACGCCAGCCTGTGCTTTTTGTGGACGTGTATATGTACAATTGTTTGCATGAAATTGGGCCTTTAATTGCCCGCTAGCTCCTCCTTTCGTGCCAGTGACCGTGAATGTCTATCCACCTCCTCGACGACTTGTGGGATGCGCATGTTTGTGAGGTCCAGGTTCATTTCCTTGCCATCTTCTGCACATATGGATCAGCCTGTGTTCTGCAAACTAGGCAAGGAATACATACTGAACTTGACACCCAAGGTCGCAGGCTCCTTGCTGTGCCGTGGCAGCATCTTGGACTCAATCTTCATGCCATCTGAGCGCGCATCCGGTGGTATGAGGGAGAGGAAGAGCCGGGCGGGTTTTGAGCGCGGGGAGAAGGGATTGAAGGTTACGCGAACGTCGGTAAGGAACCTGGTGATCATGGCGGCGACGGAAAGGCGGGGCCTGTCGAGATAACGTTGTAGCAATTGCTGAGTGCGTGAGGATGCGACGACGTACCTGTGAGTGTCCGGTAGGAGAAGGTCGAAGTCGCAATGGGCGTTCTCAATCTCTCCAGTCGCACTTCCGCCATGAGTCCGTGCTCGAGATTTCCTGCCAGGCTACGGCGGGTGGTTCAGACACGTTGCGCTCTTTCCCCCCCACCAAACAGCCCGCCGTACGTACCGCCTCCGTCATAGGGCAACTTTCATACAGCCACCGTCGCTCTCCGCATTCCGAGCCTCACCATGGCTCCTATTCCCTCCACCATCCAATCCCTGACCACACGCCTAACTGCCCTCGCCGAATCTAACAAGGCTGTCGGTCAGCTCATACAGCGCCTCGCCAAACTAGATTTCCAGCCTGGCTCACAGCCACTAGACCCTGCAGAGGGTGACGTGAGATTGGAACTAGGCGCCGAGATACACGAGACACTCAAGGGAATCGAGGAGGAACTAGAGCTCCTGAGGCAGGAAGTTGAGGACATTACTCAACAGGGTGGCATTGCTGGTCGAAGAAAAGACAGTAGCAAAGAAAGTGAAAGGAGTAGGCTAGCAGTACTGCTTGCAAGGTTGACCGAAGACTTGAGATCGTAAGTAGGCAGATGCTATGGTTTTTCCAGAGATGTTGTCTGCTGTTTGCTAACGCAATACGCGTCTGCAGTTCACGAGCGCAGTATCGCAAGGCCCAGCTCACTGCTAAACACAACGCCGACCGCGCAAAACTCAAAGAGCGCGAACTACTCTTCTCCAACCTACAATCGGGCTCCTCTACTCCTTCGTCTACATATCGCCAAAGAAGACAACAACAAGGAACATCAGAAGGCGAAATTGTTGCGCAGGCCTCTTCGGACGTTACCGCTGCCCTACGTAGGACGCATCAGTTGATGAGAGACGAGCTTTCACGCTCCCGATTTGCACAAGAGACACTCGAACAATCCACTGCTGCACTTGAAAACCTTGGCGACAATTACTCGGACCTCAACACTTTACTCGCGAATAGCAAAACTCTAGTATCGACATTGCTGAAGAGCCAAAAGAGTGACACGTGGTATCTGGAAACTACCTTTTACGTCTTGATAACAACTGTCATCTGGCTCGTTTTCAGACGCTGGTTGTACGGACCTCTGACGTGGTTTGTTCTCTGGCCGCTCAAGCTTGTCTTCCGCATCGTTTTTGCCGTTGCTCCAATCGGCGCGGCATCGTCGGCCGCAAGTTCGAGCGTCGCAGCATCTTCGTCGTCATCAAGAACCCTAGTTATTCAGCCTAGCGCAGCTGGTGGCATTCCCCGGCGCGAACCTAACAGCCAACCACAGTATATTCCTGTCGGTCGTGGAGGACACAAACAAGATCAAGACCCCAGTCCGCCAGGTTCATATTCGCAGCAAGTTGGCAAAATGGCGGAACAAAGTCAACAGCAGCAAGAGGAAGTGCCCGATCACCCACAGTTTAGGCAGCCAAGGAAGGATGAGGATGATGGACCAGTCACATTGGGCGATGGAACTGTATTGAAGGAGAGCAGTAAGCCGAGGAATCCAAAGAAGAAGATGTGGGATGAGGATGTTGAGAAGAAGAAGTTGGAAGAGGAGCAGCAGCAACAGCAACAGCAACAGCAACAACAGCAGGAGGCTGGTGGTGAGCGGAATCGGGATGAACTCTAAGCTGCTGGTGTTGTTGTAGATAAAAGAGTGTAGTTGTACCGAAATTATATAGTAATTATTCTTATCTTCAATCTCTACTACCAAGTCCAAGGTACATCTCTACATAGCGAGACGTGGGCTGCAGTACCGCCTTCGATCGCCAACTGACAATAGCACGAGCGACGGACAGCCATTTAGCACCTGAGGTTAAAAAACGATTGCTAGCTACTCCACCATTGTCTTGAGGTGTACAATCGGCATCTCTACAACCTTGGCGACTAAACTTCGAAAGAAGACGCGAGATCAGCATCAGGAGCATACAAAATCCAACCTGCTCATGAGCAGCTGTTTGTGGAGAATTGGAAAAAGCGCTTCTCTTACACAGATGCAAGTAGTATATCATCCATGTTTTCTCGAGCCGCAACAGTATCGCTATTCTTGAGTTTTCTTAATTGCCTAGATCCAATGCTATGATCAAGCTTCCCCCTCCCCCAGCCTTAACGATCGCAGTGCTCGTACAGAGAGCCGTTCCTTGTTCAACTATACGGAAAACTGTATTCTTCTCCTTCTATGAGAACAAGACGAGAGGCTATTAGCTCAGCAGAGGGATATATATAACAGTCCGGTTTTAGGGGCTTGAGGGCGAGGAAGCTAGTGAGGTCATCGTCCGTGGGACAGCTGTATTAAAGTCTCTTCGACGCTAGCAACAGGTTCACTCATAAAACATATTCATTTTTATTTATAGAAATATGAAGAAATTAAACAAAAAAAGACATCTATTGGAGAAACTAAATTCCTAACATATGGAAAAAAAACAAAAAAAACCGGATTGTTTTTCTTCTCTTTTCATGGCTAGAAACCGGCGGCCCATGATGGCTAGACTCAATCATATCTATCTATTCCTCAAAGTTGCTTCGTGAACATCGTATTGACGCAAAGTAGGAATCATCTTCCTCCCAGAAAAGAAAAAGAGAGAAAAAAAAAAGGCTATAAAAACGCCATACATGCATGCCCAGCTAGAGTGTCTACCCATGGGACTTTTTTGAAAAAAAAAAAACGAAAAGAAGAGACAAAAAATCTAAGCCCCATTCCCAATCTTGCCCCCAACAACCGCCTTCTCCAACGCAGCAACAACATCAGCCACAAGATCCGCCTCATCCTCGACACCACAGCTAATCCTGACAAGATCATCAAACACACCAGCGGCCTCACGCTGCTCCTTGGGGATACCGCCGTGCGTCATAGCACTGGGGACTTCAACAAGCGACTCCACACCACCCAGGGACTCGGCCAGCGTAAAGATCTTGGTAGCCTGGCAGAAGCGTTCAGCAGCGACATGTCCGCCCTGGATGCGGAAGGAGAGCATACCGCCGCCCATGCCGTCGCGGTGCTGCTTGAGCGCAATAGCGTGTTGTGGGTGCGACTTGAGACCTGGGTAGTTGACCGAGATGACGTGTGGTGAAGCCTCGAGTGCCTTCGCAACGCCCGTCGCGTTCTTGGTTGCCTCGCGGGCGCGCAGGTGCAGAGTCTTGAGGCCGCGGTGAGCGAGCCAGCAGTCGAAGGCGGAGGGGACGGCGCCAATGGCGTTTTGGAGGAAGGAAAGGCGCTCGTAGAGTTGCTCGGAGTTGAATGCTGCGGCGCCCATGACGACGTCCGAGTGGCCGTTGATGTATTTTGTGACAGAGTGCACGACAATGTCTGCGCCGTGGTCGAGCGGGTTTTGCACGTAGGGGCTCATAAAGGTGTTGTCGACAACGACCATGATGCCATGCTGGTGGGCGATTGTCGCGACTTTGCGGATATCAACGAGGGTCAGGGTGGGGTTCGAGGGTGACTCGATCCAGATGAGCTTGGTGTTTGGGCGGATGAGTTCGGCAATGTCGATTTCGATGCTCGGGCTGAAGGTCACCTTGACGTCGTGCGTGAGGGCGACTTTGGTGAAGTAGCGGTGCGTTCCGCCGTAGACATCCGAGACGGAGACGACGTGTGAGCCTGCTGCGAGCGATTGCAGGATGTTGGCTGTGGCGGCAGAGCCAGAGGAGTAGGCGAGCGCATAGCGGGCGTGCTCGAGCGCTGCAACGGCCTTTTCAAAGTTGTCTCTGCAAAGATGGCGGTTAGTCGTGATTCTTGGACTTCAAATATTTCCGAGAACAAAGAAAAAGGCGTACCGGTTGGGGTTTGAGGAGCGTGAGTACTCGTACTCGCCAATGGGCTGACCAACACCGGTTTGCGCAAATGTGGTGGAAAGCGAAATCTATTACGTCGTCAGCCAAATGCTCCCATAACACATCAGATGATACTAGAGAGGGGGAAAAGACATACAGGCTCAATTACAGCGCCAGTAACAGGGTCGTGAGGACTTCCAGCGTGCACAGCCAGAGTCCCAAATCTGTGGACTGGTGAGGCCGGGCGTGGCGGGGTATCGATGGGGTGGTCGGCCAGCGTCATGGTTGTAGGGTCTGAAATTAACTTTTTGCTTAAAGTATGACGAAAAGTGACGGTGGTAGAAGGGAGACTATTCAAACTTGAGATGAAGAGTCGTACGTAAAAGGGAAGAATGAGGGGAAAAGGCGAAATTTCTTTTTTCAAAATTCGGAGATCAGGGCTTGACCAGGTTGATATATATGGCGGTCGTCTATGGTGGAGGATTATGTACTTTATTCCGAGCGAGGAATGCTAGCGCAGAACAAACGCCGTACTTGGGCGGTCTGGGTCTCCGGGTTGGTCAGAGAAATCACGTCTTTCAGGGTCAGACGCGCAGACGTGACAGAAATTTTCTTTCGCAGCCAAAAAGTTTTGGAGGTGAGGGAATCCACTGAGGGTGTGTGGGCTTTTTCTCGCCCGACCCATCTGATGTATATATACGTATACTATTCCACGCTCCCCCGGGCGACGGCCCGTTTGCTCGTCCGACATTTCTCAGCAACAGGTGCATTATTCAGACTGGCGTTGGCGCACACACACACACAAATGCAGGCCGCTCGAATGGCGACATCTGGCTCGGCACAAGGGCGCGTTGGTTTCGTGAGCAAGCGGGGATGGTGTCATAGTCGATCCGCCTTGCGACGGCCTTGGCACCCGCTCCCTGCTGATTACACATGGCGACCTGCCACTGCTCGGGCGAGAGATTGGTAATACGTAACGACATATGCAGTGCACTACACCCATACCCGCTGCTATATCCGTTACTTGATGATTTGAGTATCTCTGCCAACCCTTTCTCCACCTGCCTACTTCTACATACACACTTGCGCATACACACGAGTCACCCCCATCACCTCACCTACCCTATTAGTATGCGTCATCCCCGGGCCTACTCTTTAGCTTAACGTAGCCACTTACGCCCTTCTTCCGCGTTGCCTGCTCCCCTTCAGAAACATCCCCTTTGCGCAATCCTGAAGGCTTTCCATTGGCCATGTTCGAAGTGAGATAGCTCCGTCCATCATCCAAACCCGTATTACCTCGCCGCTTCTCGCCAACAACAACCGGATCCTCGGCAATCAGGTTCTCCATATCCTCCCATTCCTTCTGGTTCAGTACATCCCATTCTTGTGCCTGTTGCTCAGCAAGCAAGAATGCCTTCAGTTCATCCACTACCTTTGTAGGCGACAGGCCCCATCCGCTAATGTAGTTTGCATTCTCCGCCATACCCAGGTAGGAATGTGATGTTGCATGTGACAACTGCCCAAAACCCACAGGCATCTTTCGAAGTATAAATCGGGATGACTTTGATGTCGTGATGTCCTTGTCAAATGCGTTCTCCAGCCGCTGTGCATTGTATGACTCTTGTGCAATGAGCAGTCTGTATAGATTGCGACCCATCGAACACGTATCTTCCCACTGCTTGAAGCTGTCCTTCATGCCTTGCGTGCGACAAAGCCATGCTACATTGTATGCCAGCAACGAGACGCCTTCAATAAAGGACGAATATGCAGGGGGGTCCTCGGCTGAGAGATGACTCAAGGGTCGGTCGACGAACAGAGTACGGGGCTTAGGGAGGTGTATGCGAGCCTCAAGCGTGCGAGAGGCCTCTGGGCTGGCATTTGACGAATGTGAAGGCGTCGATCCAGGAAAGGGTACCTTCTTTCCTTGGTACGAGGATGCCGGACTAAAGATAGTCGGTTGTGGATAGTCACTATGGGGAAGTGTGATTTCGGCCGGAAGACGGATCCCCAGATAGGCCGCAACACGGACGAGGAGCTGAGCCACCGCAGCCAGGGAAGCCGATAGACCGTCTGGCGCTACATCTGCGCAAAGGTTAGTATGTCGCCATATTGAGCAATCGTTAGAGCCATACCATTCAGGTCCCGGAGGTCATGTATCCGTAGGCGTGAGCCGGGCCCAATGTTGAAGACCTCCTTGATGCTGCCATCTCTCGTCTTTCGCCGCTGCATCTTCAGACCCGCAAGCTTCGCCGCAGTCGTGCACAGCTGCATGCGCAAGTCTATCGTATCGTGATGCATCTTGTCCGCATTGTAGTCCAGCCTCTTGATCTTCTGCTGGACCTTGTCCAACTCATTCGCCCGTCGCGACTCGATCCCATATGTGGCGGAGGAAAGGTCCGACTTTCGCTGCGCGTTGGCTGCGCGTTTCGCCTCGAGTAGCTTTCGTGTGGCATCGATCTGTTCGCGAAGTCTATTCGTATGTTCTGATATATCCCTCACACGCTCCTGTATTTCCGTCGTCTCGGCTTTCGTCCTTTCCCAGTTTAGATTGTTCGTGCATTCCTGTCTATCGACCAAAAGCCCACCCTTGGAGTCCACAAGCGAGACGTGTTGTATCGCCTGGTCCTCGGAGCCGTTTATAGTTGCCTTGACATGCTTCTCGACGCCATCACGGTCTATCAGCGTCCTTGCGAGCTCGATGCGGGGCTGTTCGAGGTATGAGCGGGCGCATGTCATGCAGTGGAAAGGCTGGCTGGGGCCGCCGGGTTTCCCGCAGATGTCGCAGTCCATGGCGAAAAGGTGTGTTAGGTGATGTCGCCTTCAGATATTTCGTAGTGTGGTAGGAGTGGACGGTACATCGAGACCATGGTGAGTGTTTGGCCGCGGTGGGTTGGCAGCAGCCTATGTATCCATGGAGATCGGCCAGTAAGGTGGCCTGTGAAGAAAGTACAAGCTATGCGAAGGGAAGCTGTTTGTGCTATGTGCGGGTGAGGGTGAATGGGAGAGCACCTAGAAGGCGCGCAAAGGAAATAGGCAGCGTGACTGAGGCGGTACGGTACTATCTAGGGACCGGCGCGAGTCGCGAGTCAGACGCACCTTCCAACGTCATGCCGCGACTGACCAAATCCTTATCGCGCCGGGCACGTGGTGTACACAGCATATCCCCAAACAACACCGGGAAACACCGGATTATGCTCTACATTAAGAATATCAAATCTATATTCACGCGTCAAACACCGTCTTGATGGTGATACGACAGTGCTGCAGTTACTCTACTACTAACCCGCAGCACTGACCGCCGCCACAAGCATCGCGAATGAACAGCACCTCCGACACCGAACGTGAACCCCTCTCCCCAAGTCACACTTTGCCGGTTCTACCCTCCTCGCCCCCTGTACTGACCCCCCTTCACCAAACCCAAGGCATGGGTAATGATCCGGAATCCGAGGCTGAGCATCCGAGGCAAGATGCTCAAAACTCTCACCTATCGCATAGACGAGTAGGCTCCGATGAGACGGAACGGCCACACTCAGCTCAGCAAACCCAACACGATACCGACAGCCACATCAGTGAAACCAGCGAAGAAGAAGAATCCGAAGAGGATGATTCAGATCCTGCGCACAGAATCGGCGACTTTGACTGGGAGGATCTGCATCATCGGTACCACGAAGCTATGAAAGTTTGTCACGGTGAGGAAGCAGCGTTGATGGAGGAATGGGAAAGCCTCATGACTGTAATTTGTGCTGCTCCTCAAAACAGAAGGAAGATGCTGATGCTGTTCTGCCTAGTACTTCCGCATATGGGCGCAGTCAGGACATGAGCATGAAACGGATCGTACATATTCGAGGTGGGTCGTCCACCCGATTTGATAAATCGTCCTACAATCTACTAAACTCTACCTCAGACTCTGCACGCGCACCTCCTACGTTCAGCATTCGGAGGACACACTTGAGCAAAAGCGAAATCACTGTAAGCTAATCTTGCCACATCTTTCTTTCAAACTTGGCATGTACTAATGCGATGCAGATATCAGCGTAGTGAGGGCCTTTGAAAGTGCGCTCAACCTTCTCAAAGCCAGTGGCCTGGGGCGCTGATGCTCATCAACTTAGATGACATCTATCTCGCCCATCATGCGCCTCAACCGGCTGTCTTGCCACGAAATATATCAAACGGTGAGGTGACGTTGTTTACTTGACGGTCGATGCTTTCGTCTAGTTTACCTACCTGTACCTCGTCACATGTGCATATTATGCGTTGCTCAATCATGTGATGACTTAAGTCAACGACGAGCCGAATCATGAATCTCGGAGACAGCCTGAGACAAAAAGCACTCGCATGCCTCGTGTAGCACATGATATGATACCCATTCAAAAATACAACTTCAAATTTTCTTCATTGCCGAGAGTTCTCCCTGTCTAAAATCCTAAATCGACAGCTCAAGATTCTATACAACATGCCATACCCGAACCAGCTAAGCCATGACGCAAAAAAAGGCTTCTATCATGTTGCCGAAATCTATACAAGACATGGGTTGTTTTTTTCTCCATGCCATTCAGATATGCATTGAAAAAAGAAAGGAATTGTGTCCTTCTTGCCCGAGATGTGCCAGAAAAAATCGTTCTAAAGACAGTGCAAGTGCGCAACAGTAACCGCCGAGCTGAGACAAGCCGTTTATAGAAGAGGGTTGGAACGGTATTCGGGGACGATACCGTTGGTCTGCGACTTCTCGGCTTGGTTCTCGGTCTCTAGTTCGTTGCTAACGCTCTCGTCACGCTCAGCAAGCCACTTCTCGGCTTCGAGAGCAGCAATGCAGCCGGATCCTGCGCTGGTAATGGCCTGTCGGTATCGCTTGTCTTGAACGTCACCAGCAGCAAAGACACCTTCTACACTGGTAAGACCCTCACCAGGCTTAGTGATGAGGTAGCCATCCTCATCCATGTCGAGCTGTCCCTTGAACAGCGCGGTGGCTGGGTCGTGTCCTACGGCATAGAACAAGCCCTTGGCCTCCAGTGTCTGCTCTTCCTGTGTCTGGTTGTTCTTGACCACCAAGTGTGTCATGAGGCCATTCTTCTTCTCCTCGCCCTTGATCTCTACACCGCTGGTGTTGAACATGACCTCAATCTTGGGGTGCGTTGTCAACCGGCGAGCGTTGGTTCGGCTAGCCCGTAGTTTGTCTCGTCGGACGAGGACAGTAACCTTTTTCGCCTTCTTGGTGAGGTAGAGTGCCTCCTCTACTGCTGAATCTCCGCCTCCAATGACGACGAGGGGCTGGTCGCGGAACATGGGCAGTGATCCGTCGCAAACTGCGCATGCAGAGACACCGTTGCCCCAGTACTTGTCCTCGCCCTTGAGGTCTAACCTCCTTGCTTTGGCGCCAGTTGCGATGATCAGAGCATCAGCAGTGTGTTCTTCCTCCTCAATTTCGACATCGTCACCCATGGGGTGTAGCCAGTACTTGAAAGGGCGCGCCTTCAGGTCAACCTTGGCGACGGTCTGGGAAATGATTTCGGTGCCACATGCTTCGGATTGTTCGCGCATTTGTTCCTGCTTGTTGTAAGTAATTGTTGGTGCACAAGAGCTTTTGTGGCTAGCGACTGACCATGAGCTTTCCTCCTCCAATCTTTGTGAAGCCAGGGAAGTTCTCGACTTCGTCCGTGGTGGTCAACTGACCGCCTGCCGCGATACCGAGAGCCATGAAACCCTCGTACATTACGGCTACACAATGTTAGTAGTGGATGGGAATGTTTAAGGAGACAACATACGGTTCAGGTCAGCTCGTGCAGCATAGATGGCTGCGGTGTGGCCTGCTGGCCCAGAGCTACAAATGTTAGATCGGTGTCAAAAAAAAGTTGCCGCAACCAGCCGCAAACTCACCCAATGACTACAATACTGTTAGCTCTTGTTCTTGCCATAGAAATTCGGGCATAACTTACTGACTAGTTTTGAATGCATGTTACGCGCTTGTACTTTTGAAAAACTTGAAGCAGTTGAGAGCCCCGCTACAGGTGATACGTGCTGGTTATGCGATGCGGCGGCAGCGACGGGCACGGAGAACAGGGACAGAGATCGAGGCGAGGTGGCCCTTCGGAAGAGTGATGCGAACACTTTGGCGACGTTTGCGAAAACCCGCGGGTCGCGTGCAAGATCTGGTTGTGGATGTGGGTCGTGTGCGGGATGATGGTGGGATGGGGTGTCAAAGTTGGACGACCCGCGTGTGTAGTGGCGTACGGAGTGTCTTGTATGAAAACGAGAAGACGAGAGAAAAAGGACTCGAAATATGGTCTTCGAACTAGCTCAGAAGATGCCGCAATTAGTGAGCGCTGGCTTGGTGGCTTCGGAAACTCCGCAATGTTCTGGATGATGGCGATGGGCCGAGGCGTAGTGGGGGTGTCTGTATTATTCAATCCTGCGCAAAACTGAGCTTAGTCAGTATATTCGATTTTACCGGCCGAGGTTTCGCGCGCGCTATCAAAGTGAAGACTGTCAAAAGGAAATAATTGACAAGCAGCTATCTTCAAGTGAAGATGAAAGAGGATTATTGCGAGACAAGAAAGAAGTAAGATCCTTGCCGCGGGTCGACGGCAAGTGCACGTTGCCGTGCCTTTGATGGATTCTTAGAAATCCGATGGCGACTAGACCCACGTAGCCCTCAGCCGCGCAACTTTCGGTTTTTACAACCCTTATGCCATAAGACGGGGGGACCCGTGCTCCTCTACTAGACTTCGGCACTGACGCACATGTCGGAGCCATCGGGCTATTTGCCCAGGCAGGCTCTCCGGCTTGGGCGCACAAGTCGTGAGGTAATCACAGCCCATGACATTTCGTACTCATCACGGTCTACTTTCTATCTTGGTGTGTCGGCCGTGCTGACAACTTCTATCATCATCTCCGGAACAATTCTCTCGCATCATGTTAGCTAATCCTCCGCGCCTGGACGCTTCCTGAGGTTCTCGATGTTGTATAGTATGCTCCGAACACCATCGTCGTCTGCGCCCTGAACACTGCTATTCGCCGTGTTGCCACTCCGCTCAAAACTCTCCAGCTCCTTTGCAAGTTCTGTATCTTCCTGCCACAGGCCCTCGGGTTGAAAAGAGAAACACTGCAATTTAGGTACCTTTTTCCATGTTAGTAAAGATTCACAAATATATGCAAGTAGGCCGCTTACTTGGTCCTCACGTTTCTCCGTGGTTGAGCCTGGTTTGTGGACGTTGTCTATGGAGACTATAATTCGAACGGAACCTGTCGGATCGACAATCAAAGCAACGTCAAGCACATTGCCGTTCAATGAGATTTGAGATCCAGGTGTAGATCCTCCCACCGCCAAGCCGAATAGTGCTGGGACACCTTCACACGCTACAAGGATACGCTCGGCCTGTCTAAAGTCAGATGTTGCATTTCAAGGAAATCAAACGGACGATATACGCACATCATTTCCCTGGTTTGGCAAAGGCCATATACCAGAGACGGCGACCTTGTAATTCGTACGCTCCAGGTCCATCGGAACCGCATTCCGCTCCTGGAGATGGCCAAAGGCGAGATCTCGGATGTTGAGCCTCTCCTTCAAAGAGCAGGTTCGCCAATCCCATACGAACAAATCGTCATCTCCGCCGCCAGAGACAAGAAGGCCGGATGGCGTGAGACATAGTCTGCTTACAAAGGCCTCGTGACCGAAGCAGAAGCCCTCAATAATGTGGGCTTGCGGTTGACCTCGTGAAATTCGGATATGCTCGTCACGGTCGGCAGTTATAATGTAACTCCGGCCATCCAAATTTGCATAGGTGACATCTGTGAGCATGGAAACGTGCCCCAGGAGGAGTTCGTGCTTGAAGCGCATGGGCTCTTTAGACTTTGCGGGACCCTTTGCCTTTTGCTTGAGCTGCTCTTCTAGGGTTTTTCGATTTCTGCCAGAGTGGACTGTCAGAGTCGTAGCGGAGGGCATCCAGTCCTTTTGCTCTGGTTCAGCTGCAGGGATATCACGCTGCTGCGCCAGATCATCTGCTGGTGAGGGGAGAAGTGGCAAAGCATATACGTCTCCGAACTTGTCCGCGCATAAGATTGTTGTGTCGTCAGACGCGATGGTGATTGAAGAAGGCCTTCTAGACATGCATCTTGCCGGCATCAGCATATGCACTGGACAATTATTTGTCTTTCTTACCTATCACTTAATTGCTGTAGTCGATCCTGGGCGTCGATTTCAAAGACTCGGATGCACTTGTCCTCGCCAGTAACGCCAATTAGATACTTTCCATTGTGCGATAGTATCAGATCCGAAAAGTTGGACTTTTGCTCTTTTGGTTGTTCCAACTTGATCCTTTTGCCTGGGCGCTCCTCAGATTCGCTATCCTGCTGCTCCTGCTCGTGTTAGTGACATGTCAAGGCAATACTATCCAACAGAACACTACAATGCAGCAATATGGTTATGGAGCATCACACATTGTCTCACTCACTTCGGTCTGCGCTTCCTGTGCTGGCCACACTGATGTCGCTCCGTTGCTAGACTGGACCACCAGCTTCGGTCCACTCGCACCGAAGAGCACCCAGTCGCCTACATTTTTGGAGCTCCGCGCAACAAGACATTGGTAAGGTGCAGCCATGGTGTTGCGACTAATGCTGTCTCTGTCCAGGGTGGTCGTACTTTTTCTCTGCCTCTGTCTCTGAACGCGCTAGCGCATTAGCGAGCAGGGGCCACCCACAGCCGGACAACCTCAATTTTCGCGCCCACGACGAACTTTCTCTCCCCAACAACACCCACGACCCAAATTAAGACCTTAAACATCCCTTTGCGTCACCGAACACAATGGGGGGCAAGAAAGAATCCAAGGCCGCTTACTTCGAGAAGCTCGATGTCCTCCTCAAGGAGTACAAGAGCATCTTCATCGTCACCGTCGACAATGTCTCGTCGCAGCAGATGCACGAGATCCGTCAGTCGCTCCGCGGTGAGGGTGTCGTCCTCATGGGCAAGAACACCATGGTCCGCCGTGCTCTGAAGGGTCTTATCGCCGACTACCCAGAGTACGAGCGCCTTCTTCCCCACGTCAAGGGTGCGTTTTCCCATGTACATACACCTCACTACTAGGCCATGGCGCTAACATTGGCATAGGCAACGTTGGTTTCGTCTTCACCAACGGCGACCTCAAGCAGATCCGTGACAAGATCCTCTCCAACCGTGTCGCTGCTCCCGCTCGTGCCGGTGCCGTTGCCCCTGGCGATGTGTACATTCCCGCCGGAAACACGTAAGAACATCTCTGGCACATGCATCGTGAACACACAATTGACAAATGGACAGTGGTATGGAACCCGGAAAGACCTCTTTCTTCCAGGCTCTCGGTGTCCCCACCAAGATTGCCCGTGGTACCATTGAAATCACCACCGACTTGAAGCTCATTGAGGCCGGTAACAAGGTCGGAGCTTCCGAGGCTACTCTGCTCAACTTGTTGAACATCTCGCCCTTCACCTACGGTATGGGTATCTACCAGATCTACGACAACGGCCAGACCTTCGACGCCTCCGTCTTGGACATCAGCGAGGAGCAGCTCCTTAAGACCTTCTCCACCGCCATCACCACCATTGCCACCATCTCCCTGGCTCTCAACTACCCTACCCTGCCTTCCGTCATGCACTCCGTTGTCAACTCTTACAAGAAGGTCCTCGCCGTCGCCGTCGAGACCGACTACGAGTGGGACGAGATCTCCGAGCTCAAGGACCGCATTGCCAACCCCGACAAGTACGCCTCCGCTGCCCCATCCGGCGGCGCTGCTACTTCTTCCAACGCCCCTGCTGCCAAGGAGGAGGCCAAGGAGGAGGAGAAGGAGGAGTCCGAGGATGAGGACATGGGCTTCGGTCTTTTCGACTAAGCTCATAACGTTTGCGATGGCATTTCTTGAGAGATCTCGGTATGGCTACGGCCTGCCGATCATGTCTTGATGATTTAGACAGTCAACGACAATACGATAAGATGAAATCAGCAACAGAACAGAATGACCGTGATGCTCCCAAAGCAACGGCGTCCAATCCAACATCAGGTAAGCTCAATCTCTTATTTATTCACCTTGCTATGATTATTTTCTTTTTAACCCTGAGGTCCTACGGTGAGGATCAAAAATACAACAACAACACTCTAATTTTTTAATGAGCAACCTGTTTCACTTTTCTGTTATCAGCTTATGTTGCGGATCTCAATGCTGACTTGAAAACAGATCTACAGTTGTGCACTTTACACTACATTTTGTCTACGTGAAACTCAATTAGTGCAGATTATGCGATGCTAACAAGGTTTCCTGCCCTTTCAAGATCTATGCGCAACCAAAAGCACTTCCAGAGCGCCTTACCTCCTAAGCTTCGGCAGACACTCTCGCTTTGTATATTCCCGGTGTAAACATCTGCATGTGACCAAGAATCGCCATTGTCGTCGACTGCTAACCCTTGTGCGTGCTTTTTGAAAAGCCTTGTTGCGACAGCCTTGGCTATTCCTTTGCCTCTGTAGGCCTCTTCTGTATGTAGTGTAACCAGAGAGCCATCCAATCCAAGAAACGTCCATGCCACTGGCATGTCCGTCTTTTCTTCAAAAACACCTACACTTCTCAATGACATCAAAGTGCTACGTGTGCGAGGTATAGATGTTCGTGCCTGGACAATTTCAATGTCTTGTTTGCGCATCTCACCCCACCGCAACCCAGCAGGCAGCTCTTGAGTTTCTGGTAGATCGGAATGCTTGAACAAGAACTTGTTGAGCTCAGCGTCTGGACCTGGAAGCTCCGTACGTACAACGCCTGCTTCGTGCAGAATTTGAAGCACATCACGCTGGCATGCGCCCACGGTGATGGTTTTGGGAAGAAGCAGATGGCGCATGTACGTTCCTGGCGCAGATTCATAAGCGCCTGAAGGTGGCGGGGTTGGATGTTCTCGTTCATGCTGCCTTGCAAGGTCCATGGCGGGAAGGTTGTCGATACGCATTGGAGGTGTAGGCAGTGTAGACATGTAATCTACCAAAGCCAATACAGCTCTTTTGCACTCGCGGCAGTACTTTTCACCATCATCTCCAGTTGAAGAAGTGGTTGAAGATTGATGATTCGGCAGCTCAAGGATGCTGAAGATCCACAGCTCGGTTTCTGGTCGCATGGACCGGTCCAGGTACGCTGCTGCCCAGCATTCTGGTAGTATCGCTTCTGGCGATGTGGATTCGGGGAAAGTAGCGAGTATGTGTGCGTGGGGCGTTCGGTTGGGATGTTGGGTGCGGTATACCAGGTTGATGCTGTAGGGCAGGGTGGCTTTTAGAGCACGTTGGAGGGTAGGCGAGGAGGCGGAGTGGGCGTAGACTTGCATGCTTGGCAATGCAATTGGCTGACTGATATTGATCGCGAAGAAGTGAATGGGATTACTTGAAGGATGTTTACTTGAAGGATGGAAAAATGAAAGTCTAGTAAACGTTTTGGTTTGTGTACCTTCCGTGTTGGGGATGGACGTTGCATGACTAAGTGGCTGCGGGATGTCGTGCTTTGAGTCAGATGCTGTCTCGGAGTGTTGCCTCTACTTTCTCCATGTACACGTAGTATTGTTCACTATTTGCATATATTGTAAGTCGAAAGGTATGGGAATGACTCCATTACTGCTCAGTCTTCAACTGGTCACCCTGCTTTCAGTACATTCAATATGGAAAGTACTTTCGTATCTGCCTGTCGAAATACAGCGGCTATCTCTTACTAATAAGTATGTTTAAAATCAGTTGTAATATCATTAAATGAGTTGTCCTGCATATGAGAAACATGATGATAACAATGTGCTAACAAGATCTGTCTTCATGTGTGATCAAGGCTTCGCTGGAGCTGGTATTGTTTCTTGTCTACTAGTGTCGCAGTATGAATAGGTAGACTAGTCAATGACCAGAATAACCCGGGTCATATAACCCGTCCGATCTTTCAGCTATCCAGTGAATGGAAATAGTAATCAATGGGCCGACATGGTTGGTGAATTGATAGAATTGGATGGACTCGTGCTGGTTGGTCGGTTGGTTAACTTAGCCGCTGGACATTGCGGACCTTGCAAGGTCGTCATTTGCTTGTCCAAGAGAAGAAGAATGGTCCTGCGTGTCGGTTCTAGGGGAGTAGGTGATTACACTTTCTAATATTCCTTTACTGCTCCCATTCAGACCGAAATAATTGCCTATCTAGTAATAACGGTGATAAGGAGGATGACTTCCCTTAGAGTGCGCACTGTTAAGCCTAAGGTAAAATACAGCAATGCTCATAGACAAGTGCAAATCCTCCAAGACAGCAGCAGTTGTCTTAAACGTTTATCCAAATCAGTCTCTTGTCTTAAGCTTTGACAATATAGATAAGTTCTGTTATAGCATATAAAGCTATAGTAAGCTGGGTGCTACTTTGTAGTATCGTGAAAGTTTAACAGATCGCACGGAAATCATATTAGATGCTTTCGGAAACGCTACTTTACCTTACAACATGTACCCTATTCCAGTCTCGTTCGAGAATACCCTACCAGACCTACGAGGCCCCCACCTAGTCTCCACCGGATTGTACGATAAAAGCAACATAGCATTGTTCATCCACAAAGAAGGAAAGGAGTTGAAACGACACCTATGCTATGCATTCTACTTCGAAGATCACGAATCAAAAGTTAGTTTCGACAATAAGGCCCCATCTCCGGTAATACATTGGATAGAATATGGGCGGTTCTATAATCGCGACCTCTTCGCGAAAATCTGCAGGAATCAGCCTGTGTTGAACCAGTCTGCGCCAAATCAAACTGCGGAGCAGGTATTTGCAGACTGGCGGACGGCAGTGCTAACTACGCTTGAGACCGACCACAGCGCTTTGTGGGTTCCTTTCGTCGCAAAGTAATTCACTGTAGCATACCTAACTTAGCTATCGAACACTACAAGAAGTCATAACGTGGCCAAAATTTGGTCTAAGATGCAGAATAGTCAACAGTCTTTACTTTCGGGATCGTTGAGATTAGAATTGAAAATTTACAATTTACTTTTTCTTATAACTATATAAAAGACAGATTACGTGTAACAGAAGAAACAAATTCCTAGCCTCTCTTTCGCCGCTCAATTAAGCACCTATCTTTTTAGTGTTTATTTCGAAACCACTCTCCTTAGTAGATACGATTCCAAGCCTTGGAGGAAAGGCGCACCAGATCTGCTCCGCATTCCATCTCACCATAGGCTTTGTCCTCAAATTCTTTAGTAATATCAGCGTAGAACTTTAAAGTGGCGTCCGTGAAGGCGAAACGTTGTCTGAACGAGGCGCCCTGTACCCACGGTGGGAACCACCCAGCACCAGCCCAATCAATTAAAGTTACTTCCCAGTCTGGAGGATGGCCTTGTGTCGTTGGAATACGGCGGAAGATGATATTCTTTAGGGCAGGATCCACATGAGTAAAGACAGGCTTCCGGTCAGTAGATATTTCCAAGGCTTGCTTGTACTCAGATACCACAGTGTCTTGGTCCTCAGAAAGAAATCCGCCTTCTTGGAGACGACTAACTAAAGCATTTGCTTCAGCAGCACGGATTACAGCTGAAGTAAATTCTTCGTAAGTTTTGTATGGGCCGCAAGACTGTTTATAGTTCGTGCGAAACATGCCCATGCTACAGCCAAAGGCTTGGCGATGAACTCGGCCATAGTATCCCTCAGATGGAATAGACCGCAGTAGGCGGAACTGCTCGCGTACCCTGGCACAGAGTGTTGTACGCTCTTCTTCAGTAAAACCCATCCAATCGTTAACCGTGAGCTGGAACCCTGGTATGTATTCCATAACCAGAGTAGCCTCAGGGAAAGGAACGCCTGGACGCCCAGGGTACACCCTGTACACCTTGGGCACTCGGACGCGAGAATTTTCTGCAAGATAGATGAGATTCTCTGCTTCCTATTGTACGTCAGTCGACCTTCCACCGCGATGTTTATCCCGCTGCTTACCTCGATAATGTCTGGTTCTGCGCCAATCTTATAAACTTGGTCCCGAACTCGGAAAGCTTCATTCATGCTCATTCTATTGTGAAGGACGTTTTCAGTTTTGGCCTTCCGAATCTCATCCTCTGAAGGTAGCTCCGGGCAATTGTCTGCAACATATGGAACTGATAAATGGAACGGTGTAGTTCGGGGAGGTTCTCTCTCTTGCGTAGCATTAAGCACAAAATCAAATGCCTCTTCATATGTAGAGACCCCAAAGTGCTCTTGGGCAATACTCGCTATTGTTCGCATTGTAAGATTGATGTAGAGTTGATGGTATTGTACTTTGTAATGCTAGGAAAGTAAAATTTCAAGTGAATAACGAGAATGTATAGAATGCCCAGATCTCTTCCTTATATACTTGTTGGGCCAGTAAACTCGGACCGAGATAGAGCATGCAGTCTGCTTTGTTCTCAACGATTTCTTTGACCCTTGTTACGATATTATTAGCCTACAATTTTTGCCTTTTGTACAGAACATGTTGATTCTGGGACACTAACTCTTCTATCATACCAGCTGCAACAGCCGACACGACAGTTGCGCGGAAAATGAAAGAAAATTGCTGCGGGCTATCGTGCGAAGATACACGCCTTGCGCTTTATGTAATAGTAACTCTATAACTACTCGAGCCTAAACAAAGACATCCTTTATGCGCTCACACTACTCAGATATTCGGTTTAAGAATGCCGCCACACCCCCTTGCATTGATCCTCTTTGAGCACATATACAGTCCATGGCTTTGTTGTACGGGCCTCAATGTCGCTGCTTTGATGCAGCTTGCTGGGGCCGTGCTGTGCGTGCTCAATGCAGCGTCCAATCCTCCCTTTCCATTGAAAATTCCAGTAATTACTCTGCTTACACGGCGGGTGGGCCTCCTACTATATTGTCTTCCTGCTGTGGCTTACTTGGATCTCCTCCAGTGGGGAATGAAAGATATCCTTTTTCGGACAATCGAGGATACCTAGGCGCGTTCTTAGGACTTTCATTGTACAGCTCGTGAGCGTATTGATTGGTAGAGCTTCGTCTAGTCTATAGTGTGAGCCACAAGTCGCGTTTTGAGTAAGCCTGCATAGTTACTCCTTGAGCTTCTATCGTAATCCTCTTGGATCGTCTGCGGTGTGCAATATTCACTTTTCACGATCCCTATCCCAGCGAGTATTTCCAGAAAATCAGCTGCAAACCCCTTTCCTCCCATGGAAACTCGGGCAACAGTTGTACCTTGATGCTTTGACTGCAGGCAGACGCCGTATGTTGCACTACGTTGACAACGAGCCGCACTAGTCCCGAAAGAGTTACATCTCGAGAGCGCTCCGACGGAACCAGCCCTCTGTCTTCGCACCACCAGAGCTTCATCTCTAGATTCGCTTTGTAACCTCGCTACCCTTTACGCCGTCGCCGCTCGACAGCCAACTCACGTCTAGCATTGCTCGGTATTTGTTCATATCACAAGTGGAAGGGCACTGTATACCAATGACGTCATTTTTGTCCAATTGATTCTCGAATAAGTTTCCCATCTCCCTGCACATCCAAGTGCCCCAAAGGGGGTTTTGCTTGTAGGCGGTTTTCATTGTCCTAGTAAGAAGACATAGGATCGGATTGAGAAACATTACAAGTAAATACCCGCGGCAGTGACACAATGTCCCCGTACCGATAGGGAAAGTACCTTCACATTTGCCTACAACGATCCGTTGTCAGCCCTATCACAACACAGAGGCTATCTCTTACTAGTAAGCCTATTCAAATCCACTGTAAAAGCCCCAATTCTCAGTCCAACATGTAAGGAACATGATAATAACGATGGGCTGACAGCATTGGTTTTCATTTACCGCCAGTCTCGCTGGAGCCGGTATTCTTTCCTATATACCGGATATATGTTTTATCAAATCCTACTTACATTCACATACGTTCATAGGCGAAAAAATAACTCTGGGTCCCGTCCGCTCCCCACACGATAAACTTTCGACCGGCGGATTAGTAGTTAGGTGGGTGACCACTAGCGAATCCCCGCTGACGTATGTTTTTGTATATTTTTGCATCTTGAATTCGTGCCGCGTGTGTAGGAACTGTTTGTTTTTATTTTTCTGGGTCAGCCTTTATCTTTTGGTGCATCAAGGATTTCATAGCAGGGAAGATTCAAAATGCGAGTGAAACGCGTGTATTCTATATTCTGATGTCTATGTCTAAAGGAGCGTGGAAACTGTCGTGAAAGCAAACTCTCCAAGCCACATCCCCATATTAACAACCCCAATAGTACCGCCAGAGAAGTGAAGAAAACCAGAAAAGCAATGCAAAACAGTCGTAAAGAAGCTCGTCATCCTCTCATCCGTTACCCCCTATACCCCCCCTGGACCCTATGTCCTCGTCTTCTCTCTCTCGGTCTCGGTGCGTCTCATGCCCTAGACTCGGCTCACAATCTAAGCCCTGACACAAGAAAACTGGAATCCATTGAGCCAGGTAGGAACAGGCTTGGTGACATCTCCATCGAGATCAGCAAAGTTCTTTGCGCGGCCATCGAGCTCAATGATCCAGCTGGGGATGTTGAGGTTGGCAAGCTTGCACTTGGTGGTGTCCTCGAACTGGACGAGTTGGGCCGAAGTGCCCAGGATGTTGCCGTTGCCGCTGTCGAGGGCGCTGCCGGTGAAGCGGGCAGGGATGGTGACGACGGTGCCGTCAGCGGGGACGGTGGTGTCGGCGCTGACACCGGTTTGGTCGTTGAAGATGCGGAGGGTGACCTGGGGAATGGGCTGGGGGATGGATGCTGCGGAGGCAGTGAGGGCCATGATGGCGGTAGCGGCGAAGGTGGTGGTGAACTGCATTTTTGTGGTTTGGGGTGTTGGTTTTGGTGGTTTGGAAGTTGAAGAGTGTGTGGTGGAAGGAGATTGTAGAAGTGTTGGTTGGAAGATGCTGTTGCTGTTGTTGTGATTGTGATTGCTGTTGATGATGGACTTTTGGGTCGCGAAGACGGCATGATTTATATCATGGTCAATTGATCCTTTCATCGAGTGCATCTCATAACCGAGCCGTGGTTGTAACACTGCCTGGCTGAAACTCTTCGCAGACATGCTCGGTGAGTAGTAGTGCCGCAGCCACCGCCCTTGCTCAGCATCACCTCAGAATTCATCACCGAAATACTCACGATGTTGCATTCCGACCGGTGCCAACCATCATGAGATGTTCCTTCAACAAAGTATTTTCTACTCTCGGTCAAGTCTGTGGCTCAGTCTTGCTACAGCTTGTGGGGCGTTACATTGGAGCTTACAAACAATCTTCCCATGGCTTGCGTCGGTCACGAAATTACTGCGTCTGACATATGGACCGGAATTTTTCCAGCAAGAGAATGCGGTTAGGTCCGCCGCAGAGCGTGATCAGATGGCGGTGATGGGAGGGAGAGCTGAGGATTTGCTGACGGTCTTGGCTTGCGTTGGCACGGCACAGCCCTGGTTACGCTCCACCGTCAGCAAAGGTTAAAATACTAGGGCGCTCTAGAGGCTGAGTTCGCGATGGTGTAACAATAATTTTAGAATCTGGGGCACCGCCTGCTATGCACGCCATTCTTCCGCGCATGTTGTAGTGCGGTGTGTCTTATGCCGAATACGACATGCGCTCATGATATTGACACATACCGACCACCAACTCTCAGCTTCTGATGAAATTACATACGAATAGGGAAAATCAATGTACTTCATTCTGTGAACGAAGCGGTAATGCCAGCAGCTATGCTCAGTGCACGTCTACATTTTCGGCATCATCCTCACGAGTCGATAGTCCCATGAACACACACCTGAAAATGACAAAACACTGACCTTTGCTCAAGTCCCTAAAACGCACTCTTCTCTGAGATACAGGAATCAACCGTAGCATTTCTACAAAAATCAGGGTAAAAGCCGCGTCTTTTCTGTGCATTTCATTCGAAAGTGGTATCCCAACAAAAGCAATGTTGGTCTTGGAGGAAGCCGGGTTGGCTTATTGCTTTTCCTATTCAATCGACGCTTCATAATGAACTGCTCCGCGAAAAATATTGATAGGTGATGCCAAAACAGGCATGCCCACGATTTCCTTATTTTCAAACACAATCATTTACAATTCTTTACTTCACCCTAGCTCCCTCCCTAGATAAACGAGTCCATATCCAAACCCCTCCCAATACTCCCCTCTCCACTCTACACTACAGCCTCCCTAACCACCCCATCAGCAACCCACCTCCCCTCAAACACCTCCTGCAGCACCCTCAACTTGGAGAAGAAAACATCATTATCCACATACGCGCCTTTAAGCCAGCGCTCCCCCTTTGACGCATCAAACGCACGCCTTGCATGCAGCACCCTCCTATTATCGAAGATGACGCACTCACCCTCATTTAGTCTGTACTCGTACAGGTTATCTGGGGAACTAAGCAACTTCTCATAGGCATGGGCGGCAGCAATGTATGAGCGGAGAGAAGGCGTAGTGCTATTGCCGTGGGGCATTTGAACGGGAGCTTGGAAGGGTGGAGACCAGTTTATGCGGCGGATGGTGCTGCTAGTGATTTCTGTGCCTTCGGGACAAGGAAAGGTTTCGATGACTGGGCGGGTAAGGTGGTAATGGTTTTGCGGGTGATGGTAGTGGTATGTGACGGGAAAAGTGCACAGCGTGTTAAAGTGGTCCACTGATTGCTCGCGGAGTTGGTGGGCGGCGGCAAAGGCGTCGGAGAAGAAGGATTCGCCGCCTGGGGTGCGGGCACGCAGTGAGTGTAGAAGTTGAAGGTGCGGTGGGTTGGATGTGTACAAGAGATCCATGTGAAGACCGAGATAGTCGGGGGTGTAGGCAATGTTTTCGGCTTTGGGCTTGGAGCGAACATCCCATGTGCGGCCGTAGAAGGTGTCTTTGAGAGTTCCCACTCGGGAAGCAAGGGATACGACGGATTCTTCTGAATCGGGCACGTTGTTGATGAAAAGGAGACCGTATCTGTGGAGGTGGGTGAGGGCTTCGAAGAGAGTTTCGTCTCGAGACATGTAGGCATCGTAGTCGAGCCATTTGTTGGCCTTTTTCATCTCCTTGCCATCCCAGAACACTCGGTCATCGTGTCGTACGCCGCTGCTTGTCTGGACCTCTGTGTTGAGTGCCTGGCGGAGCCAATTGATGGAGTGCCGGGTGCGATGCTCCGGGCCAAACCCCTTGACGTCGCTGTCCCATTGCACTTCAATTGAGTCTCCTTTTGTCTCGTCGACAACAGTCTTGATGCTACCTTTTATATCTACTGGAATGTCCGAGGTCTGGAAAAGCCTATTGTTGCTATATTGGTCCACGCAGCGCACACAAGTACAACTATCGCGCAGGAATGCAGCATCAAAGACCCTGGCCTGTCCGTCGATAGTCACCGAGATGCTTTTTGATGGAGCACCTGCTGATACATCTTGGACTGGGTTCCCCTGCTCTTCTGCCCACTCCACCTGGCGCAGCTGTGGTTGCTGTTGCCGTGGTTTGGTTGGCCTGAAGGGACCATGGGTAGCGGGGCTCCGATTAGCATGCTCGGCGGGATTCGGTGATCGCCAGCACGAATGGAAGCGGAAGCTCCGTCTTTGGACTGCAGCGCGTGTCTTGCAGGCGTTTGTTACTTGTAGCCTCAGATGGCGTGAGGGAAGCTTGAAGATGATGTTGGAAGTCATGGTCGGCTGGTCGATTGGTCGCAGCTGGTGAGTTCCAATACTAGTAATAAAACGAGGCGGGGTCTGCTTCTTTTCTGTCGCGCGAGCTTCGAGGGAATGTGGGAATCAAACGCGCCATTGACCGAGGTCATCACACACCCTCTACCCGGCAGCACCAGCATCCATTCCTCCTGCATACCGAGGATCTGTTGAGGACATACAATCGCGCCCCGAACCCCAGCACGTGTGTCGACTGACGCACTGGGCGCATGTCTGAGGGTGTAGCGCAGTTGAAGCATGAGGTACCATTCATCGACCTCGACCGTTTGGAGACGCAGAGGACGCGGGGCTAATATATCTCGCAGGGCTCCCAGTGGCAAGTGGTGATTGCAGGTGCAGTTGCAGGTCTAGTCTCACGGTATTCTTCATCCTTTGGCCTCCTCACCATCATCGACATGGCTGACATGTGAGCAGCTTTGTGATCGCGCCCCTCGACGTCATCAAGATCCGCCTGCAGCTTCAAATCCACTCCCTGTCCGACCCCTTCAGCGTTCGCCATGTCCAGGGCCCTGTGTACAAGGGAACGCTGGGCACCCTCAAGCAGATTCTGCGCGAGGAGGGCCTCACTGGCCTGTGGAAGGGCAACATACCCGCCGAGCTCATGTACTTGACATACGGCAGCGTCCAGTTCTCAGCCTATACATACGTCTCGCATATACTCGAGGCAATTCCTCCACCATACACCCTGCCCGGTTCGGTGACCAACTTCGTCAGCGGCGCTTCAGCTGGTGCTGCCGCGACGACGCTCACATATCCGCTCGATCTCCTCCGCACGCGTTTTGCTGCTCAGGGGACCGAACGCGTATACACGTCCATTGTCGCTTCTCTAAGGCACATTGCGCAGCATGAAGGCCCCACTGGTTTCTTCCGCGGTCTTGGAGCTGGCGTCAGCCAGATTGTCCCGTACATGGGCCTCTTCTTTGCCAGCTACGAGAGTTTGAAGCCAATTACCGCCGCCTCTCCAGTTCACTTACCACTTGGAAGCTCAGATGCCGTGGCAGGTATCATGGCAAGTATCCTTTCCAAGACCGCTGTCTACCCGCTCGATACGACGCGCAAGCGACTGCAGGTCCAAGGCCCGACCCGAGAGCGCTACGTTCATCGGAACATACCTACATATACTGGTGTAGTTAGCACCTTGGCTCATATCTGGAAACACGAAGGAAGGCGGGGTATGTATCGCGGCCTGACCGTCAGTCTGCTCAAAGCAGCACCAGCCAGCGCCGTCACTATGTGGACGTACGAAAGAGTAATGGGCGCTATGTTGGCTTTCGAGGAAAAACACAAGGATTGAGGTGTATATATAATGTTTTTCTAGTATGGCCCGTCTCTGCTCTTCAAGATACCAGACTCGCAAATGATGCAAGTTTTGACTGCTATGATTCTTCTTATACTGCCTTGCGTCTCTCCACCTGTCGTTGATCTTGTGAGACAAGCTCAGGGGTGAGCAGGGCCCTTAGTCGTAATCTCTAATCCAATATTGAGTAAGATAGTGATTATTCAAGAACGGTCTTTTCTGAGCGGGTCACTGATTCTGCATGCTCCGTGGGAGTACACGGCATTGCGTGCTGTCTCGCACCGATCTGGCTGTCGACCACAGCATTGCTGATATACACTACAGCAAGAAATACCTCTTACTGAGCCCAGAGCCTGAACCGTAAGGCAAGTCGAAGTGTCGGTAGAACCCAACGGAGGTCCAACATCATCCTCGCTCTCTAGAATGCAGCATGCACAGCAATCCAAGAATCCAAAATTTTCCACAATTCCCCCCTCTTTACACAGCAGCCTGCTTCTTCTTCCTCGAATACAACACAGCCTTATGCCGTCGCTCCTCAAACCCCGCACTTTCCCCCTTATGCCCTTCCATCCAGCAATTCTGGCAGTATAAATCGTTGTCGCAGCCCAGACACTTGAGTGTTGCGTCGTCCTGGCATATTATACACCATGTGTCGATTTCTTCGTCGATTTTCTTTTGCAGATTCGTGGAGACGGGAGGTTTCTTTGTGGGAGCGAAGGATGGTGCGGAGGGGAGGCCGAGAGCGTCTGTTTGGGAGGAGGGTGAGGGTGCGGCAAGGGCGGCTAGGCGGGCAGTGAAGTCGTCTTCTATGGCTTGTGTGTCGGGTTTTGGTAGATCTTGGGGCGCGGAAGGGAGACTCAAGTCGTTATCTGTAGTTTCGTTGCGGAGTTTCTGGTCTCCAGAGTCTGACTTGTCGTCTTCTGATGCTGGTGAGGGAGGATCGTATTTCTTACTTATTTCAAGCTCAGCCATGACTCTTGCGATGATATCGTCGGCCTCGTCATCTTCAGTCTTCTTTTTGCCTTTTTCGTCCACTTCTTCGTCAGTGTCTTCCTTTGCACCAACTTCTCCGCTTCCAACATTGACTTCTATGCTCTCCCAATCGGTCAGCCCCTCTGTTTTACCCTGATTCCTTTGCCCTTGTGCACGACTATTCACCACTTCTGGTAATATCTGGCGCATATCTTTCAATAGCTTCCCAACATCTTGCTGCTCCTCCTTGGACACATCCCATTCCTTTCTATCTCCAATAGCGCCATTCAATTCACCCAGCAGCTCTTCCAGGCTCTTTTCGTCTTCATCGTTAAACTCAACATTTAAGCCACCCACACCCTGAGACACCCCTTCTAGATAGTTTGCTGCACCCGGTGCAACAGTTGGTGCGCGTATATCATTCGTGGACGCTGTTCGTGATGGCTGTGGAGAGCCCGCCGGCGACGCGGAGCCCAGACGCGCAAATCGTGCTGCAAGATCGTCGGTAGGTTTAGGAGGTTCCGCGGGCGCTATCGACGCGTTGTAGCTGGTATCCAAGCTGACAGAGGACTTCTTGAGCGCATTCAGGCGGGCGAGGAGATCATCGTCGGTAGAATTGAGGTCGGGCATTATTAATCAAATACGGAGGTGGTTTTTGCACCGGAAAGTTAAACAGACACAGTGGTTGTCCTAAGAAAGTTGAGCTATGACGGCGTGCTGCATGGAAGCTTTGAGTTTCGGGAATGTGTGGAGTTGCCGCGACCAGCTTGGTTGGATATGGCGGGGGAGGGGCACGCTATGCTTTAGACCGCGGGCAGTCCCAGATAGATGCAATTCCCCAAAGTTACATTTCATTGGGTTCCAGAATAATTCATGACTACTATAGATCTCTTGAGCATTTGAAAAACAACCGTGCTAGCTCGGCATTCCAACAATCGCATCACATCTTCACATGTCGATGCCAGCCGGTCCGACTGTCGTCATACCCACCGCTCCCAGCATCTAAACCCTACCCTACAATTGCGTGCTTTTTCCACCATATATCTCACCACCACAATCCTCTTCCTCCCCTCTAACCAACCCTCTTCCAGCCTCCCCTTCTTCCATCTACGCTGAAACCCACCACACCCGCAAACAATGGCGCTCGCACCCAAATTCGCAGGCCAAAAGCTCGCCTCCTCCTCCATCCAACCCAAAGCCGTCCACACCCTCGAGCTCTGTCCGTCTTCCCCCCTCAATCACTCCTCCCTTCTTCCCTAGTTCTAACAAACGCAAACCTCTAGACCTCGACTACGTCTGCCCCTTCTCCGCCAAAATGTACAAAACCCTATTCACCACCCCCCTCCGCACCACCCTCCTCTCCACCTACAGCACAAGCCTCGTCACCATATTCCGCCAGCAAATCCAACCCTGGCACCCATCCTCGACACTCGTCCACGAAGCCGCATACGCTGTGCAACGCGTCGATTCCAGTAAATTCTACGACTTCTCGGAGAAGCTGTTTGAGCAGCAAAAGGACTTTTTTGATGTTAGTCTGGTGAATGAGACGCGGAATCAGACGTATAGGCGACTGGCCAAGATAGCGGCGAGTGTAGGGGTGGATGAGGGAAAGGTGTATGGGTTATTGGAGATTAGCGATAAGCCGGGTGAGGATGGAAGTTTGAATTCGGGGAATGGGGTGACGGACGATGTCAAGGTGCAGGTCAAGGCGAATCGCATGACGGGGGTGCATGTGACGCCGACGGTGGTGTTTGATGGGGTTGTGAGGAATGAGATTAGTAGTAGTTGGACGGTGGAGCAGTGGGAGGAGTGGTTGGCGAAGAATGTTAGTAAATGACTAGTGGATGAGGAAGGCAAGAAGAGAAGCAGGAGGTTCGAAAGCAGAATATAATATAAACTTGGAACCTAAAAAGAAAAAGAAAACTCTCTCATACACGCATACAAAAATGGATATAGGTAGATGAGCTGGGTTATCATCCGGAACACCAATCGAACACCAGCTCCAAAGAACGCAAAGGGAAGTGCTATGCTGTGCACGTAGGCCATGTGTTGTACGCCAGTCCGCTCCCACCCCATGTGTGCGATGCGAAGATCATTAAGCAAAATCAACGCGCCACAGTCAGACCATCCAAGCCCGCAACGCCGAGGACACAACAGTTCCGCCCAATCTCCAACACGACACCAACCTGCAGACTTAGTACGCGAACCCGTCTGCGCCCTCCATGTCCACATCCTCGCCTTCGGCCACCTTCCTAGGCTCTTCCATGTCTTTCTTGAACGCCGTCTTCTTGGCATCCACCTCCTCGCGACTCAGATCCTTCATCCAGCTATTGTTCCTCACAAGAATCTCCTGGACCCTCTCTCTCCGATCGTCATTGAGCTTCTTGTACTCCTCACTGGGCTTTGGAACTGCCTCGCTGACACCTGCGCGCACGGCATCCGGCTGAAGGAAATACTGCACACCGCCCGTACCAAATGGCTCGCTGTTGATGAATGTCATGATGTAGGCAGAAGGACTAATGGAAACAGTAATCTTGTCGTCATGCTGGACCTGATCGAAACGGTCTTCTTCGGAGAGAAGTTCAGCCTTTGCCAGACGCTTCTTAAGGTAAGGATAATTGACGCGCGAGAGATCGACCTCCTCGGTAGGCTCGATAGCCATGTACGAGGCAACGTATGCCCGCCAGCGCTTGACCCGGTCCAGTGTGTTGAACTCAAAAGTAGGATCATCCTTCTTAAACAGCCGGACATATGCTTCCATCTTGGCGGGATCCTGTTGCAAGATTAGTGTATTGTCATCAACAGCAGAACAGTCGTTGTTTACATAAGTAATGCGGTAGGTATCAGCATCTTTGGCGAACTTTTCAACAGCCTTTCGATAGGCAATCTCGCTCTTGTGCGTGGTGGTGTCGTTGACGCGGTCCTTTCTGAAGAGGTTGTAGATATCAAGGCTCTTGTCCTTGCTATCTTGGCTCACAATTGCAACAGCAAATCGAACCAACGAGCTGAGTAGCCTGTCGAATGAGTACAACTGCCAACCAATCTGCAAGTAGTATCGACGTAGTGTCTCTTCGATGAAGTTCATCTCAACCTCTCCAGTAATCTGGTCCTGGAACATGTCGAGAAGTTGCTGGTAGTAGTTGGCCGTAGGCGAAGTGTCCTTGAAAAAGTCTTCAGGTTGCTTGTCCAGCATCTTAAGTTTCTGTGCTGGCTTGGGCTCCTTGGCACGCATGATGAGTCTTTGCACTTCATCCTCGCTCTCCTTAAGCTTCAAAAGCCTCTCGTAAAGCATAACAAACATCCGGAAGAAGCAGTAGATTGAGGCATTGGCGTACATGTTGTACTCAACGCGGCGGTAGGGTTCTTCGTGCTCGAATTCCTTGTCACCAAAGGCAGTCGGGGTAGCGGCGTATTCCACCCAATGGCTCGCAGGTCGGTCTGCACGTGGCATCGAGTTGGAACTGTCGACAGCAGCATCCTCTTCCATAGAGTTGTCTGGTGTGCTGTCTCGGCTTGCTGAGGCGACACTGTCCTCTTTGTCCTTGCGTGGCTTACTGCGGGGGTCAAGAACATCGCGGCGAAGGTCACCCTTCTTTGTCTTCAGCGAACGTTGAGAGATGTCTTCATCTGGAGAGGGAGTGTCTTCGCCTGAATCATTGGGCGTATCGCGCCCTGAGGTGTGTACCCGCTGCTCAAACTTGGCTGAATCGATGCCGAAGAAGAGGGGAACAAACTCCCTGACAAAAGGCACAACCTTTGCAAATTCGGCACCTGGGTTGTTGTCGGCAAAAGTAAGCATCAAACGAGCCACGTCAAACAGCACTTCTTCATCCTTGAAGGAGAAGGCGAACTGATAGTCGGGCTGTGAAATTTCTTGAATCTGCTGAAGACGCTTTTGTTCCTCGTAGCGAACTTGGATCTCGTTTGTAAGCGACTTGGGTTGGAATTGTCGCTTGTCAACTTGCTTGACTGTGATGCTTTGGTGGTCAAGGGACTTCCAGAAGATCTTTTGAGTCTGGTCGCGCCAGACCTTTTCCCATTCTCGTTGGGCAGCCTTCCAGTCTTCCAGCTTCGTCTTTAACCGGTGGAGAAGCACTGGGACGACGCTCCAAGGCATCTGGAAGAGCTCTTTGATAACATCTTTGCCTCGATCGCGACCATAGATCTTCATGATAACACGCTTGTAGATTGTCTCGCTCTGTCCGCCCAGTCCGGGAGGCAAAGTAAACCCAATCCTGTCTTCGGGCTTCATCGTGAGCAACTGGTTGGCGATGGGCTCAAGCTGCTGGATCGTGCGGCTACAAGCTTCGATATTGAAGTCATAGTCATGACGTTCCTCTTCGATCCTGTGGAGACCCTCTTCGAATGTGTTCTTGCGATGCGCAACGAAACCAGAATCTTCGGAAGCCCATGTTGGATGAGAAGCCCATTCATCGTTCAAGACAGACCGGCAAAGCTCATCACGCCCACTGCATACGCGTTCCCTTTCACGCCTGGGAAGAAGACGATAGCTGGGGCCCAAGCTTCGGCAGTTGGACAGTGAGACACGAGAATTGACTGTCTTGGGGCGCGAATTTTGCTGCTCTTCATCTTCACCCATGAACTTCTTGAACCAGGCAAAGAGTTCTTGGTTGCCTCCGATGAAGGATTGTGCACGGTAGAGGAGGAGTTGCTTGTCGATCAAATCCTGCGAGTAGAGATTGCAGAGCTTCAAGAACTCGTTCATAATGTTCTTGTTTCCGATAAACTTCTTGACGCGGTCGAAGAAGGCAAGCTCATCTTGGCTAGGAGATGTCGTTGTTGTTGGCGGCATCGGCTCAGGCAGCGCAGGCGTCAGGGTAGGTGAGACTGGTGGGCCATCTGGAATCGTCTGTTTTGTAGCATGTCCGGTCTTTGCACGCTTAAATTGGTTAGCAGACAAACTCTCGTCAGAAAATGAAGAACGTTTAGAAACTGCAGCAATTCTGTGACTGAATCTCCTTGGCTCGTTCCGCACATCGGAAAGAGATGGAACAGGCCATTGCAACGTCAACGCGTCCGAACAACCGCTAGGCAAATGAAACCTGTCGCGGCCGTCACCATGCACAACGACAACGCTCGACGTGGCAGAGCGCGTGATCATGAGTGGGAGTCAAGCTGGGCGCGACGTTTGAAAAGGGAAAGAATGAGGAGTTGACTGGAGGACGTTGGGGCTGTGCACGTGCATCTTGGAAAAAAGGAACCACCGAATGCCATGATCCCAGTCTTGCCGATAAAAGTGTGAAAAGATTTACGTACCTTGTTAACATTTACCTGGTTGTAACCACCGCGGACATTCGAAGTCGGTGGCTCTTGAGACATGGGCGCAGGCATGGGTGCAGCTACTGGTCCCTGTCGCTCACGCTTCCGCTTGTTATCACGGTTCGCTGTGGGAGTGGGTGCGAAGTTGCCCATGGGAGGCAATCGCGAGGTATCCGCGCGACCAGGTGTCTGCTGGTTCGCTGCGACTCCGTATCCAGATTCTCCTCTTACATTGCTGAGCATGACCGCATCTTCAGCAGCATTCTTGGCAGCCTGTTGTTGTGCTCTATGGTGAGCGGCAGATTCTGGTAGAAACTGTTTGAAGTCTTCGAGAAGATCTGGCGCGCCGC